CCCATTGACTTAGTTCACTGGACACTGCTGTTAGGGGGTATGGATTTTCTTGAAAGATGAAAGCATGAATTAGAGCGAGATTAGCAGAGTATGTGTTTTCTTATAGCTGCAGCCTTTGAGTTTCCCTCCAACACCATCTCCATCAGATACATGAAGCTTGGGAGGTATCACTGTTTTAGTGTTTTTGGTCGATAAGATTCTGTAATTAGGCCCATCATAATTTTCAGCACCAGGCCCACTGGGCTCTTAATCTGGCCCTGAACATAGGTACTCTGACAGGTCTGCTGCTATGCAGCGTACTGCGATGCATTGTGTGTTTTGACACCTTTACATCAACACCAGCATTACGTTTTTCAGCAATTTGAGCTACAGTAGCTCTTCTGTGTGACAGGCTATCCTTCGCTCCACCTGTGCATCAATGAGCCGTGGACACCCATGGCCCTGACACTGGTTGTCCTTCCTCGCACCACATTTGATAGGTACTAACCACTGCATACCAGGAACACCACACAGGACTTGTCATTTTGGAGATGCACTGACCCGATTGTCTAGCCATTACTATTTGCCCCATGTGAAAGTCATTCTGATCTTTGCTCTTGCCTATTTTTCCTGCTTACAACACATGAAATTCAAGAATGGAATAAACACTTGACAGGTACCATTTTAATAATATAATCAATGTTATTTTAATGTTACTCCCAACTCCCCCTGAAGATACGTATTCAGGAAAAGGCATGTCCAGTGTTTTGTGAGTCTGGTGTCCTAGCATCCACAACTAACAAGTAGTCTAGATTGGTCTCACATTTATAGAAATACCCCAAGGTAGTGTTTTTCATGTTGTGCTGTGCTTTATGTGAACTGTATGGTGAATATAATAGCAAAACCCAATTTTGCCCTTAATGCTGCAATGTTAAACACTTAAGGACCAGACTGTTTTGGCCATATTGCACGTTAAGGACCAGAGCTGTTTTAACACTTTTGTGGTGTTTGTGTTTAGCTGTAATTTTTCTATCTCTCTCATTTACTGTTCCCACACAAATTATATATATTTTTTTTTTCCAGGACAAGAAGGGCTGTTGTGTGTTGCTGCCAAAAAACTAACTAATACGTGTTTAGGAACAGCTCCCGAGTACAGTGATACCACCCATGCATAGGCTTGTCAGGTTGTTAGGGGGCTAAAAGGCCACATTTGGCAGGTGCGCATATCAGTTTTCCAACTTGGAATTTTGAAATGTAGTCAACCTGCGACCATGTCCTATTTGGGACATTTTTTAAGCCGGCCAATGTATTTTACCCCCATCAAACCATATATTTTTAAAAAGTAGAAAACCCAGGGTATTTGAAATGCTGGTATTTTAACACTTTTCATGCACTGAATTTACGACCAGCCTTTGTTATCTTTTGGGTAGTAATTTTTTTTTTGTGATTTTTTTCCCACACGTACTTTAGGCATGAATTAACAGATCCTGTCAGCTATGCATCACTGCTGAACAACATCCTAATATATGTTCAGCAACATCTCCTAAGTACAGTGATACCACCTATGCATAGGTTTTCTGGGTTGTTTGGGGGCTAAAAGGCCACAATAGAGACTTGTGCATGTCAGTTTTTCAACTTGATATATAGGTACACTTGGCCTATCTTCAGTTTGGTGTGTTTCTGCATCCCCCAGTTAATGTTACCATCATGAAAGTATACTATTTTCATACTATTTCTATAAAGTAGACATACCAGGGTATTGTATATGGGGTTTTCAAAGAAAGTGCAAGGTGGTAAACATTGGGGGGCGGGGGCATTTAGCTCAGTTTAATTCAGTTTGGTTTCTGACTTTGTCTAGTCTCTCAGTTTATCATAATTGTGGCTTCACACATTTTCAGGTGCTCAGGGGTTATTTAATCTACTCTACTAACTTTCTCATTGTTGGAGAAATTACCAACACTTTTTACTACTGATTACTTAATAACATACCAATCTACCCCCTTTTAAAAAAAAAAAAATCTTTTTTTTTTTTACTTGTGCATGAGTCACAGAAATGCTTGCATTGCCACAACAGCAGGTGCAAGCCTCATCAACCAATATATAACATTTCATATTATGACATGTGATAATACTTCCAATATTGTTGAATGGGTTAGGCAGTGGCTGAGTGACAGGCAACAGAGGGTTGTAGTCAGTGAAGTATATTCGAAGCATGGGCTTGTCACCAGTGGGTTACCTCGGGAATCGGCTGACCTTGGGACAGAGCTTTGAAACTTACCATACATTACACCCGTCGGTACTCTATGATATAGGAAGCATATCTCTGTTTTTTCTTCCATGGTGGGGCACACATTCAACTGACATGGGGGCCTCCTAGGGGTTTCTTTTTACTTTGTCACTCTCTATGACTTGCCTTCTGATACCCTAATGTTATGTTACCTGCACTGTGCTTTTCTTACCTTTACTTTTACTGTTACAAGCATGTGAGGATAAAGTCCTTATCGTGTCATTAAAAATATAACACAATAGAGGTATTAACTCTATATTGACAAATCTTGCTGATGCAAGCAGTTATGCAATGTCTCAATGCTCTGTTACCTTATCTCTGGTATCTCACGTTTCATTCTTCTTACTACTACCAAAAATGTGCAGTAACATAGAATGTGACGGCAGATAAGAACCATTCAGCCTATCTAGTCTGCCCTATTCTCTAAATACTTTCATTAGTCCCTGGCCTTATCTTATAGTTAGGATAGCCTTATGCCTATCCCACGCATGCTTAAACTCCTTTACTGTGTTAACCTCTACCACTTCAGATGGAAGGCTATTCCATACATCCACTACCCTCTCAGTAAAGGAATACTTCCAGATATTAATTTTTAAACTTTTGTCCCTCTAATTTAATACTATGTCCACTCGTTGTAGTAGTTTTTCTTCTTTTAAATATAGTCTCCTCCTTTACTGTGTTGATTCCCTTTATATATTTAAATGTTTCTATCATATCCCCCCTGTCTCGTCTTTCCTCCAAGTTATAAATGTTAAGTTCCTTTAACATTTCCTAGTAAGTTTTATCCTGCAAACCATTACCCAGTTTAGTAGCCCTTCTCTGAATTATCTCTAAAGTATCAATATCCTTCTGAAGAAACAGTCTCCAGTACTGTGTACAATACTCCAAGTGAGGTCTCACCAGTGTTCTATATAATGGCATGAGCACTTCCCGCTTTCTACTGCTAATACCTCTCCCTATACTCTATCAAATCTTCTGTACTCTGCCCTTGGGCTTTTATGTCCAAGATGCATTATCTTGCACTTATTTCACATTAAATGTCAGTTGCCACAACTCTGACCATTTTTCTAGTTTACCTAAATCATTTGTCATTTGTCTTATCCCTCCTGGAACATCAACCCTGTTACATATCTTAGTATCATCAGAAAAAAGACATACCTTTCCATCAAGACCTTCTGCAATATCACTAATAAAAATATTAAAGAGAATGGGACCAAGTACAGATCCCGGGTAACGCAGAGTCCAGCTACGTGTGCCTTGTTATCTGGCCCGGTGACTTAGCAGATGGTGAGCTACCATGCGGACATGCCCGTTCACACAGACAGATGCTGAATTCCAGCATGGAGGTAGGGCTGGCTTATGCATGCCATCATTTGTGCCTCCACGATCCAGGGAGCCGTCTTCGGGCAATCACTGACCCTTGAGAAATCCAGATGCTTTGATTCCAGGGTGGGCTCCCGCCGGCGTCGTCTTCCCAGGCTGCTGTTTTTTTATTTTAGCCAGCTGGTTATATGTTACTGCCAGAAAACACCCCAGTTTGTTTTATGCAAAGTCCACTGAGTACACCTATGCCCCCCATGCATTGGTTTGCCACCATTTTACAGTAACAAATTTTGGACTTGCCTCTTTTGGCTGAATATAGTTTGTTTGTTTGCTTGCTTTGCTAGGCACATGTTGAGTGTGGTGCATTTTTACATCCCCCAAGTTGAAGTTATGGTTTGAACGTATATATTTTTATAAAGTAGACATCCAAGGTTCTAGAATATGGGGTGTTTGACTTCTTTCCCCCAACCATTTTGCCCAAAAATTTTTAGATTTTGGCCAGCTGGTTAACAGTTACTGCCAGAAAACTTTTTAACTTTTGTGCAGGTATCAAATGCACCTTTAGCAGCAATCTCTAAACTAACTCCTGCAAAAAGAATAAAACTGGACATTTGGGGGAAGGAAACGGACTATTATAAAAAGGTATATCAAAATGTGTAGCACCAATTCTGGACTCCTCTAGCTCCGTTGTTGGAACTTAACCATCTTCATAAATTATTGTTGAAATCAGCTTGAGCTGATATTGGGGAAAGGCAGTTCTTCCTGGATTCATTTTCTTATAAAGTAAAAACGAATTGTGCGTTGCTACTTGCATAAGATAGATAAGATAGATAGCCACCTTTTTATATCAGGCTTTCGTCTTTCTTAAAATCAGATATGGCTGCATCAGCTTATCAGCCAAATCAACAACGCCCATGCACTGATGCAAAAGGGTTTGGTCTGTACTCTGCCTTGGACAGTGACGTCTGATATTCTTTCGTCGTGGATGGTGGTTAGCATGTTAACATCCTTCCTGTCCTTACATTTTATTGCTAACACTTCAGCTTTGCGCAGAGCTTTGCATTCTCCTTTTTTTTTTTTTATTTGGCCTGTATGAGAAGTCTGGGGAAATCTTTTGCATTTTTTCGCACTGTGCCGCAGGCCAATGTCTGGAAACCATAAAGTGTTTGAAACAAATGGACACTGCTGTAGAAATTGTCCACATAAAGGTAGTAAACTTTATTGAACAAGGGCATCACTAGGTCACAAACAATTTTCCCACTTGTCCCCAGAGAGTCAGGACAGCCAATCTTTCCCCTCATATACGCGAAAGGCAAATGTATAGCCACTTTTGTTCTCGCAAAGTTTATAGAATTTTACGCCATATCTGTCAAAGTGATTGTTTGTAACACCCACTAAGGAGCGATCGTGTGTCGTTCAAACAACATAATTATCTGTTACTAATTTCCAGGCATGTGAGGCAGATAGTAACAGCGGTATTTTGGCAGATGCGATCTCTGAGTGCTTCCGCTGCTCATTTTAAGTTACGGCGGTTCAGGACCGTCATCAGTCCTCAAGGGGATGTTTCTGATGATGGTCCTGAACCATCATCGGTCCTCAAGGGGTTAAACATTGCTGTTCCAGAGAAGTGCAAATGTTTGCATTGCAGCTCTAAGTCTGGCCCCAGTGGCTGTCTACCAGGCAGCCACTAGAGGGCTTGCACAATCGTAACAGACTTTTGGTCAGTTATCTGATGCTGGACGTCCTCACGCTCTGCTTGAGGACCTTCAGCGTCAGACTTGTTCCCCATAGGAAAGCACTGATTCAATGCTTTCCTATGGGGAGATCTAATGCGTGCGGCATTTGCCACGCATGCGCATTAGACCCCGCTTGTCACGGGATGGAAGAGGGGGCGGGGTAAGTAAATAAAAGGGTTTTTAACCCTTTATTTGCAAGAGAGGGAGGAGGCAGAGGGATCGGTAGTGCTAGGACTACAGCTTTGTATTCCTGGCACTACAGTATCCCTTTAAGTAGATTACACATACCAGGCCAAAGTGTGGCTGCAATCGCTTGAAGTTGATTAACCCAGTGATCACAATTTCTCAGTGGCTTAAAAAAAAAAAATGCAAAGGTAGGCGTCTCTTCTTTGGAAAGTGATGTCACAAAAAGAAAGAATAAAAAAAGTCCATGTCCTGTCTATTTTTAACCTATAACCGGTCCGAAAAGACTTGAAATAGAATTTTAAAAGCTAGGGAAAATGACAGTCCAATAAAAAAATAAAATAAAAAAAAAACAAACAAACAAAAAAAAAACCTATGGGGGTGAGGGACCGACGCACTTTTAAAAAGTCTATAAATCATCCAACCACCCAAAGTATTTTATAAAAGCAATGACATTTTTTTATTATTTATTTTTATTAGAAAACTCAGAGCATAGAAATATGAAACGAGTACTTTATTCAAGCTCTTCAGTTCACAATGGTAGTGTCCAGGAGGAGGTGAGAAAGGCCACAGAGATGAGTAGGAGTACATTTTTTTTTATTTTGCACATTAAACTCCAATGAAGGCTGCTGCCATTGAAAATCCCTGCAAACTACAATAGTATCACCTGCATAATATGTAGAGATCTGAGCAGGTTTAAGAGACAGAAGCTTTCTTTCCCAGTCACACCATTACTACCATTGACATACAGTGTGCTGTTAATGTCCCAATTACAGTAATTTCACCCTGTTGTCACTGGTAAAAAAAAAAAAAAAAAAAAAAAATATCTCTTGGGACATCATGCATACCCATTGTAATCTGGCAGCATGGTTGGCCATATTTTCCCGACAGAAATATCTTAGAGAGCATTGAGAGTACAGGCCAGCTGTCAATGTACAAATCCACACAGCGACAGGCTAGTAAAGGCCCTACACAATTCCTGCCTTGCTCTTGCACAACTATGCAAACAAACATTCCAAAACACCACCTGCTATTTTAAATTTTCAGAAGAATGGTTTGAGGCTGAAGCCTCCAATGTCCCTTACCATCAACTCAATGCTAGTTGCCTCCTACACGTTATTAGCTGCCCCATGGGATACATTTAACACAAAAAAAAAACTAAAATGTTATTAGCAGCAGTATGACAGCTACAAGCTAGCTTCGAGTGTAAAATGTTAGAATTAAAAATATATACTTTTGTGGCAGCTTAAGTTAGCAATTATTTGTGTAACCCAATTCAATACGGCAGCATTGGGAGATCTATTTTTTTTTTCCCCCCTCTTCTTCAAATTATGTTGAGATACATCCTGAATGACAGATGGGAGTCTCTGTTTAATCCATTAATCTTGGTACAGTAACCATCCAACTAAAATATGAGGCAGATCTAGGAGGTCTTACCCGGTAATGCTGATGGATCATTTCTGCCATTTGTCTCCACCTTTAGAGGTACAACAAAGCTCGTTCTTGTCGCTTCAATAATTCAATGTGTATGTCCGGCTCTTGGGAGACCTCATGGGAAGGCAAGGATTTGAATGCGGTCGCTATGCCAATAATCTGTACTATGGCTTCTTCAGATGGTTCAACCATGGCCATATAGTGTCTGACTATTAAATTAATCTTCCCATCAAGTCTTCAACGCAAACCAACACTTCATATTCCAGCTTCCAGGTATATCAAATTTTCCCAACATCTCCATGTTTATTTTGTCTTTGTTTGCACTGTGTGTAACTGCTTTTGGAGAGATAAACACCAATATGTGGTTGCTTTGAATTGATTTCTATTATTAGTGCCCTGTTTCATTGCTTTCTGCGCTGAAAGGTGATAATGGGTACTGCATGATCTAGGGTGGCAAACATGTTTACTATAATTTGAAGAAGGGAAAAAAAAAATGTAAAGGTGAAGGATGCTGTTAGAAAGGGAAAGGGGACAAAGGCCAAAAGGGAGGGAGAGTAGATAGGCCACATAAGATGCAGAGGCTTCATGAGCAGAGATAATATATACATACATACATACATATATATACACACACACACACACACACACACCCCCCCCCCAAGCTAGACTGACATACCTTAGGCCACTCTCTTGCTAACTAATGAGCCATAGTCATCATAACACATCAGCTGATCACATACCCGCCTAACATACTCCAATACACACCTAATCAGATGCTCCGTATTAGATGGGCAGTCTTTCATATTCAAACACGTATAAAAGTATACTTGTGAATGTGCTTAATAGTGATCAGTCAGTAATTATCCATGCTAATCTAGCCACTCACACAGAAACATATTTGCATAATAAGCCAATCACAAACATACATTCAAATAAAAAAAAAAATAATAAAAAAAAGACAAATGCTTAAATTTGAGTTAATTCCATATTTCCTCCTAAAATTGCTCACCTCTGCAGGAGATAAGATAGCTTAAACTCTGCAGCATTCTGAACGCAATGTCTTGTGGAGGCAGGCTGTCTCTGTGTTATGTGGCAGCAGGGACAGCTGCAGGGCTCCAATTTGTCACAAGTGCAACATTTTGTTAGAGTGCTGGAAGGCTGTGCAATATCACTTGCTCCTTTGCCATCAGCCAAGATGCTATATAGAAGCCCTAAAGCAATCTGTCACTAGGTCTTGCAGAGACCTGCATCTTCCCTGTCCAGTAACGATGACAATTCCCAGCATGACAAGCCACATTAGGAGGTGTCTACAAACAAACACAGTCTTGCCCAGGCACCATAAACAAACACATAAAAATTACACAGAAATGTTGCCTATGTAAAGCTATTTTTTTTTTTTAAATATTCGCGATTTTGTATTAAAGGATTTTGTAATATTCCAAGATACAATGAAAAGTGCAAATACAAATAATTATTCCTCACAACCCCATGGCCCTACAAGTGATCAAAATCTGTTTCCTGCAGATATGGGGGTCTTCTCAGGCTCAGGGCAACATATTTTCACAGCACTCTGCAGCTTTTAGTGTAAAATCCCAGCCACAATACAGGCAGATTGAGGTTCATGGAAGGTATGCTTGTATACCAGTGGAGGTAGTGTATTACAAAAAATGTTCAGAATCCAAACCGTTCCTCAACTTCGGCACTAATCACCTCTGCTATAGCAAGCGAGGAAGTGGCAGCTGGAGAAGGGGCATTTCTCACATGTAATATACGATTAGCAATTTCACCCGAACCTCCATCAAATACAAAGTCATCCACAAGATTACCATCCTTATCCAGAGCCTGTGCTCTTACTCCAGAGGGGCCCCTGTAAGATAGAACATAAATTTCAGCCATGCAGGTCTCGGTCCTCCCCAATGCCTCCCTTTTCTTTACTCTCTTGGTTACTTTTAACAGTGCTTAAAAAAAAAAGTGCACTTTTTAAAAAGATCATTTATACTATACATAGTTGAAAAGAGACATGCGTCCATAGGCTGAGAAGAGGCAGCTTTTTTCTCATCTGTTTTTGTGATTGATCCAAAAGAAGGCAAAAAAACTCAGTTTGAAGAGCATTTCAATTTTGCAACAAACTAGGGCAAATTTCCTTCTTGATCCCAGAGTGGCGATCAGATATAAATTTAAAATTATATTAAAAAAAAAAAAATTGTATCCCTGAATTTTATTTTTTTTGCAAGTATTTATCCAATTTCTGGTTAAACAGCTGTACAGATGGATAAAACCACCTCTTCAGGCAGAGAATTCCACATCCTTATTGTTCAAAACCCTTTCCTTTGTCTTAGACCAAATCTCCTTTCTTCCAGTCTAAACGCATGACCTCGTTTTATACATATAGTCCTGTTTATGAATACATTTCCAGACAATGGTTAGTATTGGCCCTGAATATATATTTGTATGATGCGATCATATCCCCTCTGAGGCACTGTTTTTCTAAACTAAAGAGATTAACATTTTTAAACCTTTTTTCATAACTAAAATGTATTCCTTTTAATTTCTAGTGCCATAATATCCTTCTTCAGAACAGGTGCCCAATATTGCCCAGCATATTTAACATGTGGTCTCAACAGTTATTTATAAAGAGCCAAATTACATATTCATCCCGAGAATTAATGCCCCTTTTTATACACATTGTACAGATTTAAACTTGCGTACCTGCAATAGTGGCATATTTAAAGATTTTCTAATGTACTACAGGGTGTATTAAAAATAAATAAATAGTGAACTGCAGTTAATTAGAACCAGATTGCAAAATCCAGGGTATAATAGTTTCTTTAGAATAATAAATCGATGTAAGCATTTGCAATTCTGTTTTTAGTTCAATACAATTCAACGTGTAGTGAAAAAAACCTCACATTCCTTAGCTGTGGTAGCTGCTCAGGACGCTTTCTATTCAGTGAACAATATGTATATATTTTATAACCCATGCCCTCTGAGTGCATTTAGTAAGGCTTCTCTCTAGCACACCTTCTGGGTCTGAAACAAGCACACAGGTATTTATTTTAGGGTTTGAAATTGTTTTCGTCATCTACAAATCTTACATGTGATCACTAAAAGCTTTCGTGCTACATATTTCGGGAGACCGTTCATTGACACTAAAGAAATCCTCTTTTTCCATTATGGTTTGGAGTAAGAGGTGCCCTCTAGTGTAATTCTGGTTAACTACAGATTAAAAGATTTTATGAAATGGACATAAAGGAAATACATACTGAACCTCATGCAGTTGGCAGTCCTAAGTTATAACACCGGTATTATGATTTATCATCATCTAATTCTACATGAAGAGTTGCCTTTACAGAAGACACAGAAGGTTTACTGAACAGATCCCCAATTTAAACCAGTGGGGGCCTAGAAACCTCTTCTCCCAGCACATGAACCAGAAGAAGTCCACAGAATTTGGAGAAATTCTTAACACAAGGATTGTCAACTATTCGGCCCTACCTTTTTTTTTCTCCCATTGTGTCAATTGCAGTGATGATGTGGTTAATTTACTGGACTAATACTGGTTGAATATAGGATGGGGAAATAATACTGGTCAAGGAGGTTTCCAACCCTCTGATCATTAAAGGGTCACTATAGTCACCAGAACAACTACAGATTAATGTAGTTGTTCTGGTGAGTATAATCATTCCCTTCCGGCATTTTCATGCAAACATTGCTTTTTTTTTTTTTTTTAAAGAGAAAATGCAATGTTTACATTGCCCCCTAGGGACACCTCCAAATGGCCACTCCTCAGATGGCCACTTGAGGTGCTTCCTGGGGCAGTTCTGCACAGCAGGCAGCACTGCCGTTCAGCGTCTCCACGCTCTGCATGGAAACGCTGAATTTTCCTCATAAAGATGCGGATCAGGGGCGGGGCTAATATCGGCAGACTCGTACGACGGTGGAAGTAAGGGGTGTTTTCACCTTTTGTAAGAGGCACAAGCCACCTAGATGGTGGATTAAACACTATAGCATCAGAAATACAGGTTTACAGGATTACAATATAGGGCCATAGTAATAAGCAGGGGTTCCCTAATTGGTCTTAAAGACCGATTAGGAGTGTAGCAGTTAGAATATAAAAAAGTTATATAAAAGACTATAAAGTCTAGAATGAGTGCGCCATAGAAATCAGCTCTATTGGGCTGTTCTATCATCTAGCTCCACAAACACCCCAGCGGTGTAATTTAAGACTATAAAATGAGTAGTCATTGAGAGCACCACATATTATTTTGAATAGGCCAATTTTAGCCAAAGTTCTTGGCTAAAAAGGTCAAGGTTAGGCAGCAGCAGCAGATTCACACACACACACACACTATATCACCAATACATGGAACGTACCTAAGAATATCATGAACGGACAGCTCCGGAACAAATTTTTGTAGTTCTTTCACTTGCGCACTGAGGAAGCATGCACGATACATTTCTGCCATGCCGAAAGTAAAATTCTTCAGCACCAGCTTACGGAGACCACTAGAGAAGAAGAGGGAAAAAAATATATATATTATCAGTTCAGTTCTGACTTGGTACACAGGCTACTCATGTAATAAAAACAATACTTGGTCCCCAGGGGACATATCATGCAAACGATATCTGTTCTAACAATTTACAGCTCCTGTACAGATGTAAAATAAAATTAAAAAAATAAATAAATGCAAGCATATAAGCAAGACTTTCTTACCTGTACGTAACTGCTTCAGTAAAATCTTTGGCATTAAAGTCACACAGCCTATATCCCTCTCGTTTGAAGGCTAAAACTGCATTTGGACCAAGCCAGACGCTTCCATCCATGCGTGGAGTGAAATGGACTCCCAGGAAAGGGAACCGTGGATTTGGGACCTACAACCCCATGAGGAAAACATACAGAATGTTTTAGAATAAGTGACAGAACAGCATTACTGTAACACAATCTGTGCCACTAAGAGTTAAACCACCTCTGCCTCTCCATTATCTGTTAACTAGAATTCCCATGATCCTGATACTACAATTCTCATGATCACCAGTAAGTCTCCAGTAGTGGTTGATAAATATATGACTCTTCAAGATTCTCAGCTGATCAAGTGAGATAATGCATGCCTTATTACTTCTAACAGATAATTCAGGTAACCTGCAATTTCACCATATAGACATATGTGTATGAAGACCACTGTTTTTGTCCTGGAATATTCCACATTAAAAAAAACAACCAAAAAACAACATTTCTATTGACAGTTCTAAAGTACAATGCACTAAAGCAGTGATGAACAGCCTTAGGCTTGACCAACAGCTTGCGTGCCGGACGCTTCCCACAGCAATGTTGACCAAACAAAATCACTGATCAAAACACTCTGAGGGCAGGAAAATAGTATAAAGAACACCAATAATTGAAACTTTGCTAATAAATTCTATTAAAATCCATTTAATATGGTTTGTTTTGACATATACATACGGAACCTTTTCTCTTCAGCAAGACCTATTCTAATGTAGGTAAACTCTATACCTACCGGGTAGATATTGCCATTAACAAGATAGCATTTTTCTGGTTTTAGCACCAAGTAATCCCCCCGGAAAGGAACAATACGTGGCTCAGGACTGCACCCACTGACTTGTGACAAGCGATCCGAGAAAAGGCCAGCACATGTGACAACATACTTGCAGTACACATCTTCTCCCTGCAAGGGGGCAGAAAGGGAGAAAGTTTTTTTTGCAGAGAAACAGAAAACCAAAAACCATCACATTTTTTAGGATAATCGGGAGAAATTCAGGGAGTGGGGTTGTGTTAGGTAGAATAAAGATCACAGGAGATTGTGAAGCACTGGGACAATTATATGGAAAGGGTAAAGGAATGCAAACTCATCTTGGATTCACACACAAACTCTATATTTATTTATTCATATTAACTACTTGATCTCTACATGCATGCATACACATAACTATAAAAAGTGGAATAAATGGTGCAAATTGAATTTAAAATGCAAGTGCAAAAAAATGCTTAAGCTCAATTTAATTTTCTCACAGTGCAATTAATCCTTTTCAATAAATACACAAAGCAAAACATGCAAAGGAGTCACAGTTTTTTATAAAATCACTATATTTTGTCAAAAATAATGTCTCCTTGGTTGCGGTTTTAATTTGCAATGATTGCTTAATTGCCAACCGCATTTCATTCGGCCAATTTAATTTCACATTGAGAAAGCTCTGAGAAGCAGAGTGAAAAGCGTAATGCTATACACCGACTGACTGGGAACAAGGCTACACTAAAGGAAGGACACTGAACACACAATTCCACTTGGGATTGCTTTCAAGGATTGTTCAGTAAGCAACCTGAACGTTCTCGCAAGCAGGCTGTACACATACTTTGCTTTTAAGATACATTAAAAAGGTTATACATACTTTTTTCTTTTTCTTTTTTTTTTATAAAACTGTTTTGGTTTGTGTTTTTTTTTTTTTTTTACTGAGCAAGCAGTATACAATTTAATGCTTACTCTCTAGAGTCACCTAGTGATCCTAATCCCTCTTTAGCTGTTTAATGAGAGTGGCACATGTTCCACTCGATCTTTGCGAGTTCCCATTCGTTAGAGAAAAGTTTTTTTCTGAATCACCCATTTTGGCCTTCAGACAACCACCAAACCTCCAACAAAAAATAAACAGGAAGTTACCCACTGATGGGAAGAATAAAGAAAACGTGATCAGTCAATGCAAAAAAAAAAACAAAAAAACTTGCTGCAAACTGTGTCAGCACATATTGTAGCGTTACTTACCTTAACCGGGGGCCGGTCGCGGTCCTCTCTTCAAGCCGCGCGCGGTCCTGCGGCTGCACGAGCCGCGCGCGGCTCATCCAACTGCTTTGGATGGAAGGCGGGCAGTGACCGCGTGAGGCGGTCACGTGTCCCGCCTGAAACTAAGAGCGCGCCGCGAGTCTCGGGCGCGCTCTTAAAGAGACAGTGGGAGCCTAATTGCCAAAAGGCTCCCATTGGCTCCTGTCATACCACACTCCCTGTACAATTACCTATAGGGGGTGTGGAAGTGACAGGAGCCAATCACTTTCGTTTTAAAGCTATTTAAACTTACCTTTTTCCCTTAGCTCGTTGCCCTATCGTGGTTTCTGTTTCAGTTCCCTTTAGCGCTTGTGGTGTTCAGTTGTGTTTTCTCGTATTGACTTTGGCTTCGTATTCTGACTTCGTTTTCGCTTTATCCTTATCTGTACTGTTTGCCGGCTTGCTGTTTTCCGTGTACCAGACCCCGGCTTGTCCTAGTTTACGCTGTCTCTCTGTGCCCTTGACCTCGGTTTGTTCCTGGCTCTGTCTCCTCTCATATACGTCGAGTCCGGCCATTCTAAGGTCCGGTAGACGTATCTCTCCTCTGTATTTGCCTCTGTTTAGCTGGATCCTGCGTGTAGGGGTATATTCTCGTTACATTACGATAGGGCCATGGACCCCGCAGATTTAGCTCAACAGATGGCGTCCCATGAGGCAAGATTTGTAGAGCAGGATCACCGTATGGATCAAATAGCTCAGGCTCTCCAGACGCTCCTAGCTAGAACCGTTCCAGCAACTACACCTAACCCTCCTACGCCCCTTCTCCCTGAAGTATCTATTTTGCCTAATACTTCGGCCCATTTAACACCTCCTCCTAGGTATGGAGGGGACTCTAAGACTTGCAGAGGGTTTATTAATCAGATTGAATTTCACTTCGAAATGTATCCACGTTCATTTCCCACAGAGAGGTCTAAGGTTGGGTTCTTTATGCACCAACTTACCGATAAGGCACTTGAGTGGGCAAATCCTATTTGGGAAGCTAATGGACCTATGGTACATGATTTCAACAGTTTTCTTACGGCTTTTCGTAGAACTTTTGACACAATGAAAAGGTCAAAGAATGCCGCGAGAGCATTAATGAGAATTAAACAGGGTTCTAGGTCTGTGGCTGATTATGCTATTCAGTTTCGCACTCTTGCTTCGCAGGTAGATTGGACCAACAATGGGTTAACTACTGCCTTTATGGAAGGTTTGTCAGATACGATATTGGATGAGGTAGCAGCTAAGGAGCTTCCTATTGCCTTAGAGGACCTTATCGATTACCTCATTGATATAGATAATAGAATTCGTGACAGGCTCTATACCAAGAACAGGAATAGACGTTTCGTTACACCCATTAACCCCAGAGTTAATATACCAGAGAGTGTTAAAGTGTCTGAGGAGGAACCTATGCAATTAGGGGTTGCCAAACTGATACTGAGAAATTACATAGGAGAAGGGAGGGACTCTGCCTATACTGTGGTAGGAGAGACCATATGGTAAAGGAATGTCCTTTACTCCCGGAAAACTCTCGCACCTAAGACCTTATAGGGGACTGGCCTTGGGTGTGATATCTAAGTCTCCTAAATTGCCTCCTAACCGCTTGCTTCTCCCGGTTTCTTTATAAAAGGGAGGCTGAGAAATTACCGCCTCACAGACCCTATGATTGCGCTATTGACTTGTTGCCTGGCACTATACCTCCAAAGGGCAGGGTGTACCCCTTATCGGTTCAAGAAAACCGTGTCATGGAGGAGTACATCAAGGAATCACTAGAAAAAGGGTTTATTAGGAGATCCTCTTCTCCAGCTGGAGCAGGGTTCTTCTTTGTATCGAAGAAAGAAGGTGATTTAAGACCGTGCATAGATTATAGAGGTTTAAACAAAATCACTATCAAAAATGCATACCCTATACCTTTGATTACAGAATTATTTGACAGGCTGAAACATGCCACTGTGTTCACTAAATTAGACCTTAGGAGTGCATACAATTTGATACGTATAAAGGAAAATCACGAATGGAAGACTGCATTCAACACTAGATCCGGTCATTACGAATATATACTGTTATGCCATTTGGGCTTTGCAATGCCCCAGCAGTATTCCAAGAATTTATTAATGATGTCTTGAGAGATTTTATTCACACATTTGTTATCGTATACTTGGACGACATTTTAATATATTCTACAGATATACACACTCATCACAGACATGTTACGACAGTTTTGAAGACCCTTCTTGCTAATGGTCTTTATTGCAAGCTAGAAAAATGTCTGTTTGACCAAACCGAAGTCCAGTTCTTGGGGTATTTGATTTCCGCTAAAGGTTTTCGTATGGATCCCCAGAAGCTAGCTGCTGTAATAGAATGGCCTCTACCGCAAGGTCTGAAAGCTATTCAGCGTTTTCTTGGGTTCTCCAATTATTATAGACGTTTTATCAAAGGTTTCTCGTCCATTGTAGCACCTATTACCCGTATGACTAAAAAGGATGGCAATACTCGTGTTTGGTCTACCGAGGCACTTCAGGCTTTTGAATTTCTTAAAACTACGTTCGCCTCTGCACCTATTTTACAGCATCCTGTCCCCTCACTGCCCTATATTCTTGAAGTTGATGCTTCGGATATTGGGGTAGGTGCTGTCTTATCCCAAAGAGAGTCGCCTGAAAAGCCATTGCATCCATGCGGCTTCTTTTCTAAACAAATGTCCAAAGCAGAGAAAAATTATGATGTGGGTAATCGCGAACTCCTTGCTATTATTTTAGCACTTAAAGAGTGGAGACATTTGTTAGAAGGAACTAAGGATCCTATCCTCATTTTTACGGATCACAAGAACCTATCCTACCTTAGCGAAGCCAAAAGATTGTCTTCCAGGCAGGCTAGGTGGTCACTATTTTTGTCCCGTTTCAATTTTATTATCACCTATAGGCCAGGTGATCGCAACACTAAAGCAGACGCTCTGTCCAGACAGTTCGAAACTACTGACAAACAGGAGATTGATGTTACTCCTGTCATTCCCCAGACAGGATAATAGCTACTACTATTTTGTCTATTTCCTCGTCCCTCTTGCAGGCCATACAAGCGAAACAAAGCATGGCACCTAGCGAGAGGCCTAATGATAAACTGTTCGTTGATGTTCCTGAGAGACGGGATATTATGTCATTATATCATGATACTAAGACCGCTGGACATCCTGGTATTTCCAAAACGGTGTCAGCTGTTTCTCGGTATTTTTGGTGGGATTCCTTACGAAAGGATGTCACTGACTATATAAGTGCTTGTACTACTTGTGCCTGTATGAAATCCTCCCGTAGAGTTCCTTGTGGGCTGTTGCATCCGTTACCCGTTCCGAGAGACCTTGGTCTAACCTGTCCATGGATTTTATTGTTGAATTACCCCCTTCAAATGGTAACACAGTGATCCTGATGATAGTGGATCGGTTCTCCAAAATGGCTCACTTCGTGTCTCTTCGCAAGTTGCCCACATCCAAGGAACTGGCTCATATCTTCGCTAGAGAAGTATTTCGATTACATGGGATTCCCGTATCTATTGTATCCGATAGGGGTAGCCAATTTATTTCCAGGTTCTGGAGGGCCTTTTGTTCAGAAATGGGTATTTCTCTCTCATTTTCTTCCGCTTATCATCCCCAGTCTAATGGGGCTGCTGAGCGTGCCAACCAGTCTCTGGAGCAATACCTCCGTTGTTTTGTGTCTCACCATCAGGACAATTGGTCTGACCTGCTTCCTTGGGCTGAATTTGCTCGGAATAACGCCACTCATGATTCTTCCGGCAAGAGCCCTTTTTACGTTGTCTATGGCCAGCATCCCGTTGTTCTTCCGGCTGCATTCTCCTCACAGGGCATGCCAGTTCTGGATGAGCATTTGGCTGGTTTGCGTAATACTTGGGAGCAGGTTCAGCGTTCTTTGGTGGACTCTGCTACTCGCCAGAAGGCTCAGGCTGACAAGCATCGCAGAGCAGCTCCGTCCTATGTTGTGGGGGACAGGGTTTTGCTTTCCACGCGGAATATTCGTCTCCGGGTGCCTTCTATGAAATTGGCTCCCCGCTTCATTGGACCTTATCGTATTATACATAAGGTTAATCCTGTTTCTTATGCCTTAGGCCTGCCTAAGAATCTACGTATTCCTAATGTTTTTCACACCTCATTGTTGAAACCTTTCGTACGCAACCGCTATACCCGGCATACTCCTCCTCCCCCTCCTATCTCGGTGGAGGGTCATGAGGAGTTTGAAGTGTCTGCTGTTCTTGACTCTCGTTTCCTTAGGGGTCGACTTCAGTACTTGGTACATTGGAAGGGTTATGGGCCTGAGGAGCACAGTTGGATTTCGGCTGATGCTGTCCATGCTCCCCGTCTTGTGCGCTCTTTCCATTCTCGTTTTCCTGCCAGGCCTGGTCCTACCCGCCCGGGGGGCGTGTCCTCAGGGGGGGGTACTGTAGCGTTACTTACCTTAACCGGGGGCCGGTCGCGGTCCTCTCTTCAAGCCGCGCGCGGTCGCGCGGCTCATCCAACTGCTTTGGATGGAAGGCGGGCAGTGACCGCGTGAGGCGGTCACGTGTCCCGCCTGAAACTAAGAGCGCGCCGCGAGTCTCGGGCGCGCTCTTAAAGAGACAGTGGGAGCCTAATTGCCAAAAGGCTCCCATTGGCTCCTGTCATACCACACTCCCTGTACAATTACCTATAGGAGGTGTGGAAGTGACAGGAGCCAATCACTTTCGTTTTAAAGCTATTTAAACTTACCTTTTTCCCTTAGCTCGTTGCCCTATCGTGGTTTCTGTTTCAGTTCCCTTTAGCGCTTGTGGTGTTCAGTTGTGTTTTCTCGTATTGACTTTGGCTTCGTATTCTGACTTCGTTTTCGCTTTATCCTTATCTGTACTGTTTGCCGGCTTGCTGTTTTCCGTGTACCAGACCCCGGCTTGTCCTAGTTTACGCTGTCTCTCTGTGCCCTTGACCTCGGTTTGTTCCTGGCTCTGTCTCCTCTCATATACGTCGAGTCCGGCCATTCTAAGGTCCGGTAGACGTATCTCTCCTCTGTATTTGCCTCTGTTTAGCTGGATCCTGCGTGTAGGGGTATATTCTCGTTACACATATGCACAGAAAACACAGCCACACACAACAATAAAGGATTGTACTCCTGCACATCCAGCAATGTGATATACATGATTCAATGCACCAAATGCCACCTAGGATGCTACATTGGGGAAACCACCCAGCAATTAAATGGCAGAATAAATATGCACAGACACTCCATTAAACACCACAAAGAAGGATCGTACTGCACTCCTGTGGGACACCACTTTACCCAGTCTGGCCACTCACTGAAGGACCTAAAAATCAAAGTACTGAAAGGGGGGTTTTAAAAGTACCCAAGAAAAAAAATAAATAAAACAAAACACATTTTAAAGCCAGAACGATCAAAATGTTTAACAGCAAGAATAGAGGACTACATATTGATTTGGGTTTCCTGTCCCTCTACCAACACTTTACATGAACACTCCCCCACATTATCTCACTGTTCTGTCATATGTATCAACACTTTAAAACACATTCCAATATGTTTATTCTATCAATATACAAAAGACTATGTGTAGGCCTATGCTTTCCCATACATGTATGCGACTGTAGGTGTGCACGTACATATAGTCGGGCATTTAGTTGTATTTATATGTATATTGTTGTATGTTCTGGTGTATAGTGTGTATGTACTTGTGTATACGTAGACATGTGTAAGTGTGTGCCTGGGTATGCTGGATATAGGCCCTTATGCATATCCTGTAATTCCTGCATTCTTAATATAATGAAATATATATATATTTTTTTTTTTTTTTTTACTCTCCCATTCTAGCACCATCTTCTGCACTGTTTGCTTGTTTTTTTTTCCCCATCTCTTCCTCCCCCCTCTCTGATCTTCACACAAAATATTTACGACTCTCTGTAAGAATGGTGTCTATTTTCTAACAGACCTGTGTCTTGTCTGTACTCATGTCCCTTTAACCCCGGTATCACAACTCAACTTTGAATTCTATGTGTTGTCTTGCTCAGAAATGCTTTAGACTTGAGAAAGGGAGGTTCTACCGAAAGTGTGTCATTAAAAAATTTTGTTAGTCCAAAAAAAAAAAAAAAAGGGTATTACAAGAAATTAATTTTATCTGTTTTTTACATCTACAGCACTGGACTAAAACAGCTACAATATATATAATATATCAAAAGGAGTTGTGGTGGGGAAAAAAAAAAAAGAAGTGTGCCTACCCAGAATCCCTTGCAGTAGTGAGAGAACTGTTAAAATGAGATTTCTGTGGGAAAAGAAAGTCTTATAGCTTGACTGGTGTGTGTATTTGTGTTTAGCAAGGTTTTAAATAATAAATATATATATATATAATTTATTTTTTAATATGGCTTATATAGAAATGGTCTGCACTATATTGTATTATGTATTTTGAAGGAGATATACAAAAACGCTCTGAAGATAACAGGATTTTAAATATTATATTCCTTATTTTGCACACCATTTTGAGACACGCACAAAACCCAAGAACTGAGAGAACTCCCCTTCATCCAATAAATGGAAAAAAAAAAAAAATATATATATATAAAATCACATGCAAAAAATATAGATTTATTAAATCAAGTCTTTATTTGTACCTTTGTGCTTCTGATTACAACTGGATAATCCATTCCTACAATACATACAAAGTATAGATTAATAAAGTGATAAAACAGGGGAGAAAGGTTGGGAGAAGACAAAACAAACATAGTAAGACAAAAAATGCTCTAGCAGAAGGAGTAGAAAATGTGAACGATACATTCCACTTCTATTACTGCAGACCTTGGGCTCCACACTAAAGTCTAGTTTTATGGGAGCAGAAAGCAGAGTTTCACATACAGCCAAACCAAAATGATCCAAGCAACGTCCCATAACTCATTGCTTGTACCACATGCTATTAATTGCGGATTGCATAATTTGGTCACAGGAAGGCTGTATGCACAATACTCTGCCCATTTGTTATGCTATGAAATCATATCTTTTCATCTACAGGTTTGTTGCAGAGTTTGCCATCACAATGTAGATAGCAACTATAAAGTACCTGAAGATGAAATTTACATCCACACAATCCAATTAATGAATTACACCTAGGTCAATACAATGAGTCTGAACTAGCAATTAAAGGGACACTATAGTCAACAGAACAACTACAGCTTATTGTATTTGTTCTGGTGTGTATAATCAGTTCCTTCAGGGTTTTTTGCTGTAAACACTGTCTTTTCACAGAAAATGCAGTGTTTACATTACAGCCTAGTGATTCCTCCAGTGGCGGCTACTCAGATGACTGCTAGAGGTGCTCCCTTGAGCAGTGTGGCACAGTGTGCAAGACTGCCATTCAGTGTCTCCATCCTCTGCATGCAGACACTGAACTTTCCTCAGAGATGCATTGCTTCAATGCATCGCTATAAAGAGATGCAAATTGACCAGGGCTGTGTTTGGCTCGTGCTAGCTCTGGCCCGGATCTGCCTCCTGACAGTCTCAGACAATCCAATGCTTTCCTAGGGGAAAGCATTGTGATTGGCTTAGATCATAACTTCTGATGACGTCAGCCAAGCAGGCAGATCAGAGGCAGAGCCAACTGCAGCAGACTGGAATAAAAGTATGATTGGGGTTTTTAACACTACAGGGTCAGGAACACAAGTTTGTGTTCCTGAACCTATAGGGTTTCTTTAACCTTTGTTACATAGTTATATGGACTGAAAAAAGTAATACCAAGTTCAGACTGACATCTGTTGATCCCAAAAAAACAAAACAAAACCCCCTACCCCAGTTTTAAGAGCTTTCCAATTTTGCAACAAACAATATATATAAATCCTCCACCAGAGAATGGCAGTCAGATTTCTCCTTGGATTAAGAAACTGCATTTATGGAACATTTGCCAGCTGGATGGTAATAAGATATGGAGGGCAAGAGCGGTGTAAGTGGTTCACTTTAAACTTACCACGTCCAGATCCTGCTGGTGCCTCCTTCACCATTTCTATATTGGAGACTTCAAAATCTGTCACGAGGCTACCACCAGAATCTCGGAAATCGTCCGTGTATGCCTGTGACACTTGTTTGTAATTCACAATCCCTGTGTATGGAGAATCTAGAGCCATCACACCCTAGAACACACAGAGAATTAAAACTGAAATAAATTGCGGATTTAAAAAAAAAAAAAAAAAAGTTTCCCACTCTGATATACAGTAGTTAATACTCTAAGATTTGCTGTTCGCTTTTGCAATCACCGCCATTAGCGGTTTAGTTGATAAGCCCTTTGTTTCAACAGAGTCACTTAACCAAGAATAGAGGAGAAATTAAAAGGGAATTGTAAAATTTCAGCCAAAGTAGCCAACCCCAGAAATAGAGTTAGAGATTTTTTTTCCAGTTCATCTATTTTGGTCTAAAGTTTTCCATTTCCTTGTAACATACCCACAATTTTCAGTTTAGAAAATTAAATATGGATCATATGGAAAATCACTATATCTTAATGGTAACATATGGTTTGCTCATACATGTATTTTTAAAGTAATATTTTGCTTTTATTATTGTCATATGGAAAGTGCATGTGTATGCATCTTTAATCAGCTGAGAACCAAACTGCAGTGTTTTCAAATTTTAACAGCATGAGTTGCAAAAAGTATTTTTTTCACCTTTATTGACAGACCCCAATTACACACATGGAATTAGCTTATTGACCTATTCTTCAATTTTAAATTATTTAAGGGACCATTTCTTTAATTGTTGTAAATTAATTAATTTCATAACACCTTTAAGAGACTATTTTCCCACTGTAAGTGGTGTGAACATTGCACTTAGAAAAAGGAAACTGTGGTAATTGTCTGGGGCCTGATGTATATAATATGCTTGTTCCATCTATTGAGGATATGGAAGAGAAGAGAAATAAATAAAATTAAAACCAATTACTCCCCACCTCCAGCGACTAATATCCCTCAGCACTTCTGCTATCTCCTCCTCCAGGATGAATGTCCAATCCAATGTTCCTCATAGAGGAGCAATGGGCATCCTAGGTGCATACTCAGCGTTTGCCATGATGCTCTTAAGATTCTGCTATAGAGAGTCATTGATTTTATTTAAGGACACGGAGGCTCATATTATGCTATTCTCTTTCTTTTATTCCTCAGCAGCAAGAAAAATTTATTTTAGAGAAACAATCAAACATGTAAACATGCCCCAAAGGGCTAGTCCTACAATAATACAACCAATCAGCATGCCTTCAGCACTCTCAACTCCCCATGTGACCTTAAGCCACTCCTCTTTCTTGCTGCTGCCTTCCTCAGCTAAGTACATTTAATTTTTTTCTCTGTATGCTACCTGTGTGTTTGTCATCTTTATTCATTTTATTGTGGCAGTTAAAAATTGTAATTTGTTTGTTTTACTGTTGGGCTCCTGCCCTGTCTCTACACTTTATTTTCCAGCTGGCTCTCGGTTTTTCCCTCACCAAGAGCCAACCCCTCAACCCTCCCTCCCCTCCTATCTCTGGCTCACTCAGGTGGATGATCACCTACTGAGTCAGGGCGGCTAGCAGCTCTCCGTGTGGAGGCTCTTGCCACCCAGTCTGTTTTTTCGTGCCTCAGAGATCTTCCTCTGGGGCCCTCCTCCCCCCCCCGGTTCGCGGCTGTAACCGCGGCTGACGCCGTTCGCGCATGCGCACAACGCTAGTGCGCATCGCGGCGGCCATCTTGCGGTTGGCGGTTTTGCCGCGGTTTTGGTTCCCGGGCTTTTTGGAGCCTGTGGGGGCGGGAGTGAGTGCTGATTGGACAGCACAGTTGCTGGGCAGCTCACCAGTGTCCCCAGGAGCCATTCCTGAGGGAACACTTGGTGAGCTTGCCTTTTTCATATTGCTGTTTGTACTTTCTGGTGCCTTTTTGTATTCTGTATCAATACTGCTGATACACTGCTAATACCCAGTTTTGCCTAATATCAGGGAAGTCAATCCAATAGTTTATTTGGGTTCCCCCACCCCCCCCCCTTTTTTTCTTGGGTTTATTCATAAATAATATATACTTGTACCTAACCACAACCACTGTCAGAAGTGCTATTTAGTTATGCACGCTAGTAAGGATTTGGGCATGGCCTCCAATGATTCTCCCATTAGGGATAATATACCCCCTACCCCCCAGGTTGTCCCCAGACCGGTTGGCTTAACTGTCACTGATGTGACAGACCAGGAGCAGTTGAACTCGGAAGAGCTTCATTCTCTCCTGGATGCCACTATGACAAAATCCGTAACCCAAGCTGTTTACTCAGCCATGGGAGTTATGTCGGACACTCTGTCCCACTCTATTAGCCATGCCCTCTTGGCCGCCCAGCAGGCCTCTACTCACATTGCTCCTAACCCTACGGAGCACATTACAGGCAAGGCCAGTGGGCGCAAAGCCACCAAAAAATCTCGTCACATGGACGAGGAAGCCTCCAAAACTTTACGGACAGACAGGGAACATCCTGTCAAAGATAATGTGGTTGCACCACAACAAAGAGCCACCCACCGGGCAAAATCGGTGCGGAGTTGGAAAAGGGCAAAAGCTCAAGTGGAATCATCCGAGTCAGATTCGGAACAGGAGGAGGCATGGAGCGAGTCTGATGATGAGGACTCATTCAATTTGGGCACACTATTCCCTGACCACAGCGCTATATCTATGTCTGGGAATGAGGACGAGGACGGGGTGGAAGGCTTCACCCTCCTTGACCCACAGGGCGAACCTTTGTTTGACCCTGATAGTCTGCAACACCCAAGATCAACTGAATGGTTCCCGCTGGACCATGTGGCAAAATATATTGCCGCACGGATCAGGAAACCCCTTGATAAGGTGGTAAGAAGTAAGATGCGGGCAGAATGCCCACGCCCCACGCTACCAGATTTAATATGTATCGCCCCTATAGTGGACCCTAAGATTGCCCAGTTCCTGGGAAAAACTGGGTGGAAGGCGAAGAAGGGTCTAGACTTTGCACTTCGCCATTGCCAGGATAAGATCCTGGATGTCCTCGGACCCAGTGCAAAGATTTTTGACATGGTTGAAACGGCATTGGCAGGTGGTGCTCCCATAGACCTGCTAGCTATCAGGGGCTGGATACAGCGAGCCATATGTCTTCTTGGAAATGCCAACGTGGCTCTAGCCACTGAGAGGCGAAAGGCTATATTGAGATCGAACCAAAGCTAGTTGCCTTGGCTATCACTGAGCCTGGGCCACAGGCCAAAGGCCTTCTTTTTGGGGATAGTTTTGTGAAGGAGCTGGGTACCTAGGTGGGCACATTTACTGCTCTGGACAAGGCGCAAGCCGATATGAAAAAGGTTTTCTCCCATAGAGTTTTTGGCGGGGCCGGCAGATATCGGGGCCGCCTGCCCGGCCGTTCTTCCCGGGGCTCGTACCGGGTTTCTAGAGGCCCCTTCCAGTCACGTTACCAGAGTGAGGTACCAAAGTCCTCTCCATTCTTCCCAGTTCGAGGAAGACCCTGGCAGGCTCGTGGCTCCAGAAGCGTTTCCTATGGCCGACGTCCTTATGGTAAGTCCACTTCCTTCATCACTAACTTCAGTAACGTTGGTGGGGGGCAGGTTAGGCCACTTTATCGATGCTTGGCGAATGTTAACTTCAGATACTTGGGTCCTACAAACGGTAGTGGGTTATGCCATAGAATTTGTACAAACACCCGTCCAGATATCCCTCCCCAGACACATAGTCTCCTCCACCCACGACAGGGCATTAATCGCAGTGGAGATACAATCCCTGGCCGACAAAGGTGCAATCATAGAGACGCATCCAGGGGTTTCAGGTTTTCTAAGCAACCTTTTCGTGGTACCCAAGAAAGGCGGGGGTGTCCGTCCGGTCATCAACTTACGTCCCCTGAACGCCTTTGTAGTGTACCACCATTTCAAAATGGAGGGCATCCACTCCCTCCGAGATCTGCTCCTCTTGGAGGATTGGATGGTCAAACTCGATCTGCAGGACGCATACCTCACCGTCCCAATGGCCGAGGATTGCCAGCATTTCCTCCAGTTCCAATGGGAGGAGACCACATGGCGTTTCAAATGCTTGCCCTTCGGCCTCTCCTCGGCCCCATGGTGCTTCACGAAGCTCATGCGACCAGTGGTCGCTCTCTTACGCAGCAGAGGAGTGTGTCTGATTATATACTTGGACGACATGCTTCTGACAAGACCCACTCTTACTCTAGGAACATCTGATTTGGACAGAGACATTACTCGGCAACCTTGGTTTCCTCATCAACTGGGGCAAGTCGGTGGTACAACCCTCCCAAGTCTTGGAGTTTCTGGGCTTCACCATCGATTCAGTGGAAGGGACACTCCTATTACCATCTTCCAAAGTCAGGATCATCAAGAAAGAAATCTGCCGGACACTGGCTCGACCTGCACCAACGCTACGGCAACTGGCCAGGATCATCGGCCTTCTCTCGGCCTCCATCCAGGCCATTTTCCCGGGCCCACTTCACTACAGGGCCCTTCAACGCCTAAAAGCAAAATACCTTCGGTCAGGTCTCTCCTATTCAGACTCTGTACCTCTCGATTGTGCTGCCAAAGAAGAACTCTCTTGGTGGCTGCAGCACATGGAAGCATGGAACGGAAGAGCAATCTTTGGGACGAGGCCGGACTTCGTCGTGGAATCGGACGCAAGTCTGCTGGGCTGGGGCGCGCGTTGCGGTCCTATCTCCACCGGAGGGAAATGGTCCCCAGACGAACAGGAGTTACACATCAATTGCCTCGAGCTTTTGGCGGGGTCATTTGCAGTTCGGAGTCTCGTAGGTACCTCAACCAACTGTTCCATTCTTCTACGGATGGACAACGTGTCAGCGGTCCGCTACATCAATCATCTCGGGGGTACGAAGTCAGTGGTGTTAGCGGAACTAGCAAAAGACTTCTGGCACTTCTGCCTGGATCGCAATATTTCGGTTCAGGCGGAACACATTCCCGGGATGTCCAATATGGTGGCGGATTGGAATTCCAGATACCTACGGGATGCCAGCGACTGGCGGCTGAAGCGGGCCATTTTCCTGCAACTCCAGACACTCTGGGGCCCACTAGAGATCGACCTCTTCGCTTCACGGTTGAACTCCCAACTACAGAGTTTCTTCAGTTGGAGACCGGATCCAGAGGCATTGGCTTCAGCTGCCTTCCTTCAACAGTGGCCGGACACACGAGCATACGCTTTTCCTCCTTTCTCATTGATTGCGAGGACGCTTCTACATCTCAGGCGCTACCGAACCTCCATGATTCTCATCGCCCCATTCTGGACGGCTCAACCATGGTTCCCTACACTCATGGAGATGTCCATGGACTACCCAAGACTGATTCCAACCTCTCCGGACCTCTTACTGGACCCCAACGGGGAACCGCACCCCTTACTATTACAGGGACGCCTCCAATTACTGGCATGGCTCCTCTCCGGGGACTTGGATTCATCCCGGACGTTCCACAAACAACTATTGACCTTCTGGCGGGAGCTTGGGCTCCGGGAACAAGGAAATCCTACTTACATGCCTGGAATTCATGGAGTGGTTGGTGCATGGAACAACACATGGATCCCTTATCGGCACCTATAAGTCACGTTTTGAGATTTCTCACTTCTCTGTTTGACCATGGCCTAGCCTATCGCACGATAAATGTGTACCGATCGGCTATTTCCACAGGCCACCAAGGGTTGGATGGTGCCCCGGCAGGTAAACATCTCCTCGTATGCCGACTCCTGCGCGGCATTAGATTTGCACGACCGCCGCAACCTAGATACTCTTCATCATGGGATGTTGACCTTGCCCTCCAGCTTCTGGCAGATTGGCCAAGGAACGAAGATCTCTCACTGAAACAACTCACGGCAAAGCTGGCGATGCTGTTTTCTTTGATCTCCTGTAAGCGGGTGTCGGATGTGCGTGCGTTGGACTTCTCTGCACGTTCATTCACCCCCGACGGTGTCTTGTTTAATATTTCCAGGCGTACGAAGACGTCAATCACCTCAGTATTCTACCCGGCTTTTCCACATAACTCTAAGCTATGCCCAGTGGCATGTCTCAAGGAATACGAGTCCAGGACTTCTTCGATTCGTGATCCTGCATATCCAGAGTTATTCCTAGCCCTTCGTCATCCATATCACCCTGTTTCAACAGTCACATTGTCTCGTTGGGTCAAGTGGGTTATAAAATTAGCGGGCATCGACACTTCTGTGTATGGAGCACACTCGGTCAGGGGAGCCATGGCGACTAAAGCATTCTCCAAAGGATGCAGGTTGGAGGACCTACTCCGGGCGGCTGATTGGTCCCGCGAATATACCTTCAAGGAGTTTTATTTTCGTCCAGTTTCTCATTTTTCAGAGGTGGTCGTGTCACAGCTTTGAACTAGCATAATATGAGCCTCCGTGTCCTTAAATAAAATTACCAGATTTTACTAATTTCATGACGTAAAGTCATGATTTTATTAAGGACACGGAGGCGAGTATTATCCCACCCGATGCAGGTAAGTGGTACCCTCCCATAGATAAGTGGTCAGTAAGTTGCTACGGATTCAGGTTACTACAACACACTGCATGTATTGAAAGGTTTTGGTTAGAGGATAATCTGGTTTTTGGTGGCATATATCCCGATGTCTAATTCTGTTCAAAGGTCCAGAAACATATTTTACCAGTTTGTTTCTCTGTTCCTTTCAGCTTCATGATCCGGTTTGGCACCGTTGTGCATGGATTTCCTTCAGGACCTACGGGAAGATCCCAGCTTCTGGAGAATACTGGATTTTTCACTGTGGCGGTCCTGGCATTTTGCTTTTTTTTCCTTCAAGTTGATATGTTACTATGGAATTTTTTGTCGACAACACCAAGAAAGAGGAGTGGCTTAAGGTCACATGGGGAGTTGAGAGTGCTGAAGGCATGCTGATTGGTTGTATTATTGTAGGACTAGCCCTTTGGGGCATGTTTACATGTTTGATTGTTTCTCTAAAATAAATTTTTCTTGCTGCTGAGGAATAAAAGAAAGAGAATAGCATAATATGAGCCTCCGTGTCCTTAATAAAATCATGACTTTACGTCATGAAATTAGTAAAATCTGGTAATTCTCTATGGCCGACTGATGGCACTGCGCAAGATTCCATACTCTCAAACCCAGACGTTTTGGAGGCGTGGCTTTAGGCTGTGCTTTGAAGCCCTCTAATTAGTTTATTACAGGGTTTTGGTGAGTAAGCAAGGGGTGGCAGGCCTGCAGGCACTATGACAACTTCATTAAAATTGAGTTGTACAACTTCCTAGAGTGTCCCTTTAATAATGTAATTCATCAAACTGGCCTACATCTGTGTAAAGGTTCATGCTGATGCAGACATACACACCCTGCAGTACGGTTCCTTCTCCTTGATCTCCTTAGGACCAATCACACGCAGCCCAGGTACATTGTTTAGCAAGCCTCTTTTGTACAGTGCTTGGAGTCTGGGGACTTCCTGGTTTTCCACAGCAACAATCAGCTGTCAAAAAATAAAAATAAGTTTGTTAGTGACAGAAGTACAATTGCAATTTGGGTATAAGACATATTCTGGTCTAAACCTTGTGACTGATGTCAAATCAGCATAATCCCACCCTCAACTTTCACACCAAGAATGAATCAGAGGGTATACAGAAGCCAGCCACGTGGGGCAGCACATCTCCAACATGTGACTGACCACATTCATTCCCTAAACTCAAAGTTAGGGAGTCAAGGCTGCAGAAATTAAAGACACACAGTCACTCACCCAAAAGATAGAATCTTTATGAAATACTCATTTTGACTGTGTTGCAATTTCACTGAAATTCCAACCCAGTCAAGAGATCTAGAGAGACAAAGTAGGGACTACTTTGTATATTTCTCCTCCACCTGGCTTTCTTAGACTCAGGGCAGAGTCCAAGTGGCAATCCTGTTCTTGCTGGATCCTCCATAGACCTTAATGCTGTATTCTCGCACATGTGAGGGGGTACACCAGTGACGCCGGCACCTGGTGCTGAAGCACCAGGAGCATACTAAAGAAGATGGCGGCCTCCACTAGGGACAGCTACAGGTAAGTAAACGTCACTTTACCTGCCCACCAGATCCCCAGTGGCAAATGTCCCCGTCAGGGGGCGTTTGCGAATTCGGTAAATTCCTGAGTCTGTGACCGTTTCACTTTAAAAGCTATTTCTTTGAGAATCATTGTATAGAACATAGAATAAAATAATGCCACTGGGAAAGCTATGTTTAACTTTCCTCTATTTTCCAAGTACTTCCTGGGTACGCGAGTCAAACTTGTGAACTCTCGTGATAATAAATTGTCTCAAAATAAAGAAAAAAAAAAATTCTGTAAAAATAGGTTTAAGCAACACAAACGTCTGGCAGCTTGGAGTAATCACACGTTATTAAAACAGACCATCATCTGTCAACAAGAAACGTTGTTCTCAAAATCCAGCTACCAAATAATAACCACGAACACAAATGGGTTTTATTCCCTAAATGATGAAAGATAGTACATTGGAAACCAAAAAAAAACAAACTAAGGCTTGAAAAGTCCAGCTGTGACTAGAGCAGATTTTGTGTTTCCAAATCAGCTATTTAGGCGTTAAAGTACATGAGGTAATCCACTATTTGTGGGGAATTCAAAGTGAGTTTCAAATGTAAGACTAAAGTAGTCAACTGGAAACATTCTCAAATTCACCTATGCTTCCAAAACTGCTAATCTGGCGTTAAATTTGAATTTCACTTTGAATCCTGACAATTTTCACTTTAAAATTTACTACAATTACAGTTTGCATTATATGGTCAAATCTAGTTAATATCTGCTTAAACTGAGACATTTTTTGGTTATAGCTTTATCCTAAAGTTTTAACTCCATAAATTCTGCTGGCAGACTCTATGAAATTACCAATCCCCATAAATGTAATATTTCCACTCACTGTGGAGCCACTTACAGTACCTTTCCACATTGCCGAAATGGAATTGCCTTGCGGTCACAGTAATTATAGAGGAGTGCAGCACCACGCACACACAGTCTGGCCTTCAGGGACCCAGGTGTATAGTATATGCCACTGTGAATAACACCACTGTTATGGCCACTCTGGTGGGAAGCTGTGTAATACACAATGACAAGCAAATCAGAATTCTGGCAAATACTACAGATGTTTTTGTGGGGCTAACCAACCTATAAGAAGCCATTTTAATTAAAAGGCACACTCTATGCACCAGAACCTCAACAGCTCAATGTAGTGGTTTTAGTGCAAAGAGACTGTCTCTGCAGTCTCTCAAGTTTAAATACTGCGGTTTTTGTGAAAAGTATTTACATTTGGCCTGAAGAACACCTCTAGTAGCTGTCATTCAGAGAGTCATTATAGGTGCTTCCTATTGCGGCCCTGCAATCTTTGAAGGACCAGTGCCAACTGTAATGCATGCACATTAGTCCCCCAATGATTCCCAACAAAGGCATGCTGGATTGACTAAGATCATAAGTAATCATCATCTCAGGAAGGGCAGCAGCTGAGGTAAGGGAAAGAAGGCAAATAAAAACATTATGCACATAAGATATCCACCTTCATTTTTCAAGCTGCCTAAATCACTCCCCTCTACATTTGGATAATAAAGGGACACTATGGTCACCAAAACAACTACAGCTTAATGTAGTTGTTCTGGTGAGATTAACCAGTTCCTTCAGGCTTTTTGCAGTGAAGTCTTTTCAGAGAAAATGCAGTGTTTACATTACAGTACAGGGATACCTCCAGTGGCTACTCATCAGATGGCTGCTAGAGATGCTTCCTAGGTGATTGGCCAGGGCTGTGTTTGGCTTGTGCTGGCTCTGCCTAAGATATGCCTCCTTGACAATCTTATCCAATTCAATGCTTTTCTATGGGAAAGCGATGTGATTAGCTGAGGTCACCAATTCTGATGAGATCAGCCAAAAAGGTAGATCAGGGGCAGAGCCAGCAGCAGACTGGAATAAAGGTAGGATTTTAATATATTTTGGGGGAGCAAAGGGGCCAGATAGTGTTTTTAACACTATAGGGTCAGGAATACATATTTTTGTTCTTCACCTTATAGTGTTCCTTTATACAAATGTACACTCCACAGAGTGCAAGGGGGGCAGCATTGAATGTTACCAAATAAATGTTGTATTGTTGCACAAAAAAGTGACTGTGGGAAAAGTAGTGTTATTATTGTAGCAAAATACAGTTCATAGTTCTATGACTTCATATTATTGTGCAATCGAATTCGCCTTACCGATTACTTTCTCTTTTTCTAAGATGGCAAATTTGAGGGATGGATGTCGCAGCACAAGTTGTCTCCCTGATGCAAGCCCCACAATGCCGGCACCAACAATCACCACATCATATGCGCTAAAATTAAAAAAAAAAACAAAAAAAACAACAACAAAAAACTCTTTAATCAAAATGTAAACTGGACAACAATTACATATAAAAACCCAAACAAACAAAACCAGCCTTTGAAAGATGCCAATATCAAAAGTACTTAAAGGGAGACTCCAGTGAAGAGCATTATTTCAATAGATATTTGCACTTTTATAAATTAAACGTGTTACGCCCCCAAATTGCCAATCTGTCTTGTTACTTCCTGGTTTGGTTACCTTAGTGGAGCTAAACTCAAGACTCCTGCATTGCCAAGTCTGTGTTTGGACAGCCACAGAAATTCAGAAAGTGCAAAATGAAAAACAGAATCCCAGTGGGGTTATCTCACAATATAAAGACACTACAACACCTTGGTGGGGTTCCCTTAGCCCTCACCAACAAATACACAATATACAACAGACAAGGTGGAGTATCTTACATACAATGGATAATAACAATGTCCCAAGATGATGTTCAAATGTAGAGCCTAAAGTTTAGGCTCAAACGTCAAGCGTTGTGGGATCTTGTAGGGTCCCACTCCCTCTTCTGTGTATAGTAGGGTAGATTCCCTCTTCAATACGTAGTAAGGTAGATGCCCCTCTCAGTAACAGAGTTGCTCCAATGGTTTTCCAAAATGAGCTTTATTGTATCCAATCAATAATATAAAACAATGTATAAAATAGGTTAAAAAGTCCTTACAATTCGTAGGTCCTTTTTCCAGAATAGCAAAACGCATTTCTCCCCTCATGGGGGCTTCTTCAGTTGCTGTGATTAGGGAACACTCGTTTTCCTCCGTTATATGCTGTCCGATATTCCCCGATTATTGAATTATAGTTCCGGGTATGCGCGCACATACCCGGAAGTAGGTCCAACCTCCGGGCTGCGCGCGCACCACTTCTCCACGTCGGATGTGTAGCTGGATTACAGTGCTTGCGTTCCACCCTGCTCTTGCTGTATTCTGTCCACTTGCATGTTGGAACACAAGCCTGCTCTATTTGGAACGCAATAATCTAGAATTCCTTCTAAATTGTATTATACAATTGCAAAGAAACGGAGACAAGAATCCATAAAAGTATATAATAATACTATAAAGTCTCTATTATCTTCGTGTCTCCCAAAAAAAATTATAAAATGTTAGTACATGAAAGTTAAAAAATTTAATAAAAAATATATATCTCTATTGAGCTTATAACAATTTATGGAAAGAAGATGCAGACTACTTTTTAGTCCATAACAATATCCAGAAAAGAGGTACAGACCACTCTTAGTTGGTAATTTCATTAATACTTCATAAAAATACAAAAGGAAAATAAATAAAGAGAATAATCTTAACTTCTCTATTAGAAGCTGAGTCATAAAACATGATAAATGTACTAAAATATGGAATCATTATAGTTACAACAATAAAATTCTAAATAGTGATAATAGAAATTATATGGTGTAAAATATGTGCTATACTAAAATGATGGTTGAGAATGGTCCACTACAACTGTGAATATGTTACTCTGAATCCTACTTAAAAATGGCATACTTCAAAATCTGAATTTAATCCGTGGGATATTAGTGTGCAAAAATTAAATATAAATTTCATCTCCTCTCTACCCATTTTTTTTTTTTTAAATATAATTACCTCCTCTCCAATCTCTTTTTGGCCTACCGAATTCTGATTGTGTACTCTTTTAAAATGTTGAGGAGCACTATGGGTTTCTAAAACATTTTTTAATATTTCTTACATGCTCTGCAATCTGGATCTTTAATGGTCTAATTGTTCTGCCCACATACAATAAGTTACATGGGCATTGTAACACATATATAACTCCCTTTGTATGACACGTGAGATGGTCAGTTATGGCGTATTTTTTAATAGTAAATTGTTCTAGATTAGATATGTCATCTTTTATTCTTAGTTTCCTTGCATGGTAGACAGGAGCCACATCTGTAAAATCCTTTTAAATCTTGTAAAAATGGTTAGATTTTTGGGGGCTAAGGTGACTATTAACTAAAATATTTTTAAATATTTTTGCCCCTCTATAAATAATTTTAGGTTCCACCAATAAAATTTTATTCAGAATAGGATCATCTCGTAATAGGTACCAGTGTTTCTGAATTATTTTTTGTACTTGTTTGCTTTGTCCATGATAATTACAGATAAAAGGTATTCCATCCATTTTCGTTGTATTGTTCCTTTGTCTATATTTAATAAGTTCCTCTCGTGGCTGGCATTCTACTTCCTTTAAATCCTATTCCAATAACCCTTCATTGTAACCCTTCTCCAAAAATTCTTCTTTCAAGTAGTTGGCTTGATTAACAAAATCTGAGTTTTGTTTACAATTCCGCCGGATCCTAAGGAATTGCCCCTTAGGGACATTATCCAGCCATGGTTTATGATGACAACTGGTTTTCTCTATATATCCATTGTCATCAACTGGTTTAAAAAAATTCTTAGTAACAATAGTGGAATTCTGGATGCTGATATGTAGATCTAAAAAATTGATTTCAAGAGGACTGATGGTACTAGTAAGCTTTATTCCCCAACTATTGGAGTTAAGATATTCCAAAAAATGGTTCAATTCTTCTCGTACCCCTGTCCAAATAAAAAAGATGTCATCTATAAAACGGCGATATGACACCAAGTTCGCCCCCCAGCCATGACCCTGCATGACATACCTCTCCTCCCAAAAGGCCATGAAGAGGTTGTCATAGCTTAGGGCGAACTTGGTGCCCATCACCGTACCACAAGTCTGCATGTAAAAACCATTCTCAAACCAAAAAAAAATAAAAAAAAAATTGTTGGTTAAAATCAATAAAATTCCTTCAAAATAAAATCTGTCTGTTCCTCTTTGAAATTAGACTTCGTTAAACAATGCTGGACTGCCTCTATTCCTATATAGTGCGGAATAATGCTATAAAGTGAGGCAACATTACATGTTACTAATAGGTATCCTTCTTTCCATTGGATGCCCTCCAAAATTTGTAAAATGTGGATAGTATCCTTCAGGTAGCTTGGATTGGTTAACACGATAGGTTGTAATAAGGTATCAATATATTCGGATACCCGGGTAGAGATGGAATCTATGCCTGATATGATTGGCCTCCCCGGAGGATTCTTTGTATCCTTATGAACTTTAGTTAGGTGGTAAAATACAGGAACTTTGGGATCTGTTATGTTTAAATATTCCGCCTCTTTTTCATTCAATATACCCAGCTTTTTTCTATATATTTCTTAAAAATTATTTTTGCGTCTCCCAATGGGTTCTGGGGGAGTTTCTTGTATGTTGTGGTGTCTGACAAAATTCTCCCCGCTTCCGCAACATACTGTTCCCTATCAAAGATAACTATACCAATCCCCCCCTCATCCGCTGGTTTGATTACAAGATTTTTATCTCTTTGCATTCATTTAAGGGTTCTCCTTTCTTCCATGGTTAAAGGACCACTATAGGCACCCAGACCACTTCAGCTTAATGAAGTGGTCTGGGTGCCAGGTCCTACTGTAGAGAGATCTGTATGAGGTCCTAAAGAAGTTGAAGAAAAAACACAATAGGGTAGCACAGTTGGGTGTAGAAATAAGAGAAATGTAAGTAAGAGATGTACTTACAAACCTAGAGCCCCTATGGCTCTACAGTCTTGCGATGTGTAGTAAGGGACTACACTCCCTCAAATATAAGCTGATACCGGCCACCAGGATAAAAAGTAAAATACTTTATTGAATAAAACAATAAAAAAGGAACAATGTCCATATATTTTCTATATGGACATTGTTCCTTTTTTATTGTTTTATTAGATTTTAGTGTATTCAATAAAGTATTTAACTTTTTATCCTGGTGGCCGGTATCAGCTTATATTTGAGGGAGTGTAGTCCCTTACTACACATCGCAAGACTGCAGAGCCATAGGGGCTCTAGGTTTGTAAGTACATCTCTTACTTACATTTCTCTTATTTCTACACCCAACTGTGCTACCCTATTGTGGTTTTTCTTCAACTTCTTTAGGACCACATACAGATCTCTCTACAGGGGTGGGTCACCGTAACGGACCCGAAGCTGAATATACCCGAGCTAGGTTTTTAGCTCTATGTTTGTGAGTGTTTCAAAAGATTATTTTTATTATTGATATTGTTTAAAGATTTTACACTATGTGGGTATCTCCTTTGTACCATTTCAGAGTTTGATCCCATCTGGTCCACTATACGATATAGATTGTATCTGGATGTAGATTACTATTTCTAAAGGTAACTACTATTTAATTTGTTACATATAAGCGCTACACTATCTCCTCCTTTTATCTATTGTATATTTTGTGTCTTATGGGAAAGGCATCTCTGTCTAGTGTTTAGCAGCAGGTATATATATTTTGTTCCTTATTATACGTTTATTATATTAGCGCTAGTACTTTTCTCCATTTTTCCATTATTTTATATATTGTCTTATATTATTGATTGGATACAATAAAGCTCATTTTGGAAAACCATTGGAGCAACTGTTTCTGAGAGGGGCATCTACCTTACTACGTATTGAAGAGGGAATCTACCCTACTATACACAGAAGAGGGAGTGGGACCCTACAAGATCCCACAACGCTTGAAGTTTGAGCCTAAACTTTAGGCTCTACATTTGAGTATCATATTGGGACATTGTTATTATCCATTGTATGTAAGATACTCCACCTTGTCTGTTGTATATAGAGAAATTCAGGGCTGGAAAAAAGGGGAAGGGATTGCAGAGGCTGCAGACAAGAGATCTGTTACTTTTGCAGACGGTTTTTATTTTATTTGGGCAGTGGAGTGTCCCTTTAGAGTTACCCCTTGTGTAGAGCAGTAGCAAATACAGCCCTGCAATCAGACATGCAAATCCTTTATTAGCTCTTTTCTTGATCTGTGAAGTGATATATCAAGATGCCTTGCATGGAAAGCAGTGCCACGTATGCCCACTCTGCATTGTTTAATGCTGTAAACAGCAAAGTTAGAGAATCTGTAGAATTTAACTATACCCCCCTGAAACAGGCTCACACACTAATTCTCACAATAAAAGCTATGAGAGACCAGGGATCGGCTGAATGATATCAGCCTATCCTGGTTTAAATTAATTTCACCTCCATGGCAACAATACAGCAAAAGAGCGGCATTCAGAGGGTAGTATTTTTTGTTGTTGAATGCGTTATCCATATAAATGATTATATGGAAATTATTCTGCTTGAGTGACTCTGTAAAGTGGTTGGCATGAGTTATAATCCCATAATGATTCTACTCACAAGACCAAAGGTCAGTTCTAAGGAGAGTTTTGAAAGCATGCAAAATTGTGTACTTTGAACACTCCACTGCGAAAACAAAAACAAACTATTTAGTAAATACACTCCCAATGAAAACATGTATGCATTACTTTCTGCATTATTTTCTTTTGAGGAATATCTAAAAACTGTAGATCTCCCATCTGCATTCTATGCCAGCCTTCCCCTTGTTACCAAGCATAGACAATTTTAGCCTGTGCTGGGGAATATACTATGAGCAGATTCTCATCGGAAGCCTGTGTGCTGTAACAGCAAGTGAGTAAGCGCATGCAATTGCGGTTTTCCTAAGCTTCTCAATGAGGGGGATGGCAGGCACACAATCGCTCTGTGGAGCAAATGGAAGTTGAAGAAAACCTCATTGGCTGTCTACTTGACAGCCAGAGAGGTGTTTCTGCTCCCAATTTTAAAAGTGACAATTTCTGTTGAAATTAGACTAATGTGACAGACTCCAAGCACACAAACGACTTCAGCAAGCTGTGTGCGCGTTAGCTAGTGGTGTTGAAGGAACACCTTTAACACCACTAGCCACACACTGCAAGGGACATTTCATTCTGGAGTTTGCCCCCATTTGCTCCTCAGCCCTAAACCTCACAGTAATGTGTTTCACAGAGCTCCAGAGCCATAAAATGCAAAAGAGCTCGACTATAATGTGCAATATGCATGAGTAATAAAAAACTTACAGCAATGACAAGTGTGTGTGTATCACAGAGCTCCACACACAGTACCCAGCAGTGTGTGAGAGAGTGCATCACAGAGCTCCTCACACTGTATCCAGCAGTGTGTATCACAGAGCTCCTCACACAGTGACCAGCAGTGTATCACAGAGCTCCTCACACAGTGACCAGCAGTGTATCACAGAGCTCCACACACAGTACCCAGCAGTGTATCACAGAGCTCCTCACACAGTGACCAGCAGTGTATCACAGAGCTCCTCACACAGTGACCAGCAGTGTATCACAGAGCTCCTCACACAGTGACCAGCAGTGTATCACAGAGCTCCAAACACAGTACATCACAGAAACATAGAATGTGACGGCAGATAAGAACCATTCGCCCATCTAGTCTGCCCAATTTTCTAAATACTTTCATTAGTCCCTAGCCTTATCTTATAGTTAGGATAGCTTTATGCCTATCCCACGCATGCTTAAACTCGTTTACTGTGTTAACCTCTACCACTTCAGCTGGGAGGCTATTCCATGCATCCACTACCCTCGAAACACAGGGTAGTGGATGCATGGAGCTCCACACACAGTACCCAGCAGTGTATCACAGAACTCCACACACAGTGACCAGCAGTGTATCACAGAGCTCCACACATAGTAACCAGGAGTGTATCACAGAGCTCCACACACAGTGACCAGCAGTGTATCACAGAGCTCCACACACAGTAACCAGAAGGGTATCACAGAGCTCCACACACAGTAACCAGTGTATCACAGAGCTCCACACACAGTAACCAGAAGGGTATCACAGAGCTCCACACACAGTGACCAGCAGTGTATCACAGAGCTACTCACGCAGTGACCAGCAGTGTATCACAGAGCTCCACACACAGTAACCAGCAGGGTATCACAGAGCTCCACACACAGTAACAAGCAGTGTATCACAGAGCTCCACACACAGTGATCAGCAGTGTATCACAGAGCTCCACACACAGTACCCAGCAGTGTATCACAGAGCTCCACACAGTACCCAGTGTATCACAGAGCTCCTCACACAGTAACCAGCAGTGTATCACAGAGCTCCACACACAGTAACCAGCAGTGTATCACAGAGCTCCACACACAGTAACCAGCAGTGTATCACAGAGCTCCACACACAGTAACCAGTGTATCAGAGCTCCTCACGCAGTACCCAGCAGTGTATCACAGAGCTCCACACGCAGTGACCAGCAGTGTATCACAGAGCTCCACACACAGTAACCAGCAGTGTATCACAGAGCTCCTCACGCAGTACCCAGCAGTGTATCACAGAGCTCCACACGCAGTGACCAGCAGTGTATCACAGAGCTCCACACGCAGTGACCAGCAGTGTATCACAGAGCTCCACACACAGTAACCAGTGTATCACAGAGCTCCTCACACAGTAACCAGCAGGGTATCACAGAGCTCGTCACACAGTGACCAGCAGTGTAGCACAGAACTCCATACAGTGACCAGCAGTGTAGCACAGAGCTCCTCACACAGTACCCAGCAGTGTATCACAGAGCTCCACACACAGTACCCAGTGTATCACAGAGCTCCACAGTGACCAGCAGTGTGTCTCAGAGCTCCACACACAGTACCCAGCAGTGTATCACAGAGCTCCACACAGTACCCAGCAGTGTATCACAGAGCTCCACACACAGTAACCAGCAGTGTATCACAGAGCTCCACACACAGTAACCAGCAGTGTATCACAGAGCTCCACACACAGTACCCAGCAGTGTATCACAGAGCTCCACACACAGTACCCAGTAGGGTATCACAGAGCTCCTCACACAGTGACCAGCAGTGTATCACAGAGCTCCTCACACAGTACCCAGCAGTGTATCACAGAGCTCCTCACACAGTACCCAGCAGTGTATCACAGAGCTCCTCACACAGTAACCAGCAGTGTATCACAGAGCTCCACACACAGTAACCAGCAGTGTATCACAGAGCTCCTCACACAGTAACCAGCAGTGTATCACAGAGCTCCACACACAGTAACCAGCAGTGTATCACAGAGCTCCACACACAGTAACCAGTGTATCACAGAGCTCCTCATGCAGTGACCAGCAGTGTATCACAGAGCTCCACACGCAGTGACCAGCAGTGTATCACAGAGCTCCACACGCAGTAACCAGCAGTGTATCACAGAGCTCCTCACGCAGTGACCAGCGGTGTATCACAGAGCTCCATACGCAGTGACCAGCAGTGTATCACAGAGCTCCACACGCAGTGACCAGCAGTGTATCACAGAGCTCCACACACAGTACCCAGTGTATCACAGAGCTCCACACACAGTGTATCACAGAGCTCCACACACAGTGACCAGCAGTGTATCACAGAGCTCCTCACGCAGTGACCAGCAGTGTATCACAGAGCTCCTCACGCAGTAACCAGCAGTGTATCACAGAGCTCCTCACGCAGTAACCAGCAGTGTATCACAGAGCTCCACACACAGTAACCAGTGTATCACAGAGCTCCTCACGCAGTACCCAGCAGTGTATCACAGAGCTCCACACGCAGTGACCAGCAGTGTATCACAGAGCTCCACACGCAGTGACCAGCAGTGTATCACAGAGCTCCACACGCAGTAACCAGCAGTGTATCACAGAGCTCCTCACGCAGTGACCAGCGGTGTATCACAGAGCTCCATACGCAGTGACCAGCAGTGTATCACAGAGCTCCACACGCAGTGACCAGCAGTGTATCACAGAGCTCCACACACAGTACCCAGCAGTGTATCACAGAGCTCCACACACAGTGTATCACAGAGCTCCACACACAGTGACCAGCAGTGTTTCACAGAGCTCCTCACACAGTGTATCACAGAGCTCCACACACAGTGACCAGCAGTGTATCACAGAGCTCCACACACAGTGACCAGCAGTGTATCACAGAGCTCGTCACACAGTGACCAGCAGTGTAGCACAGAACTCCATACAGTGACCAGCAGTGTAGCACAGAGCTCCACACACAGTACCCAGTGTATCACAGAGCTCCACAGTGACCAGCAGTGTGTCTCAGAGCTCCACACACAGTACCCAGCAGTGTATCACAGAGCTCCTCACACAGTACCCAGCAGTGTGTCACAGAGCTCCACACACAGTACCCAGCAGTGTGTCACAGAGCTCCACACACAGTACCCAGCAGTGTGTCACAGAGCTCCACACACAGTACCCAGCAGTGTGTCACAGAGCTCCACACAGTACCCAGCAGTGTGTCACAGAGCTCCTCACACAGTAACCAGTGTATCACAGAGCTCCACACACAGTAACCAGCAGTGTATCACAGAGCTCCACACACAGTGACCAGCAGTGTATCACAGAGCTCCACACACAGTAACCAGCAGTGTATCACAGAGCTCCTCACACAGTAACCAGCAGTGTGTCACAGAGCTCCTCACACAGTATCACAGAGCTCCTCACACAGTGTATCACAGAGCTCCTCACACAGTAACCAGTGTATCACAGAGCTCCACACACAATACCCAGCAGTGTATCACAGAGCTCCACACACAATACCCAGCAGTGTATCACAGAGCTCCACACACAGTACATCACAGACACATAGAATGTGACGGCAGATAAGAACCATTTGGCGCATCTAGTCTGCCCAATTTTCTAAATACTTTCATTAGTCCCTAGCCTTATCTTATAGTTAGGATAGCCTTATGCCTATCCCACGCATGCTTAAACTCCTTTACTGTGTTAACCTCTACCACTTCAGCTGGGAGGCTATTCCATGCATCCACTACCCTCGACACACAGGGTAGTGGATGCATGGAGCTCCACACACAGTGACCAGCAGTGTCTCACAGAGCTCCACACACAGTGACCAGCAGTGTCTCACAGAGCTCCACACACAGTGACCAGCAGTGTATCACAGAGCTCCACACACAGTGACCAGCAGTGTATCACAGAGCTCCACACACAGTAACCAGGAGTGTATCACAGAGCTCCACACACAGTAACCAGTGTATCACAGAGCTCCTCACACAGTAACCAGCAGTGTATCACAGAGCTCCTCACGCAGTGACCAGCAGTGTATCACAGAGCTCCACACGCAGTGACCAGCAGTGTATCACAGAGCTCCACACGCAGTGACCAGCAGTGTATCACAGAGCTCCTCACGCAGTGAATCACAGAGCTCCACACACAGTAACCAGCAGTGTATCACAGAGCTCCACACACAGTACCCAGCAGGGTATCACAGAGCTCCACACACAGTGATCAGCAGTGTATCACAGAGCTCCACACACAGTAACCAGCAGTGTATCACAGAGCTCCAAACACAGTACCCAGCAGTGTATCACAGAGCTCCAAACACAGTAACCAGCAGTGTATCACAGAGCTCCACACACAGTGACCAGCAGTGTATCACAGAGCTCCACACACAGTACCCAGCAGTGTATCACAGAGCTCCAAACACAGTACCCATCAGTGTATCACAGAGCTCCTCACACAGTAACCAGCAGTGTATCACAGAGCTCCACACGCAGTAACCAGCAGTGTATCACAGAGCTCCTCACGCAGTAACCAGCAGTGTATCACAGAGCTCCACACGCAGTGACCAGCAGTGTATCACAGAGCTCCACACGCAGTGACCAGCAGTGTATCACAGAGCTCCACACGCAGTACCCAGCACTGTATCACAGAGCTCCTCACGCAGTAACCAGCAGTGTATCACAGAGCTCGTCACACAGTGACCAGCAGGGTATCACAGAGCTCGTCACACAGTGACCAGCAGTGTAGCACAGAACTCCATACAGTGACCAGCAATGTAGCACAGAGCTCCTCACACAGTACCCAGCAGTGTATCACAGAGCTCCACAGTGACCAGCAGTGTCACAGAGCTCCACACACAGTACCCAGCAGTGTATCACAGAGCTCCTCACACAGTAACCAGCAGTGTATCACAGAGCTCCACACACAGTACCAAGCAGTGTATCACAGAGCTCCACACACAGTAACCAGCAGTGTATCACAGAGCTCCACACACAGTAACCAGCAGTGTATCACAGAGCTCCACACACAGTAACCAGCAGTGTATCACAGAGCTCCACACACAGTACCCAGCAGTGTATCACAGAGCTCCACACACAGTGATCAGCAGTGTGTCACAGAGCTCCACAAACAGTAACCAGCAGTGTATCACAGAGCTCCACACACAGTAACCAGCAGTGTGTCACAGAGCTCCACACACAGTAACCAGCAGTGTGTCACAGAGCTCCACACACAGTAACCAGCAGTGTGTCACAGAGCTCCACACACAGTACCCAGCAGTGTGTCACAGAGCTCCACACACAGTACCCAGCAGTGTGTCACAGAGCTCCACACACAGTACCCAGCAGTGTATCACAGAGCTCCCCACACAGTAACCAGCAGTGTATCACAGAGCTCCCCACACAGTAACCAGCAGTGTATCACAGAGCTCCCCACACAGTAACCAGCAGTGTATCACAGAGCTCCACACACAGTAACCAGCAGTGTATCACAGAGCTCCTCACACAGTGACCAGCAGTGTTTCACAGAGCTCCTCACACAGTGTATCACAGAGCTCCACACAGTGACCAGCAGTGTATCACAGAGCTCCACACACAGTACCCAGTAGGGTATCACAGAGCTCCTCACACAGTGACCAGCAGTGTATCACAGAGCTCCTCACACAGTACCCAGCAGTGTATCACAGAGCTCCTCACACAGTAACCAGCAGTGTATCACAGAGCTCCTCACACAGTAACCAGCAGTGTATCACAGAGCTCCACACACAGTAACCAGCAGTGTATCACAGAGCTCCACACACAGTAACCAGCAGTGTATCACAGAGCTCCACACACAGTACCCAGCAGTGTATCACAGAGCTCCTCACACAGTGACCAGCAGTGTATCACAGAGCTCCACACACAGTACCCAGCAGTGTATCACAGAGCTCCACACACAGTGATCAGCAGTGTGTCACAGAGCTCCACAAACAGTACCCAGCAGTGTATCACAGAGCTCCTCACACAGTAACCAGCAGTGTATCACAGAGCTCCACACACAGTAACCAGCAGTGTGTCACAGAGCTCCACACACAGTAACCAGCAGTGTCACAGGGCTCCACACACAGTACCCAGCAGTGTATCACAGAGCTCCTCACACAGTAACCAGCAGTGTATCACAGAGCTCCACACACAGTAACCAGCAGTGTATCACAGAGCTCCCCACACAGTAACCAGCAGTGTATCACAGAGCTCCTCACACAGTGTATCACAGAGCTCCACACACAGTACCCAGCAGTGTATCACAGAGCTCCACACACAGTAACCAGCAGTGTATCACAGAGCTCCACACACAGTAACCAGCAGTGTATCACAGAGCTCCACACACAGTAACCAGCAGTGTATCACAGAGCTCCACACACAGTAACCAGCAGTGTATCACAGAGCTCCCCACACAGTAACCAGCAGTGTATCACAGAGCTCCCCACACAGTGACCAGCAGTGTATCACAGAGCTCCCCACACAGTGACCAGCAGTGTATCACAAAGCTCCTCACACAGTGACCAGCAGGGTATCACAGAGCTCCTCACACAGTGACCAGCAGGGTATCACAGAGCTCCTCACACAGTGTATCACAGAGCTCCTCACACAGTATGTATGACTGTCACATTGTTTAGCAGTATGTGAGTGATTCCCAGGATTGCTCCTCCTCCTCCTCTCACTGTCCATGATGTGCTGGTGCCCCTCCTGCGGCCATGTTTAGTGCTGGCACTCTGCCCATGTTCCCAGTTTACCTGTGGCCCAGGCTCCTGTGCAGGCGGAGTGTCCCGGGCCCCAGTGACAGGGCTCGTGCCAGGCCTCGGTCCCACATCCCGCCCAGCCCATACATCCCTCTGCTGTCTGGGGACACAGTGTCAAGAACTACTTCACATAGTCCCTGTCAGCTCCGCCCACCACACTAACCAGCCTATCAAAGACAAGGCAGATTCCCACAGCCAATCAGAGCGTCGAACGAATTTTCCGCTTCAGCTTATCAGGATGCCCTAGCCTGCCCACATCAGCCAATCATAGCACCACGCACACCCCAGCAACCAATGAGAAAGCAGCCACTAACCTCCCGCGAATCAGATTTCGCCATTTTACGTTTCACCAATAGGAGATGAGCGTGCTCTAGCATGGCGGAAGAGGCAGAGATGCTAAACTCGCCGACCAACCAATCTGCTCTCCTTTTGAAGGGTAAGGGGGCGTGTCTTCACATCACGTGACTCGTGGCCCTCTGGATTACGGTGAGTGAGGGACAGTTGTAGCGTCTGATCCTGGGAGGAGGATCTGTGACTGACTACAACCAGCAGCAGCCACATTAATTGTATGGAGCAGAGCTGGATGTATCAATCACTGGGATTATAGCAGACAGACTGCTTCCTGTAGCTTCCTCCAATGCCATCAGCAGGGCTTATTCACTAAAGGGGGCATTAAGGATAATTAACCAGGAAATGGGCAATATTGCTGAAAAATATACAACTTTCTATTGAAAGGGAAATAATGGCAACACACACACCCACACCTGGAGCTGTAACAGGCATTAATAAATCATCACAACAGGCCCAACACTTTAAAAGGACACTTTAATTTTAGGAGTGTGAGTGGGAAAGTGACCCCTGAAGTTGTAGGTAATTTATTAATAACAATGTATGTAACTAAAATGGAATTGAGAACAAGAACAGAGTATCACATTTACCCAAACTTATTTCTAAACACATTTATTGTAGTTTATTGGACACTATAGTCACCAGAACTATCACAGCTTAATGTAGGGGTCTTGGTGTCTATAGTATGTCCCTGCAGTGTAAACACTGCCTTTACATAGAGAAAAAAAAAACTGTTTATACTGCTGGCTAGTAACACCTGTAGTCGCAGTCACTCAGACGGCCACTAGAGGTGCTTACTAGTCTAGTGCAGCACTGTCATTCGGCGTCTCCACCCTCTGCATGGAGGCGATAAATGTTCCCCATAGAGCTGCATCGATTCAATGCATATCTACGAGCAGATACTATTTTACTAGGAAAGCATTAGATTGGCTGAGATCATCAAGATTAATTATCTCAGCCATGGAGGCGGGGTCATCCACAGTAAAAAAAAAAAAAGGGGAGGAGAGAGAAAAGGTGAGTAAAAACAATCTCAACAAAGAGGGGACGGGGGAACCTACTTGATTTATTCCAGCACTGTAATGTTCCTTTAACCCCTTAAGACCGGAGGGCGTACTATTACGCCATATTTTAGGCGGCTCTAAATGCGTAATAGTACACCCTCCGGTCTTTCTTTACTTACCGACCCCCTGGCAGCCCCCCCGGCCATGTGACAGTGAGGTCCTTTCGAGGACCTCACAATCACATGGCAGGGATAGCTTCCTCCTGCATTGCCAGCAGGGGGACTGCCTGTAATGACAGGTGGTCCCCCTGCTGGCTGGAAATAAAATTTAAAAAAGTTAAAAAGTGTAAAAAATATATATATATATATATATATATATACATACATACACTGTCTAGGTGTATTTTACTATTAATAAATATATATATATATATATTAATATCAAATTACACGTAGATTGATATTGATTAAATATATATAATTATTATGTATATATTTATATATAATATAAAAAATAAATATGTAAATACGTTAAAAAAATAAAATTAAAAAATATATAGATGTGTTATTTCGTTCTAACTGTATTGTGATTAATATATATATTTATATCAAAATACATGTAGAACGAAATAATATATATATCTATATACATAAATATATACGTATATATCACTATATATACCTAATATATAAATAAAAATATTTTTTTAAAATCATATACATATATTAATTCTACATATATATTTATGTAATATTTTTACATAATTAGGTATCTTAATTAATTACAATTAGCGGGACCTGCCTGACAACCCATGCCGAAAGTAAAGGGAATTTAATTTGCTAGCACTATATTTAACCCTATAACTTTCCAAGACACCATAAAACCTGTACATGGGGGGTACTGTTCTACTCGGGAGACACTAAAACAGTAAAATGTGTTACAACGATGATATCACCAGTAAAAGTGATGTTTTTTTGAATTTTTCACGCACAAACAGCACTTACACGGACGATATTATTGCTGGGATACTTTTTACTGTTTTGAAACACAATTATTTGGTGTTCAGCAAAGTCTCCCGAGTACAACAGTACCCCTCATGTACAGGTTTTATGGTGTTTTCAAAAGTTACAGCGTCAAATATAAGGCTTGTGTTTCATTTTTTTCACATTAAAATTCGCCAGATTGGTTACGATGCCTTTGAGACCCTATGGTAGCCCAAGAATGAAAATTACCCCTATGATGGCATACCATTTGCAATAGTAGACAACCCAAGGTATTGCAAACAGGGTATGTCCAGTCTTTTTTAGTAGCCACTTAGTCACAAACACTGGCCAAAATTGGCGGGTTTTTTTGCATTTTTCACACACAAACAAATACTAACGCTAACTTTGGCCAGTGTTTGTGACCAAATGGCTACTAAAAAAGACTGGACATACCCCATTTGCAATACCTTGGGTTGTCTACTATTGCAAATGATATGCCATAATGGGTGTAAATTTCTTTCCTGGGCTACTATAAAGTCCCAAAGGCAACGTAACCAATCTGGCGAATTTCAATTTCAAATGTAACGTGCTATATTTGACCCTGTAACTTCCCAAAATGCCATAAAACCTGTACATAGGGGGTACTGTTTTACACGTGAGACTTTGCATAATACAAATATATGTATTTTATTGCAGTAAAAGCAAACAGTATTATGACATTGACCGTTAAAATGTCATGTAGAACTAAAAAAATCAAAACAAATATTTTCTCCCATTTTTTTCATATTAAATTATGTTTCATAGCTAAATATGTGATATTAAATGAAAGCCCTGTTTCCCCTGATATATAATAAGGGTGGGTGCATTTAATATGAAAGAGGTGAATTACAGTTGGACAGACGTAGCGCAAATGCCAGGTTTTGTTTATGTTTTGTTTTGTTCACAACGTGTACATTTGGCTCCATCCTTGAGGGGTTAAAGACACTGTGAGTATTCTAGTTGTACATTCAGAAACACCAACATACTAGAAAATAGGGACATTGGGATAGAAATTAGGGATTTGAGCACAAAATAGGGACACTTGGGAGGTATGGGTATATCCACTCTGTTTGTTTTTTCTTAAAGGTGCTGCAGTGATTGTGGTTCCAGGAGTGCTCAGTGCTCCCCATTGTAAGTAGTCAAACCATTTGCTAATGGTTTGACCTCTTACCTGGTGTAATCCGGTCACAGTTTCATCCCTCTCCTATTCCAGTCCAGGGACCTGGAAGCTCCTGCTAGGGACTTCTGTTAGCACCCCTGAGCTAAGCCCTGCAATACAAGGCCAACTCAGTGGCTAAGAACGTGTCAGCTGATTGTTCCCAGCCAATGAGCTAAGTCCTGTATCTCCGGGCTTGGCTCAGAGCAGAGAGCTTCTGGCTGCAGAGAGGCTGGAAACGGCTACTAGAAGATGCAGAGTAAGAAGTCAGACTCTTATCAAAATGTTATTATTGAGGGTACTGCTGGCACCATAACCAGAACTTCGCACTGTAGCAATTATGGTGCTTGAAGTGTTACTTTAATGTACAATTTCCTGATCAACAATTCCCAGTTTAGTGTAGAAACCCCATAATTTGTCTTTATCCGAATTATCACAAATTAGCTGCCATTTTAGCTTGCCAGAAACATTCTCGTAAAACAACCAAGAATATCTTTCACCCTCTCATCTAAAATATTTAAGCAAAAAGTTGAGTTAAAGGGTTACTCCAATTCTTTCTAAATATATGTTCTTAAATTTCAATGCCCTATGGGACATTACGAGCAGTTAGGTTCTCCCCTTTTTAAACTTTAAAAAAAAGTATAAACTTACCCTGGCATGCAGTGCTGGCCAAAGCTATTTTTGCTGGATTCCACGCCCCATCTGATGTCACAGAATACTTCTCATGGACCAATCAAATGCCTCTCATAGGCTCAGAGTGCATGCAAAGGGAGGAATTATTTGGGGGGAGGAAGAAACTGCATGCTGGCAATAGATATACAAATATAGCTTTCCCCTCCCATTCTTTCTCCTAGTTTGTGCTCACTCCCACCTCTCTTCATAGCACATTGGCTTATTTTAAAATCAAAACAACCTCCCCTCCTCCTTTTTCCCACTTTTTAATGAGAAGCCTGTGATTGAACCGCACGCATCCCCTGTGAAGTCGGGAGAATTTGCACAGAATTGATATTCTTGATCTTGAAACTCTTAAGTCATGTGTACGGAGTTGTGTAACTATCCGCTGGTAACTAAAGTGAAAATATCTCCAGATGTGCAGTGCTTCTAGTTGCAGCATGACCACTTCTTAAAGTAGCAGTGCCCATGGTGGTTGGAGTAACCCTTTAAATAAATATTAAATGAGGTTACCCAGACCCCCACTCTGTTCACCATGAATGGCCCAGTTGCGTCTCACTGCATTTTCTTCACCCAATAGGCAGCAGTGTTAAAGGACATACTAGTTTTTATGAAAAATATATTTTATGAAATTCTACAGCAGTCAGATGGATTTTGTCTTGTATACAGCCTGATATTTGGCAAAAAATGGGAGAAATTCCATGACCAAATCCTGACAGTTTACATCAGCCCTTGTTTGCCATAAATATTCACCTTCTTGTGTGATGTACAGTAGATGTTATCTTATTACATATTCAATAGATCTATGTAAAGTCTTGTGGGATCATTCATACACCCCACATGTGTACTGTCTTTTGTGTATAATCTTCTGACAGGTGTAACTTTTGTTTTCTCAAGCTATTTTCTAGCCAAGACCTTTCTGGCCCCTCTAATGCTACTTCGCATTACTCCTTCTCAACCTTGGACAGCATGGATAAGCTGCAAATGCTGTGCTAAAGTGCCCCCACTAACCGCTTCCAATTGTTGTCCAAGGTTGGGTGGATAATGCTGACGTGAAACTAACACTTTATCTTAGAGTCATTAGAGGAGCTAGGCCTTGTGAGCAGGCAAACCCTTGCTTCTTGCTAAATCAGATATAAAACTAGGGGACTGTATTCAAAGATTCTTTTCCTCTTAAAGGGTTTCTCCAACCTCCATGACCACTTCTGCTTTTAGAAGGAATCTGTATGCTTCAAACACTGTGCATACTGATTTATTTGTTCTTTTTTACTGGGGTAGTTACACCCCTGGGCAGCCGGAACTTTCTTTAGCTTGTGGTCAAAAGGGGATCCACCTCTTATTTTGTCTGGCATATTGCTGCCCAATGAACACATGGCAGATGCAAAAACAAATGTGAGAAAGGCTGAACTTAAAGGATGCATGTCTCGTCAGCTATGTAACTATGTATGTAAGACCCAAATGTGGGACTTACACATCATGGCTCCCACAGTACAGCTGTTGCCTATATACAGGGTTACAGCAAGCTATTCCCATATGTGTGGCGCAGAGACTTCAGGGAAGTCAGTATAAGCAAGAGTCATTGGGGAGCTTGAAACCAGCTAATAAGCTAAATTACCTTCATTGTGTGTGCCTTTTCAGAAGCCAGTTGCTATCTCAGACTGTAGTTTTATGAATTGAAATAAAGACATGTTGAAAAAATATATATTAATAACATGAGTAATAGTTTCATTGTATGTGCTGCGTTAAAAATAATCTGATCATTAAAGCGGCACTGTCAACCCCAAACATCCCCCTCCCTTATGAAATACTTATATTGACTGTGTTCGGATTTCTTTGAAATTCTAACCCAGTTAAAAGATATGCTTTGTCTCTGGATTTTTCTTATGCCTGACCGTTCTAGATACTGGGTGGAGCCACCGTCGTGAAGAAGTATCAAGAAGAAGATAGCGGCGCACTCGAGGAACATATTTGGGTTAGTTAAAGGGACACTATAGTCACCAGAACAACTAGAGCTTAAAGGAACACTCCAGGCACCCAGACCACTTCTGCCCATTGGAGTGGTCTGTGTGCCAACTCCCATCACCCTTAATCCTGCAAGTGTAATTATTTCAGTTTTTATAAACTGCAATAATTATCTTGCAGGGTTAAGTCCTTCTCTAGTGGCTGTTAACAGAATTCCGTGTTCTTAACACACGAAAAGTGTTTTAAACAACGCTGGATGTGCATGAGGACCTCCAGCGTCGCTGAAATCCCCACAGGAAAGCATTGAATAATTGCCATTGCCGCGCATGTGCATTAGGTCTCCCCCGCCTGACCCAGCGCAGAGGGACATCAGTGATGGATTCAGGTAAGTCACTGAAGGGGTTTTAACCCTTTCAGCAACATGGGGTGGGAGGGAGAGGGGCACTGCAGGGTTCTGCAGTGCCAGGAAAACGGATTTGTTTTCCTGTCACTTGAGAGTCCCTTTAATGTAGTTGTTCTGGTGAGTATAACCATTGCTTCAGGCATTTTCGTGCAAACACTGCCTTTTCAGAGAAAAGTTAGTGTTTCTATGGCCACTATGGACACCTCCAAGTGGCCACTCCTCAGATGGTTTCCACTGGATGCACTTCCTGGGGCAGTGCTGCACAGTAGGCAGCACTGTCGTTCAGCGTCTCCACGCACTGCATGGGGGCACTGAATTTTCCTCATAGAGATGCATTGATTCAATGCATCTCTATGAAGAAGTGCTGATTGGCCAAAACTGCGTTTGGCCCTGCCCCCATCCCGCCTCCTTGCCGATTTTAGCTAAAAATCAGGAATTCTGATGATGTCAGGTAAATAAGGTGAGTTTTTTTTAATACCTTTTAAAGGGGGGGAGGGGGGGGGGGGGAAGCCACCTAAATGGTGCGTTTGACACTATAGGGTCAGGAATACATTTGTGTTCCTGACCCTATAGTGTTCCTTTAATCTCACAGTTGCTGCCCACCACGATCCCCCAGCGGCAGTGTCACCAATGTCTCCAGACAGTGAGGTGACCGTGCCGCTTTAAAGGGACACTGTAGGCACCCAGACAACTTCTGCCCAACTCTTAACCCTGCAACTGTAATTATTGCAGTTTTTTATAAACTGCAATAATTACCTTGCAGGGTTAACTCCACCTCTAGTGGCTGTCTAGTAGACAGCCACTAGAGGGCACTTCCTGGATTATAGCACAGAAAACCTGTGCTAGAGCGTCGCTGGACGTCCTCACACTGTGAAGACCTCCAGCGTCGCTCAATTCCCCATAGGAAAGCATTGAAAAACATTTTCAATGCTTTCCTATGGAGAGCTGTAATGCGCATGCGTGATCAGTCTCGCCCACCGGCTGACGTAATTACTGGGAGGAGCGGTGGCGAGCAGAAACCACCGCCGAGGGACATCGGCGGGGTCTCAGGTAAGTGACCTGAAGGGGGTTTCACCCCTTCAGCTACCAGGGAATGGGGGGTGGGAGGGAGAGGGGACCTGCAGTGCCAGGAAAACTGATTATTTTCCTGGCACTGAAGTTTCCCTTTAAGGCAACATTTATTTTTGTATAAATGCTCACCGATTCATCTGATCCTACTCACTTTGGTTATGTGACGTGGACACCAGGTGGTGCTGTGTCTTTATGTATAGACTTCGATATTCAAAACATGAGTTAACTGACTGCAATTTCCTCGAAATGGCCCAAATTTTTAAAATAATTTTGGATAAACTTTTAAAATTATTTAGTATTATGAATATATTTTACTCTTGATATATTAATAATTTATTTTATATGTGATATATTTTAATATGTTGGAAACATTATTTTAAAAGTTTATTCAAAAATATTAAATAATTTGAAAAGCTTATTCATCAATTTGAAATCGAGGCCTATGTCCCCCTGCTTTATTATTAATTTAGCGTCACACAGTGGGGGCACGGAGGGGACACTGTTTCCCCCTCACCCCGCTTTATTATTTATTTGTAGTCAAACTGGGGTGTATAGGGGATCTGTGTCAGGTTCGTCTTTAGTGGATTAGCAACTGGGTAGCAATAATCACTGGCTCCTTGCTGTTTAGTAGACATGCTGTAACCCATGGCATGATGGATTGTATTTGTTATTTTTAACCTGTGTTTGGATTGGGGAATAAGGTCTGCTTCCCGTTGCTTTCATTTTTGACCCCTCACTCATTAAGTGTGAGGTAATAAATCAAAGCGGTTGTCCACATTTTAATTGGTATGAATTGTTTTTTTTTTATTTTCTGACAAAACGATTCAGAAAACAAAACGAAACTCCATCTGTGCACAAGTCTACTCGTGTATATCTTCTTTGCTGTGTGAAACATGGCGTTTTGTGCTCACATCTAATAAGCACAATTAGGCTGTAAAAGTAATCACACATATAAAACAAGGTTTGAGTGTATGAAAGGAGATTCTATTCTTAGTCACACTCGTCTGTGATTCCTTTCACTTTATTTGGCTGAATTTTTAAGCCAGATGGAATGAAAACTGGTTTGTAGTGTTCCAGCTCTCTCGGGGCTAAAAGGGCTTCTTAAAAGAAAGAAAGTAATTGTTTCTCACACATTTACAATTTCTGGGTATTCACTGATTCAGAGTCTGGTGAAGGGTGGCAACTTACTGGAGTCTTTTTATAACATAAATAGCTAAAAACCTCCCCGTTACTTGTTCGAAAACTACAAATCCTTTGATGCTATGGGTGATCCTTTAGACTCCTAAGTGTAGTAGTTCTAAAACCACTAAAGTGCTGCTAGTTGCCACCACTGACAGACCACCATTACTCATTCTTGTGTAAACCGGCAGGAACTTAAAGAGAAATTAAAATTTAAGGTCACGATAGCCAAATTGGGAAGATTATTCATGTCAGCTCTGATTTTAGTTTGGCTGCTTTCACTATATGTAGCTGATGCCTGAATTTTAGGGGAAAAAGTCAACCCCTCAAATATTGTCTGGTTTTCTTGTAGAGCTGTGCCATATCACTTGTTACTATGGGGTCAAATGTATTTAGTTATATAAGAATGGGGATCTGCAGTTGATGGATAACTCTTAACTTAACTCCTACTTTTGAGTGGGTCATTCCAAATTCAAGATCCTGTCTAGCCTTCGCTGTGTGTTACCTGGTGTCTGACATTTGGGGTTACCAGGGAAATCTTTCCAATCAGCAAGCTTATCAGTAGGCAAACTTACATTACGCAAGTTTGAGAGCTCTTCAAAAAATTGTCCTTCATATGCGCAGCCCTTAGTGGGACTGGCTAGTAAGTCTTATAGTCTGTCTCCAATTTTTTGGGCAGAGTTGTGGTGATGAAAATCTTGTTATTGCCCCCATAGGGATCTTTAGTGCCACCAGACCAGGGTGGACCATTTCCAACATATCAATAGATGTGCACATTTGTTCAAGCACCTGACTTTATTGCCCTATTGGGGCAATTATCATGAAGAAAGTTGGACCAGGCACATATATATGGTGTTTATACAGAAACTATTGGAAAACCATATGGTCTGCTTAACCCCTTAAGGACCAAACTTCTGGAATAAAAGGGAATCGTGACATGTCACACATGGCATGTGTCCTTAAGGGGTTAAACACCATCTATATGTGCCCGGTCCATCTTTCATGATTATTGCCCCAATAGAGGCCTCAGTAAGGTGTGAATAGGGCTATGGCCATGGTATTACTGCAATGGCCTTGTGGAGCCTTTCCTGTGTATATTCAGCAGCTGCAAGACAATTAAAGGGGAGTAGTCACTTCTTGGAAACTTACTTAAAATATTGTTTCACTTGTATTAACTTTTTTTCTTCTCTTTAAAATTTCCCACACATAGTCGATTCACCCCCAAACAGTGATAAACATGAGCCAACTCCTATAGCAATAAACACATAGAAGTTGACAAGTATAGGTAATGAGTACTGCATACCTTGACAACACCCCCCCCTCCCCCCCCCCCTATCTTCCCCTTCACTACCCCTTACTATGTTTTATTATGTTATTATTATGTTATGATATATATATATATATATATATATATATATATATATATATATATATATATATATATATACACATACATATAAAAGGTGCACCGGTTTCAATGAACTGGCATCCTACTCGTTGTAGGACCACATAAGGTCATGCACTGTAGATGTTTACAACGAAAAATTGACTTGATGAACCTGTATGCAATTCCTCTGACAAACAATTGCATATGTGACACAATATGTGATATCAACAATAACCAATGTCAAAGAGATACCTGATGTAACATGCACCGCTTCAAAACTATAAATAAAAAAAATAAAAATAAAATTCCCTTTAATCCTGACAATGTGTGTAAAAATATGTTGTGAATTGTATCATTTGAATTCCGGTTGATAATGTGTTTCCCGATCTGACAGATGATTCTAACTCAGATTGCGAATCCGGCTTTCAGATCTCGAATCTGGGCTCGTCCCACAAGTTGCAGATCCTTCTGGGGGTGGTTGAACGCCGTGTTTAACAGGTAAGGAACGCAGCCTAGTAGTACTATCTAACCAAGCTAAATTGCCTTGTTCTGTTTCTATACTGGTAGATAATGGTAGAAATGCTGGCGAATATTCTTATATCGCATGGAAATAAAAGCAACCTTGTGCTCAAAATGACATGACAAGCATTACAGAGTTTTGCATATAGTGCGCTATAACATGGTCGAGTTTTAAATGTGGAACAGTAAGAAGAAACTGTAGGATCTCTTTGTTTACATTCATTTTCATAGCAATACCTCAACTTTTAGCAAGCACTTAAGCTAATAGACTCAATATAATTTTCTGTTTCACATACCTGGAGATTTTCATTAAAGGGACACTCCACTGCCAAAATACAAAAACAAATCTCTGTTTGATAGATTTACACCCAATAAAAACACGCATGCTTGCGGAGGTTTGGGCAACATGGCCGACATATGGTGGTATTGCCCAAGACTCACTAAATACTGGAAAATGATACACGACTTGATCATCAAGCTGGACAGTAACATAGATATTAGCTTTATTCAAAAAATTCCCCGAATCCGTCAACAGAATTAATAGAATAATAATAGGCCACATTCTGATAGCTGCTACTACATGCTTGCCTAACTACTGGGAAACTAAACACACCCCCTCAATTAAAGAAGTACTACAGTTGACACTAGAAAATAAATCATACAAATTATCTCACAGAAGCAACTCACACATATTTGCACAATTAAAATATCACTGGGATCAATGGGAAACCGATGTTAAAAAACTTATAATTTGTAATGACTTGCTATGGAGTATTATTCAATTTATATGCTTTGTACATTAATGTACTTATTGTTATAATGGATGGATAGCCTCATTTCCCACTTCCAAGTTTTTCCCTTCCTCCCCCTACCCTCATTATACTGTTATTATAATTTGTTGTAAACTTTGCAAAAATATTCAATAAACACAATTTGAAAAAACAAACAAAAACAAAACATGCATGCTTTTAAATATGAAGTTTGACATTGGAGGTATATCTAAAAACAGCTTGCAAAAACTGCTCATCTCTTGTCTGAAACCTGTGCAAGCCCTTTCCTTCTAACCCCACCCAGACTTATTGTGGTTGTCCAATTACAGACTTGGCCTCCGATTCGAACTGCATGTATATTTTACTCCAACTGAAGTGACAGACATTGCTTGGCAGGTGTAATGCCTCCAGTGCTGCCATTTTTGTTTGCAGTTAATACAAATTCTCCTAAATACTGTTTGGTTTTTTCTCTATTTGTTTTGGCACAATATGCTGGTATAGGAGATTTACAGACAGATAAAATATACCGTACTAGCAAATTGCTGAAACGAAACATTTCGAGATGGAGTGATGATCGGGAGATTGGAGCAATTGTTATTGTATGCTGGCTGAGCCTAATGGGAATGCAGTCCCCCAAACATCTGCACTGCCAACCATTACTGGCACAGAACAAAAATGTTTTTGTTTTTTTTGTGAATATATTTTTATTGAGGTTTTCAAGTTTTCAATTTGTCAGATATCTTTGAGCAAGCTTCAGTTAGGACACGCAGGTCCCGTCAGTGTGAAACATTAACTATCATTTTGGGAAGCGTTGTTCGGCCAGTTATACGTTGGTGACACGCAGGTCACAGCATGGCACGTATAGTTTCCCTTTCTCTCACTTTTATTTATTTATTTATTTTCTATTTGTAAACATTTTTATGGAATAATTTTCAACGTTACTTCGAAAAAAAAAAAAAAACAGTAGGAACTCACGGGTCCCATATGAATATTGTGTGTTTGTTTAACTAAATGAGACACAGTGCATCTTAACATAGTGCATCTTAACATAGTGTGGTGACACGCAGGTCACTTATGAGAGCTGATGGCAGAGACATAATGGACTCGTAGGTCCTAATAGAGGTCGATATTCTTATGTGGAGAATCGGTGTACTCAGTTAGGATGCTCTGTTATTTTTTGTTTAGGATCATCTGGTTGTGATATGCTTTCGTGGTATAGGTCGAGTGGGTTACGTAGGCCCTATGCTAGTTTTGCTAAGGTTGGTATTAATTTTATATGTGTTATATCCATGTGAGTACGTATGTCAGTGGCTCCCAAGGGTTTCGAGGTGTCAGGTCCTAAATTCGTATTCCTTTATAGACTGTTATCTGCGTAATGTGTTTTTGGATGAATAGTAAGTAGGATGTAGAGGTAACTCTAGTGGCATGGGTATCATGCGGTCGTGCTTGGCTGGTATGAGTCGTGTCTGTTTTCATTGTGTGGTGGACTCCCAGGTCCATCCCACTTATGTTGCTTTCCCTCCCTCCCTGTGCCTTGTGTCCTAGCCTTGCGTAAGTTAGTCAGCTGGGTTGTTTGTATGTGCGATGTGGGTCTCATGGAAAGGAGAGCTATCCTCGTTCTGTGTGGGATCGTGGCTCTAGGATCAGGATTTTCAGTCTCTAGAGTGATAGTGTGTGTGGTTCGCTCAGAGGTCTCCTGTTGTCTATCCCCATCTTGGGTGTTGGTGCATGAGTCGGCTGTGGCGGCTTGGGTTCTATGGGAGGTCCGTATGGTGTTGTTCATCGGGTTCGGGAGGTTGTTGCGAGTACAGTACGCTGCTACGTCCTGTGGCCTCATTGGTGCGTTCGTGGGGCGGCTGTGTGTTGGTGGTGTGTAGATCTTGTGAGTGTTGTGGTTGTAGTGTGTGTAGTGTGTGTGATTTGTTTGGGGGAGGGAAAGGTGGGCGGGGGGACCCCCCTAGCTCCTTTCCCCGTCCGCCGCGTCCCTCTCATCTCGTCTCGCCACGTACATTATCCAAGGTTGCCATTTGTCAACGTGTTTCGTAAGGGTGTCTCGTATGGTCGCGTGCATTTCTTCTGCGAATCTGATCTCTTCTACCCTGCTTAGCCATTGCTCCATTGTAGGGGCGTTTGTCGTTTTCCATAGGGCAGGGATTAGAGCCTTGGCCACGTCAAGAAGGTGTCGTAGGTTGGATCGTTTATATTTTGAGATCGGGTCTTTAGTGTGATGCAGGAGAGTGTTGTCTATTGACAGTTGTGTCGTGTCCCCTAGTACGTCTTTAATGCGAGCCGTAATCTGGTTCCAGAACGGTTTGATGTTGGGGCAGTCCCACCAGATATGTTTTAGTGTTCCGATAAAAATGTTTTTACATTTTATAGGGTTTTACACTAGTGTGAATTGTTCAGAATTCAAAGTGAATTATTATTATTTTATTTTTTTTACCAAGATCGCTGGATTGGAAAACTTCTCCAAAACCACTATGGTTATATTTTGGCTTTTTTTAGTCTAAAACTATAAATATTCTTTGAATTTACGTTAAGTTCTTCAGAATTCACACTTAACGAATAACCTTGGGTATATTTGCTACCAATTTTGTTTGTGTAGATCTAACGTAACCCTGTGTAAGGATCCTTCATACAAAATGGATTTTAAAGGACTGCATTAGATGATGGAACTTAAATTAGTAACGTGCGTGCTTCATCATAATCTGTCTTACTTGAAGATTCTATTAAAGGCTTGTCAGATATGATGGTGTAACAAAAGGGAACCCAAGGAGACCTACAAAGGGATTGTTGTTGGTTTGGCCCCGAGGAGACGCCCGTATGGGTCATGTCTGTATATTGAGGCCGCTGCTATCTTTTATCTGGAGTCAGTCAGGTCTACAAGCAGCTGTACCTGGTCTCATTCAGAGCAATAAGACACCCCGTGCCTGTTTATCTGGAGAGCGCAGGTAATAAAATCTGTGTCTTATTCAGGCTCTGTCTATAATCACTAAACTTAATCCGGGATACAGAGCAACAGCAGATAAACACAGTTACACTTGAGAGCACAGTTAGTAATTAGGGATATGAGAGATTAAAAGTTGCCATGTTCTTGCACATGCCTCCCGCCTGTCTTGTATAACACCTGCTTTTCCAGGCCATTAACCTCTTATGTGCCAGGCTGTAGCCTGCTGCACGGTGCAGGAGAGAGAACCCTTTCAATTTTGGTTATACTGCAATTATTTGCCCTATAAGTATATGCAGTTTCACTGCTGAGCTGGGGTGGGATATCCACCATGGACATGGACTAATTTGACCTGCACTTGTACTGAACCAGTCTGGTGGCTTCACTTTTGAGCAGCCCTGTGATGTCATGTCAGAATAAGCCTGGCTCGACATTATGGGAAGTGCCAGTTACAAATACCTGCTGCTCAGATTTTGCCGTCAGTTGATTTGGATGATCTTTAAGGGCAACAGTTATGGACAATGTGTGTTCAAAAGCTTCACTGACATTAATGCTACTCCAAAGAGTGTGACTTTGGGGGTTTTAAGCGGCACTCTAAGCACCATAAGTACTGCAACATTTTGTTGATATTACGAAATCGTTAGAGACCACGTTTGCCCATGGGATACAGGAAAGTGTAAAACCATTCAAAAATAGATAGCCTTCTTACACTAGGAAGATGCCATGGAACTCTTGATGCAAAATTCACTACACTTAGTTTATTGCCCCTTTGGTCTTCCTCCCCCCCCAATTGGAAAATAAGATTATCACCCTTTGAATACATTTACCTTATAGGGCTGACATTTTTCTTTTGACCCAAACTCGGGTAGAATTTTACACTTAAGAAGCTTCCTTGGCAAAATATACATTTGGATAGCGTTATTAATTCATATTTTTATTTGGTATTGTGCAGTAATAGTATTTAGTAATTCCAGTAATTACCTCAGAAATTTTTGTGATCGAGATTAGTATAGAGTTGGGTAGAAATGGAATTACATGTCTGACAGAGCAAAGCATCAAGGGAAATGTAGTCCTGATTGCTTATTTGATTACTATTATCCAAATATGTGCAATGTGTCTTTATCAGGGTTGACTATGAACGCATAAAGGATTTTGGTCCAGACAGAGCAGCCTCTGAATGGCTCCTGCGCTGCGGTGCCAAGGTACGCTATCAGGGATTTGAGAAATGGCAACATGACTACAATGGACTTCCGACAGGACCATTGGGAAAATACAAGATACAAGCAATTGATGCCACTGACTCTTGCATCATGTACAGAGGGTTTGATTACTTGGGTAAGGAACGTTTTCTATCTATAATGCATTCACCTGCAGTTATTACAAAACCATATCGCACGATTTGGAACCCATAGTATGTGTGAGGCTTCCTGTGTAGCTGTTGTTGACTTTATAATCACATTAGATAATATTGGTTTAACTAGAAGCAGAGCAAGTATTTTAATTACACAAAGTAATTGCTGTATCCATTTAGTAATTACCCATTTATTTGACCTTTATTGGAACATGTTGGGTGATAATTATATTGCAGTATGCTGTAATACGTAATATAACAGAGCATGCCAGTGTAACTCCTTCCTTGTTAAACAGACACTAATAAACTATTAAATGGAAAAGTAACCTAACAGACATTATATTGGAAGCAGGATGAGCGGAAAATCGGGCAGCCCAAGATCATTTTTATTTATATAGCACCAATGTAATCTGCGATTTGTACTTATACAAGTAATTGTGACAAATTACGTTCAGTTCAAGAAGTGATGATGGCTTTGGCCAAACAGACTTATGGTGTACACAAACAGGTCCAATGTATCCAAATGGATTCCAGCTTAGAATACATAGTATTTCTATAGAGCTTTAAGATATAGGAGCAGTATTGATGACCAGACTTGAGGAAAGAGGTGGACGAGGGAGAGTAGTTAAAAGGTTGGTTGATTGACTTCCCTTCTGGACCGTTTGTTTAGGGATTTCCCCATAGGTCTGGAGTCTGGGAAAAACATGTCGGTGCAAGCAAGGTCATCCAATAAGGGCTGAGTAGATTTAGAAATTCCTACTTTTGAGAGTTGGGTAAAAGCATTTGGTGGATTGACGAACTTAGCAGAAAAATAGCTGTTCAGACACGAATGAAGGTGCTTGCAGTTCTCTACCCTGGTCTCCTGATCTCAGCCCATGGCTCATAAAGCATATTTAACTTTGATTTTAAACTTAGTGTTTGTATAGTTATCAATCAATGTGCCCAAGATGATATACCATGGAGTTTTCTCTGTTATAGTTTGTTACACCTGATCTGCCAGCTCTTTAATGTGGCCGCCGAGGGAGCTTTGAAGCAAGTAGGCGGCCAGCTGAGGGAGCAGTACTCTTACTGCAGCTCCTCTCTGCCTCCTTGCGCTGTTTAATGATGCCGGGAGCCGGAATATGATGTCACTCTGGCCCTGGCATCGCTACAGGGAGCAGAGAGGAGCTGCAGGAAGAGAGCAGCCCCACTTGACCTCAGGGAAAGACTCACTCGGCTCTCCCAAAGGTAGGGAGGCTGAGTGGGTGTCAATTAATACAAAAATGTGAGTGTGAGCCTGTCAGGGTGAGTGAGTGTGAGTGTGAGCCTGTCAGAGTGAGTGTGTGTGTGTGTGTCAGCCTGTCAGAGTCAGTGTGTGTGCACGTGCGAGCCTGTCGTCAGGGTGTGTGTGGGACCGCGCACGTTTAGGTACCTGCCCCCTCCAATCGCATGATAAAGGTGTTTTACTCACCTTTTAAAAAAAAATAAAAAAATTTCACACTGTGACTGGTACCACCTTAGTGGCTGAGATTAGCAATCTTTATGATCTCAGCTAAGCCAATGCTTTCCCTTGGGAAAGCACTGGCAGGATTTTATGCATGCACAGCAAATGTGCCAGTCCGCATCTCCTCATAGGGATGCATTGAATTAGTGAATCTCTGAGGAACAGTCAGCACCTCCATGCAGAGTGGTGCAGCAGTGACCCAGGTCTCTCTAGTGGCCGTCTGAGTGACTGTCACTAGAGGTGTTTCTAAGCAGCAATGTAAACACTGACTTTTTGCTGAAAAGGCAGTGTTTACACTGAAAAGCCTGCAGGGACAGGCTATAGACACCAGAACAACTGCATCAAGATGATTCGCTTGTTTAGTGGTTTCCCTAAAAGCGTGACCCAGGCTATATAGATAGTCATTAGCAGCCCACTAAGACACCAGCCAAGGTTGGCCTAATGAGTTGCAAACAGTAGAACCTACATCTTAATCCCACTGATAGGCTTCACCTTCCTTTGGCATTGGTTACCCTGGTGCTTCACTATACACTGCTTGATTCTGCGGTGCTTATAGTTAGGCATCAATGCTGTGGACCTTCATTATTTTAATAGCATTCTTGCAGTATTACTCTCACATGTTGGTTTTATCTATCAGGCCGAACTTGAACTGTTTATAGAGTGTTTTTTTGTAAGGTGTGAGTTCCATATTGTAGGTAGGTACTCTGTGTAGAAAAGATAAAATATAGATTTCTAATTATTTGACAAGGTTTCATAGAGAAACTGCTGTTCTTTTCAGATGGGCTGAAGCACTTGGAGGAGATCAAACTGTGTAAGTGTATTTACATTGAGGATGCCTGCCTGGAGAGAATCAGCAAGACTGATACCTTGCAAGAAAGTCTCAGGAGGCTGGAAATAATATCCTGCGGGAACGTCAGCGACAAAGGGATCATAGCGCTCCATTCTCTCAGGTTGGTCAGCCATATCTACTAATATTATATAAATATACATCAGCACACAGACAGGGTTATTTACTAAAAATAAGAATTCAAAGTGAATTTAAGTTTGTCCAGAGTAGCTAAACTGAAAGCATAGCTGAATTACAGAATTTTCCCATTTCAGCAATTTTGAACTTAAATTTGAAATTCACTGGATATTAAATGTTAGGCAAAAGTAGATTGGCCGATATTGATTAAGGATCCTTGGTTGTCATTCTGCATTTCAAAGGTCCCAAGGGTCACCTTTAGAAGGGCTCCTAATTTGAAAAATATCTTAGCCCCTTCGAAATTATATTGTCAAAAGGCAGGACATCAGACAGCTTATAAAGGGGTTTTAGTCAACAAGCGTTGTGGTCATATTAAATGCCTCACATGTGGATTTATTTGTCATCAAAGTTCCACATTCAGTCCGTTCAATAGTACTGAGGTTTTTTCTGTACAGTCACCAATTACTTGCAACACCTCTTTTGTGGTATATCTCCTCATTTGTCCTTGTGGACGGCAATATGTGGGTCAAACAATTAGATCTCTGAAATGTAGGTTTCGAGAGCATAGAACAGCTTTAATACGTAATGATAACAGATCCTCGGTGGCCCGTCACTTTGCAATTTCTCATGATAATAATCCTGTTGGCCTTAAACCAGTGTTTAGTACATATTCCCCCCCCCATCAGGATATAGCTAAGAGGAAAAGGGAACTAATTAAGGCTGAATCAGTGTGGATTTTTAAGCTTAATTCCATGTCACCTAACGGTCTAAATGAGGAGCTAGAACTATCATGAATGTTCTTTATATTATATTTGATTTTTTATATCAACACATTATATCAACCTGTTAGTCTTTGGTTTTTATTTATGTTTTCCTGGATGCAATAGTAATTTTGCATGTGGTATGCATGTTATATATTTCTGCATTTGTTGCCTGACCTTAATATTAGGATTATTTAAGTATTTTTATATTTGTCTTTATTTATATTTGTTTTAATGTCTATAGTTTTAATATGATTTGATTTGAATAAGAATGTGAATCCAGCCCGGGTTTTTCGACTGCAATACATGTGGGGTATTTAAACCGGGTTTTTACACACATTATTCTTTGTCTTGAAAAAGTCCCGTGGGAGGGACGAAACGCGTAGACGGGTTGATCCTTATACCCGCTGTGATCGGGTGATACTTTGGGAGTGAGAGCAGGAAGTGTTCTGTACTTTGGCGGTCTTTTTTGGATGAACTCGCTGGTTATCGGAGTTACAGCAAGCCGTGGCGGGGAGTGTGTTCTGTACACATCGCGGTCTTTTTTGAAGATTCCGACCGCGGTGTACCACCTAATCATCTCGGAGGACAATCTGTGTTATCCACAGGATTTTACCATCACTCCGAGTTTGCTGCATTCGTGTCAAGCTTGCTTCATTCATCATTTTTTCCGCTCCTTTTTTTTGCACATACCTCGGTGGGGGGCCCACACCGGTACTCCCTGTATATCCATTACCTGTTGTATCTGTATTTGGGTTCGGCAGGGATAACATTCAGACACTTTGTTGCTTTTCACATAGTGTCTGGGGAAATTCCTCTGACCCATCTTTGTATTTACAAGTTGTGTGGTTACATTTGTTTTCTTTGAGAGATATACTGTTTCTATATTATCATAGCAGGTTTAGGTCATTTTGATTTTGATTTTTATGTTCATTATTTTTATCCAATTGTATTGAATAAAATATTGGTTTATTTGTATATTCATATTAATAATTGTTTAAGGTTTCTTGATTAATGAGCGCACACGCTTTGTTTAACTTTTGAGCTTATACTCAGTTACAGTCGCTGGTGGATGTGTGTAGCTGCTCTTATATTTATTTTTATGTTTTTATATATTACACCTTTTATTAGGCAAAAGTAGATGAAATGATAATATAGCTGACATGGATAGTTTTTCAAAATCAGTAAATCTAGCTTAAGATATGAATCCATTTTTTGTGTGAATATCCCTAAGAGTATTTGTTGCCTTTTAAAGGGACAGTAAGGATGCATTTTAAAGGGACAGTAAGGAGAGTTTGAAATAAGCCATTGGATCCCAACCCAGTCCTGAAGGCACACCAACAGTCTATGATTTAACAATTTCCCAAGTATGTACCACTGGAGATACTGGCATATCCTAAACTCTTAGTGTGCCTCAGAAAACACATTGGGAACCACTAAGCAAGCTACTGCACAATTAATTTATTCAAACACATACATTTATGGCACATTTTGTTAAATACTGGTTGTCTGATTTTATATCATGGAGGATCTTGTTTAGGAGAAAAATAGGCAGGGAAATAGTTGCATAGCGGTAGGTAATAGGAAATTCTAAGATGTGCTAAGTAGAACTTGTGTAAAGTTTCAACATTCTAGTGCTGTCCTGATCTTCTACTGACTTGGGAATCGCACAGTCTGACAGTGTAGAGCAGCTGTACAGTACTTTTTCTTGAAAGTGAGAATTCAAAGTAAATTTCAAATTTCAGACTAAAGTGGCCAAAACTAGAAGCAGAAATGACTTAGAGAATTTTTTCAATTCACTTAGAATTTTCAATTTAGTGAATAACCTTGATAGTGGTCATTGAGAACTGGTTTGAAAAGAATGGACTGTGAACCCATATATAGTGCTAATATCGACCTCGATTTTTATCAGCTTTCCAATTTATTCAATACCGTTAGAAAGCGCTTTCCCAGTGATTAATCTACTGAAGTCACCATTAAAATCTACGGGAAGTTTTCTAGAGAAATCAGTTGTAAAGTTTTTCTCACGCTATTGAATCATTTGGAACGATTATTAAATTAAGGCCATTGTCTGTAGACTTACACCACCCTGCGTAATGTCACAAAGAGTTATTTACTAAAGTGAGAATTCAAAGTGAAAATTTAAATTAAGTCCAATGTACCAGAAGTGAAAGCAAATATGACTTAGGTACTTTTTCCTTGCTTGTCAAATTCACTTACTAGTAGCATTTATTTTGCTATTATCACGCCAGATGAGCGGCTAGAAAATGTTTGGATAAGTTAACATTTTAAAAATAAAATGGTTATCCCATGTCCAAGTGGTTTTATCTTACATACACAGTTACATAGCTGAAAAGAGACTTGCGTCCATCACGTTCAGCCTTTCTCACATCTGTTTTTGTTGTTGATCCAAAAGAAGGCAAAAAAACTCAGTTTGAAGCACTTCCATTTTTGCAACAAACTAGGAAAAAATTCATTCTTGACTCCAGAATTGCAGTCAGATTTATCCTTGAATCAAGAAGCTATTACCCTACAATTTAAAAATTATCTCCTTGAATATTATGTTTTTGCAAGTATTCATCCAATTGCTGTTAAAACATATGAATATACTCTGATAAAACCACCTCTTCAGGCAAAAAATTCCACATCCTTATTGGTCTTGTTGTAAAAAAAACATTTCCTTTGCCCTAGGCTAAATCTCCTTTCTTCCAGTCTATTTGCTAGAGATTTGTTATGTATAATTATTGAAGAACAACGTGTAGGTCATTGTTTACTAAACTAGCGACCTTGTAGGAATTGCACATATTAGGCCCAACTAGCCAAATTGGAATAAAAAAAAAAAAAATACCTCCAGATTTATTTTACTGGCTATTTTGGTCTGTAATTAATTTCCATGATCAGATCTCAATTGCTAGATTAATGAAGGACCCCAATAATGTATCTGTTTAACTATCTTTCTGGATTTATAGAAATTTAAGAAAGTCATTTGTTTTTTTTTGTGTGTTTTTTTTTAATAAATCGTTGAGATGACTTTCTTCTTTTACCTTGTAGGAATCTGGAATATTTATTCTTGAGTGATCTTCCAGGGATCCGGCAGAAGGAGCTCACGGTAGAATTGCTTCAGAAAGCAAAACCTTCACTAAACCTGGAGTTAGATCTGGACTGAAACTAATTATCTGCTTTCTCCATTCATACATATTAAATAAACCTGGATTATATCAATGCTTTCAATATGATGCTTAGGAATAAGGAAGTACCCTGAAAACCAATTATTTTGTCCTTTATAAAGGAAAAATCCTGTTTCCTGACACAGCTCAGCCGTATGCAATGCTAGAAATGTGTAACAATTGGAAAAAAAAAAACTGACATCTTTGTAGTGGTGACAACCCAGGACCAGAGGTAACCACTCTGTCACTATGAAACTAAACTCCCACAAGGCTTTGCCAGTGTGTACATAAAGAACTAGCTGTTGACATACTATGATCAATAAAGAATATCATTACATGAATTTTGTTCCAGCTTTCGATTGGTAGGGTGTGGGCAGAAATTGAGTTTGAAGTGGTAGATTAAAGGAACACTCCAAAAGCACCTAAAACGCTTCAGCTTGCTAGAATGCTTTATAGATATATATATAAAAAAAAAAAGTGTGTACATTTTTAAAAATTTTACTTGGAAGGCACTTTTAAAATTTGACCTTGTTACCCCCTCTTCCCCAGTTGTCAGTCAGACAACTGTTCCTGTTACTTCCTGGAAGTACATAGGAAACTGTATAGAAAATTAGGTTTGATAAAAGTTTATATTTGAGGACAGAGATGCTTTAAGACCACACACTGCTTAGAAGACTTGTTAATTAGTGGGCGCAGGAAGGATCTGGTTTAACCCACCGTCTATCCACCTGGTTTGTAAAGCTATCTTTTGTTTGCCTAATTATACTAAGCAGAACAAATTACTGTTTGCCGAGATATTCATGTTGCCTACAAAACGAAATGGAATCAAACATTTAGTCATTTATTTTTTATTTATTTAAGATTTTACCATTATATGGTAAATGTCACAAAAATTGCTTATGGATTATACACATTCCATTATACAGGTTATAAAATGGATATGAAAGTACAATAAAAAATATGATTTAAATGCTTACATTTTACATGCACATTTCTACACAAAAAAACAAAAAACTAATACAAATTCAATCTTTGTTCAAAGTGGATGTTTGGAATGGATGGTTGTTGTAGATGCGGCAGACATACTTAACCAATTATGTGACCAGCAGGAAATATTAAAGAAATTGTTATTAAAAAGCGTACTATACAAAACAAAAATAAGCCAAACTCCATTAAATGTGCTGTAATTCACCTGGTTAAAGTAGAGAAATGTGATTGTGCACACAGGTCTATTAATAATCCCCGATAAAATATGTGTAAACATTTTGCTTCACTGTAACATTTTAACTTGTTTTATTCTTCTAATTTTTTTGTATAATACCTGTGACCAAGGTTTCTGTCCACTATCACTTATGTGGAAGTTCCATTTAATTAGCATTTTAAATTTTTGGACAGTATAGATTGGGTTTGGACAAAATTGCCAACGTATGCTGTGCTGGTTATAGTGCTTAGAGGGCTCCTTTGATATACAAACAGAACATCTGAGCTTTTGGTCAATATCATGTTAGAATGTCAGACTCAGGGTAGCCACACAGAAATAGCTAGCCTGGCATTCTTCTGCAATCTGCCCCAGAATGCTTTGTTTGGAGACAGAACACTGTAGGATGCTGGGTGAAAAAAATCTGTGCAGCTACCTATTCAACCAATGCTGATAAAGTAAATAAATACATCAAACGCAAGGCATAGCACATTAAAACATCTAGAATTGCCAGATCTACCATGTTTTGTTTCTGGACAAACACAACGCTGATGAGCAGTACATAAACAGTGATCTAAATGTAAAATTCACGGACTGTAGGCAAGAAGTCAGTGAATGCAAAACCAGATGAACTGCCGTGTTTAATTATCTTCCATCATATATTGGAACAAATCACTGTTCTTGTTCTGCCTATTAAGAAGTGATTTATGTCCAGAAAATCAGTGCAAGGCTGCCCAATAGGTAGATCCCCAGATGTGGTAGAACTACAACACCCATGATGGTTACATGCCTTTAGAATGACAAAGCATCATGAGACTTATAGTTCTACAACATCTGGAGATCTACCTATTTGGCAGCCCTGCCTTAGTGGATCTGGCAAACTTATATGAAGCATGGCAGATTCACTTAGAATGAATGAACCAAGCACCATAACCACTACAGCCTGGGTTCCAATAGGCTCCCACCACCTCCCCTGTTCTCCGTGGTTGGCGGTCTTGAGCAAAAACACTCCCATTCCCAGCCAGAGATTCAGACATTCACAGAAGAATACTTTTGGTTTTATTCACTAAACCGGAAACTGTTAGGAATGGAAAGGGTATTGACAACTTCGGCCAAGGTAGCAGACCTGAAAAGATTGCAGAATGTTTCCAGTAACTGCTATTTTAACCTGAATGTTTTGCTGCACTTTTAGAGATTAGCCCTAAATCCTGGCCTTTAATTCTCCACCTTCATTCGATAATTGAAATCGTCAGGCAGAGGTGAAGATCTTTCATACATCTAGTTCAGTCAACTGATCAGACATTTAGACACCACCAATGGATATAAAAGGGCTAGGATGATTATTTATTAAATCAAGAGCTAAAATCAAGAGCTACGGGGAATTAACAAAATCTTAAAATTCTAGTCTTAAATAGCCACAATTAGAAAACCAAGATTGGAGATGTTTTTTTAATTTTGCCTGTTTTGGCCGACAATTTGAAATACTATGAGCATTTCTTGACAATTCACAGTTTAGTGAATAACCCTGTAAGCATTTTTCATTCTTTTTCAGTACTCGTCCAAGTGTACTACACACTTACCCCCATTTTTAACTGCAACTATCACAGTCATAGGACAGTGGAGAACTTTTATACCTTTATTTATTTTTCTGCAGTCCTGCTCTAAAGTGTCTCTGTCTCCTTTGGGGGTCTTTGCAAAACTTATAAGGTGACATTAAAGGACCACTATAGTGCCAGGAAAACATACTCGTTTTCCTGACACTATAGTGCCCTGAGGTTGCCCCCACCCTCAGGGTCCCACTCCCGCCGGGCTCTGGGGAGAGGAAAGGGGTTAAAACTTACCTTTCTCCAATCCTCCTCCTCTCCTCCCTTTCGGCTGGCTGCGTGCGCATTCAGCCGGTCTCATAGGAAAGCATTTACAATGCTTTCCTATGGACGCTTGTGTGTTCTCACTGTGATTTTCACAGTGAGAATCACGCAAGCGCCTCTAGCGGCTGTCAATGAGACAGCCACTAGAGGATTTGAGGGCTGGATTAACCCATTTATAAACATAGCAGTTTCTCTGAAACTGCTATGTTTATAAAAAAAAAATGGGTTAACCCTAGCTGGACCTGGCACCCAGACCACTTCATTAAGCTGAAGTAGTCTGGATGCCTAGAGTGGTCCTTTAAGGCCTAGAATGTAGTGGAGAGTAGTTATACTTACCTACGGCTGCAATCTACAGGAGAGGCTATCCTTTGCCAATTTTATAAATACCCAATTTAGTAAAATCCCAACAGTCACATTACAAAAATCTTATTTGTTTCCCGCACACCCCCCTCCCCCACAGAGTAAAAACAACACATCAGAATAATGTGCTACTAACAAAGTGAGAATTTAAGGTAAATTTCAGGTCAAGTCCACTCTGCTTTCTGTTGCGCTACTCTGGTTTTAAATATGAAATTCACTTTGAATTTTCAATTTAGTGAATAAATGTCTTTGTTTATATTGACGTATAGAATAGACCTATAAATTAACACTCAGGACACCATAACCACTACAGCTCGCTACAGTGTTTATGGTGCCAGGAGTGCCCTGGCTTACTCCATAGTAGGTAGCCAGGCCATTTTAAAATGGTTTCCCTTATTACCTGGGTCCGCCAGGTGCTGCTTAGGGAGCCAGAAGCTCTTTACCAGAGCCAAGCCAGGCAGTGCAGGGCTTAACTCATTGGCCAAGAGCAATCAACTGACATTCTTAGCTAATGAGTTTGCCATGCATTGCAGAGCTTGGTTCTGGAGAGCTAATATTAGCTCCTAGTATGATCTTCCTGCTCTCTACAGTGTAAGAGGAAAGACAGGGAGCGGTGCTTGGCATGTCCCAGGTAACAGGTCAAACTGTTCCAAAACACTTTGACCACTTACATTGATGGAGCATTATAACACCATAAGAAGCATGGACTGTTCCTACAAAGCTTGCTGGACACATCTAATAGCTGCAGGGATAATCAAGGCCATGTATAAACTTTGTTTTTTTTCCCAATCAGTTGCCTGTTGTGAGTTTGCTGCAGGAAGAAATAGGGTGAGTTGTTGCAACGTAATTAAAATGTCCATATTTTAATTAAAAGCACAAACGTTTTCTGCCTCATTGCAGATAATGTGGCTGCAAGGTTTATTTGCATCTAAACTGCTGGACACTATAAATAACTTTCAAAGGCCAAGTCGCTGTTTACGCGTGCATCTCATTTTCCGCTAACAAATTCCTGCCACTGTGTTCCAAGAACAATAAATATTTAACTAGTCTCTCGATGCCCTTTTGCCCCGTCTATATGTTGGGGAAACGGTAGTTGAATTTTCTGGTGTTTGAATAGTATTTCTTGCTCTCCAAGGCTGGCAAAATGTTGCTACTTGTGAGCTGTGGGAGATGCTGCAGCTGGAGATGGGAAAACAGAGACGGGAAACAGAATTAATTATACACAAGAAAGCATGTTGTTTTTTACATAAATTAGGAGTAAATTATTTATTCATTAAACAGTGAAAAGACAACTGAATTTCAATTGCAAAATTGAGGCTGAAATGGTTGTGGGATGGGGGTAGGGAAAGAAAAAATCTGAATTAGAGTATATCTCTTGACTGCGTGACATGTTATAATCCAGTGTTTAGTGAATAAGCTAATAAGATAATAGGTTAGCATAGGAAAGAAAGGGGGGAAAAAAAGGCTAGTCAACTATAATAGTTAGCACGTTTTTAAATTTTTTTTCGATTATCCAAATCGTGAGCTTTAAAGTGGCACTGCTACAGTCTGGGGACTTTGCAGAATTCGCAAAGACCCCCGATGTTGACATTGCTGCTGGGGGGGCAGTGACCAGGGGAGGCAGGTAGAGCAGAGTTCTGCTTAACTAAACCTGTCCCTTGTGGGTGTTGTCATCAGATTCCTCTTTAGCACCAGGTACCGACGCCACTGTGCAAGAGTACAGCATTGTCTATGGAGGATCCCGCAAGACCGCAGGATCTTCCATGGATTGAGCCAATTCCCGTAAAATCACACAGAAAAAAGTCATTTGATATATGCATATAGGTGAATAAAAATGGTAAATAAGCCAAATATATGGAGTAGGGCTGATAAAACGAAACTATAGCATACAGGACAAAAATATGCCCAGCTTACACAGAGTGTAGGTAATATAAGTTGCAGTAACAAAGTAGTGGAGAATAAAAATATACACAAAGTGGATAAAATGTAATGAAATGATGATGTGCAGATAAAGTCTTGATATGATCTTCCAAAAGGCTACCTTTTGCTTATGGCAGTGGATGAACCACTACAAAAAAGCATCACAAATGATGATGTGGGTGGCCATACCACCAGAAAAAGCATCAGATCCCATGGATCGCAAATCAGAAGGCTCATTCAAAAGGGGTCTTTGAGGCATTAAAAAATCTATGACATTCTAGAACTGCATCTGTATCAGTGGTGCATTCAGCACATCCATGGCTATGGTAGATAGACAAAAAGAGGCAGATCTGTTCTTATTTCATACAACAATTGAGAGCCTCTGTTTTACCACAAGACTCCAAGCCAGCCCTATCAGTAGAAGCTGCATTTGTCCTGAGACTAAATAGATGGACAGCACATGCTGCATCAGAGAAGATCATCTGCAGCATCTGAATGTAAGAAAAATAATGTTTTGACAGCATGTTCAACTCACTACCAGAAAAGACTACATGTCCAAGCAGCGCAATCATCACGCTTTTCCACCTGCTGCAAGACCATGCAGCACAAAATGCCTTAAAGCACAAGCAATGAAGCCAGACACTATAAACCATCTTCAGATTGTCTTCTGATGCTGAACTGCATGTGCATACTTTCATATACCAGTCTAACAGTACCTTTATCTGGTAGTACTTATGGGCTGTCAATTCAAAGCTCTGACTTTCTGCCCCTTGCTGGCACCGAGAGTGTTTACCAAAGTCATGGCAGTGGTAGCCAGCTTCCTATTGAAGAAAGGAAGACAAATAATACCATACTTGAATGATTTGCTGAACATGGCACAAGAAGTTAACATTTCCTGTCAACATCTTTCCAACATCTCAAGCTCAAGAGACCACCTTCTTAGGCCTAATCTTGGACAACCACAAAAAAAGCATTTAATCTTCTAGATACCATGTATAATTTCGACACGCCATGTTACGACTCGCCTGTGATACTGTAGGTTCCATGCCACATGTGGTCTGTCCAGAGAATATACTGACAAGTATTTTTAGGTTTCAAGATCAAAATTGAGAAATCGAGATTTCTAAAGTGGCGGCTCATGCCAAGAAGACTGCATTTAGGAGCGTCATGAAATCTAAATTGGATATCTGTCTAAACAGACAAAAGTCTCGAATTTAAGGCAATCAGTTAGGAACACTGTACTCAAACAGCAATTGTTCTACGATAGAAGTTTGCTTCTCCGTAAACTACCTTAAGCTCATGGAAGCAATAAGACACTAGAGAGACATTGTGCGAAAACAAGTCAAATACCTAAAGATAGCCAGTCATACGATGCTATGAAGGTAAAAGGAGCTGTCAGGTTTTTTCTTTGTTTTTTTTAATGGTCAGAAAAGCACATTGTGGGTATCTCAGCAGTTCATATCAAATGAACTATTATCATCCAGCAGTCTTTGCAAAATTCTATTTTACCAGGTGAATGGGTCATCAAATCATATAAAAATGGGGTAGACTAGATCCAGAGTTAAAGTAGTTTTGGTGTATAACACATGCAAATCTAGCCTCTTTTATCCGTTATCTGCCATTTAGGAGTTAAATCAAGGTAAAATTGTTTTGGTTCTTAGAGTATCCCTTTAAACACCTCAACAAAAAGGTAGAAAAATACTTCTTTCACTCTCTTCTAGACAGTCCATCTGGTTTCAAGATCTACATATGTATTTCCTCTACTACCTTTGCTTTTAAAACTCGTGCTAAAAAGAATTAGAGATTGTGTTATCCTCACTGGTCAGTTATGTTAGTACAACCCCTCTCCGGCTGCCAGATCTGCCGAATCTACTATACAAAGTTTTTCTAACATGGTTCGATCCCATGAATATGGAGTCTATTTCTATACTTCAGTTTCTTAATTTCTTATAAACACACGCTATATTTAGGGCTCAACCCTTTATCCTTGAAACCTAAAATAGCCTGTCTCTGCAATTTTATTAAAAGCAGATTGTCTGAAAATGTTTGCATTTGAATCTTCATTAAAGTGTACCTGTTGTGTGACACACAATTTACGTTTAAGTAAAACATTTAATCCATGCTAGCAAATGTATAGATAGTAATTTAATGTTCATTAAAATATTACTACCTTAGGAGCTTGTATATGTAACGTTAAAATGGGAATGACAGGTTCATTTTAAGAATTAGTCTTTTTGGCACTAAATCAAATGATGGACATTCTGAATCTCTGGATAAAGCATCAGTAAAGATGTTCTGCATCTATACATTTTCTTCAAGACAAAACTATGAAACCACTTTGTGATTTTCAAAATTAAATTTTTATCTTCTTTTTGGTCCAATGAAAAGATTGTATTGCTTTTACTGTGGCCAGAATCTTGAGGAAAAAAAAGTAAAGTTTTTCTTTCAAATAGTACATAATGTAAAAAGAATCATTGAATGCAAACGTCATAAACTCTCCGTTGATAGTCCTTTCAGGATAAAGAAGGAGTCCCCAAGATCAGCAGTTGGGTCGTTCAGGTGGCTTACGAGTGTTTCTAGCTGATTAGACAGTGCACAGTGAAATCTACATGATCTAGACATCAAAGGCACCAATGCACCCTAAGCAAACTCCCAAATCCCACACAGGGACACCAAATCTGTAGCTCAAGGCACATTTGGGACACGCACATCCCATCACTCAGAAGGTAATATGGGAAATACAACTACTCCTTGATTTAAATGAAGCCACTTTTTAACACACATAAAGATTATAAAATGAATTTTAAAGATAGAATTTTTTGTAAAAATTTTTTTACGTACTCCTGGGAAATGTTTTCTGTGCAGTCGTGTCTGCTTCCTGCTCACTCTGTCAGAATCCTTTCCGGATTCACCGTCATCTCGGATGCTGTCGAAGTAAGGGTGCTCCAGTAACTGTTGGCATGTAAGCCTCTCCGCAGGGTTCATATGGAGACAGCCCTGTGGGTCCAAAAATAAGTGCAATCACATACATTGTAATTACAGACTTTTGGTTACATAGTTATCTTAAGTTGTTGGGTGTGTATATAGAAATAGACATTTACACCATATACTACATATCACGAAAATGTGTATAGATGTGTAAAATACTTTGGCTTTATAATTAAATATTATAGGATATTTAATGTCAAACTGATCCCAAGATTAGATTTGCAACTTTCAAACCGATCCCAGGATAAGATTGCAGCTTTCAAGGCAAGAACAAAAGAAGTTATTAACGTCTTATCTACAGCAAACAGAATCACATTAATTCTGTTGTAAAGAAAGCCATCATAGATAAGCGTGTCTACTCCTTCCTGTTGCTGTTGTTGGTGATGTATTATCTCTAAGTGAAACGCGTCTCTACTTGAACTAAACAGCTTATGCATAATACATAAAAATAATGGACAACAAAAAATGAATATGTAAAAAATGGAACGTTACCTAATGCAGCTCTAAAATATGATTGATTTATTTTTGATTATTTTTTTATACAAATCCCTGAAGCTCTATAAAACCACCAATCTCTACGATCAGCTTTGGGCTGCAAATATATCCTCAGTGCTTGTTTTTGAGAATTTGACTGGACAATGACCATCTCTAGTAAGGAAGTAAGTGTGGGCCAAACAGGGAGTGGACCTTTATTTACTGCATAGGCTGTGTCTGCAACTAATGAATGGTAAGTTTTAGGGCATACGTACTATTTGCGCACATTCTAGTGAATGCACTTTTTTCCCTGCAACAATAAGATACGCAAGAAATTGAAATTTTTGTGAACAAAGTTTCCATTTAATACACATTTGAGCTGATCAATTGAAGTATGGAATATGCGACTCTCACTTATAGAGCTATATGTCTATATCTATGTGCAGTCTTTTACATTCATTAAAAATTAAGGTTACTTAGAATAACTTATTACCTTCATCAGGCCCATTGCAAGAGGAGAAATATTTGGGAATTTTGACTCCAGAGGTTCCTGCAAAACAAAAATACACGTCGTCATCTCTTCATTCTGTACTAGTGCAGAAAAGATAAATGTATATGTCTGCACTAATCTATAATGTGTAGAGAAAACAAAAAACAAAAAGATAACACACACTCGCTTACCATATTTTGTGGATCTGGGATGCTGACACCACTGAAGAACTGGTTTGTACTGAATACCTGCTGGTGTCTGGGAATCAGGTCACCTGAAGCCAGATAAAATTATAAATATATATATATTTAATTACGGTAAGCTAGTATTATTCTGCATATTTTAAGGTTACACTATATATTAGATAAACATACTTAGCCAACTACATATTTGCAAGTCATATATAGACCTGCCACTCACGGGTTTACCTTATTAGTTGTACCATTAAAAGCACGAGAAATAAACTATAAAATAATGCATTTTACAAATGATAATGCTAGGAAAAAACTGAACAGATTTATAGCTTGGAGGAAAGACGAGACAGGGGGGATATGATAGAAACATTTAAATACATAAAGGGAATCAATACAGTAAAGGAGGAGAGCACATTTAAAAGAAGAAAAACTACCAAAACGAGAGGAGGGAGTTTAAGCATGCGTGGGATAGGTATAAAGCTATGCTAGATATAAGATAAGACCAGGGACTAATGAAAGCATTTCGAGAATTCAGCAGACTAGATGGGCCGAATGGTTCTTATCTGCCGTCGCAATCTATGTTGATCATGTTAGCCATCAATAAGTTATTCAAGGTTACCCACCCAGGCTTTGCCTAATAAGGTACAGTTGATCTACGTCAGATTTCCCAGGCCAAAGGGGAACTCCAGATAATAGTTCGGCAAAGACGCAACCAATAGCCCAAACGTCCACTGGGGGACCATACTGCGTGTCTCCCACCAGCAGCTCTGGAGAGCGGTACCATCGAGTAGCCACGTAATCCGTGTAATAGTCAGAAGGTCCAGCTGTAACGTCAAGAATAAAGTCCTGTAAAACTGAACAGATCTTCACACGAATAATCATAAGCAGAACACAAATGTGTCCTATTTAAAATAAGACGGTATGCTTCTGCAAGGTGCTACCGTTAGCTCCACTGAACTAAACCCTAGTTAAACATTTATTTTCATAATACCTCAGTACCTGGGTTTCGGTGTTTTGTTTCTTTTTGTTTGTTTTTTGAGGGGATAAGACTATTTTTTACATAAGTAATAATGTAGTGACAGCTACTAAAAACATAAATAAAACAAACACAAAAATAAAATTTTACCGTAGCTGGATTAAAAATGATTAATTTTAAATATGACTGATCTTTAGTATCGCTTTTAATGTCCAAAATAATTATGTAAAAATACATCCTTAGCATTACTAGCGTTGTAGTAATAGTTGCTGCAATTATTATTAAAACAAAAACACAAAGAACATTTTGATGTTTCTGGATTGACCCTTTATCAATCACGATATGAAATGTTTAACTCAGGGCTCAACAAATCCCAGGCGCCAGGTCACCATAGCGACTAAAAATTGGGATGTGTCAACTTTTTATCTAAAACGCCTGGCTGGGGAAATAATGGAGCCGTCCGTCCACCGGCAGGAGCATGTAGGCGGCCAGCTGAGTGAGAGTTGTAGCCGTTGCCCTGAGTTTCATGGAGGCGGCCGGCTGAGGGAGCGTTGTAGCCAGCCACCCTGGACTTTATGGAGACGGCCGGCTCAGTGGAGCATCAAGGCGGTCGGCGGGGGCAGCGTGCGAGGGAGCAGCTCCTCTCTGCTCCCTCGAGCTGTTTAATGATGGCGGGAGCCGGAATATGACGTCATTCCGGCCCCGGCATCACAGGGAGCTGCATGGTAGATTACTGCTCCCTCGCACACAGGAAGAGAGAGCAGCCCCACTAGACCCCAGGGAACGTCCACTCAGCTCTCCCAAAAGGTAGGGAGGCTGGGTGGATAAAAATATAAAAATAAAATAAATTAAAATTTGTGTTAGAGAAAGTGTATGTGTGTATGTCAATGTGTGTGTGTATTTCCCTGTCAGTGTGTGTGTGTATGTGTGTGTGTGTATGTGTGTCAGAGAGTGTGTGTCTATTTAGGTACCTGCGATCACGATTGGTGTTTTTACTCACCCTTTTTTTCCCCCCACTCTGTGCAGGTTTTGCCGTGGCTTGTCCCACCTCCATTGCCGAGTTCATCAATATTTTTGATCTCAGCTAAGCCAATGCTTTCCCATAGGAGGATATTGCTCATGTTCTGTATGGGTAACATTCAGCGCGTCCATGCAGAGCACTGACAAAGGACTCTCTAGTGGCCGTCTGAGTGACAGCCACTAGAAGTCTTAGTAGGCAGCAATGTAAATTTACATTGAAAAGGCTACAGGGACAGGCTATAGGCACCAGAACCACTACATTAAGCTTTAGTGGTTCTGGTGACTGTAGTGCCCCTTTTAAAAAAAAAAAAAAAAACTGGCTCCTTACTTTTTTAGCTGGCTCCTAGATTCCAAACAAATTTGTGAAGCCCTGGTTTAACTTATCTAGCACTTGCACTTCTATAAAATCCTAAATTCATTCAATGAACGGGACATTCCGTTTTGATAACTCCTTAAGGATGAATGATGTTATTAATCTGTCATTTGGCATCGTACCAGCAGGGACTGTTTCCCTGCCGGTTACTAGGGGAACCTCTATCAGCTGGGGAAATTAAAGGAATAGCCCCGTGCTGAATTATGAGCCGTGTACAGCGCTAAAAGTGACTTGGTGTTTGTGGTTGGGGTTATGGTTACAGTTAGTTGTTGATGTTAGTATTCATGTTAAGAGAGAAGCATTGGGGTTATAATGTCATGCCTAATGGGTTAATGTCAGCATTGTCAACAAAGACCCATCTTCACTATTCTCTTTTCTTTTTTTAAACTGCAACCGGCAGGTAACTAATTTGTCCCTTTATCTTTGCATACACTGTGCAAAGGTATGCATAGGATGTTTTGTGCTCAGGTGATATAGCGGAGTATGGGAAAGCATTAGATTGGCTGAGATCGTCAAGAGTGATGATCTATACCATGGAGGCGGGGCCAGCCATCGCAAAACCAGTGCAGTGACGGAGAAAAGGTAAGTAGAGTTACCTTTTATCTCCAATGTGAGGGGGATGGGAACCTAAATATGCAGTCCAACACTATAGTGTTAGGAATACATGTTTGTTATTCTAATATTATAGTGTTCCTTTAAACTGAAATCCTAGACATATGATGTACTCTATAAATCAGACAAGTAAATGAATGTAGTTTGTACACATAATTATTGCCCAAAAAAACTGTTTGAGAAAATATACCTTTCTTTGCATTGCTTTGTATTTTTTTTTTTTTTTTTACACAATAAATTAGAATTTATATACTGTATGTATAAATCCCATTGTACAGTGCTGCAGAATTTTTGGAGCTTTATAAATAATAATAAGTATATATGACATCAAGTTAATGTCCTTTTTGTCCTTTAAAAACGGTATATAATGTGTATTGATGCAGTAAATGAGAAAGATGGAACTTGTGTCAAAATAGTTTATGTCCTTAAGTACAAAATAAACAAACTAACACTGTCCCTCAGGGGATAGAGGGCCTTTTAAGCGGTTTTGTTTTGATGGAATTGTTGAGTCATTGGTACCTAGTGCTGATAGTGCCTCGTTAGTGCAGACATAGATTCTGCCATACAAAGTAACCGTGTGTAATGTACCTGTCCCTTGTGATACCTACTCAGTATTCTGGCAAATCCGAAGTCACACAGTTTAATGACGAAATGTTTGGTTATGAGAATATTCTCCGGCTTTACGTCCCGGTGGATACACTGTGGAAATAAGGAGACAGTCACTTTAATGCTAGAGTTCGATACTCTGGCCGAAGTGTTGCAACAGGACAATACATGTGTTGGCGAACCATCTAGTCTAAAACAGAAGCGCACGTTATTCACTTATGGGTTAAAGGAACATTACAGGTATTATAATAACTACAGCCTGCAGTGGCGGTTATGGTGCCAGAATAAGCGTCCCTTGCTTTGAAACGTGTTACAATTGCAACCCACATTTCCTTAAATAGAATTGATAAAGAGAGCAGGGTCATATTCCATATAATCCATTTATTTACATTATATTTCAATATATTGATAGCAAAATTGAAGTCTGAAACACCAATACTTGAATTAAAATGATCTAAGACTGTATGTCTAGGGACAGAATAATGATGAAACCCAAGAGACTAATTTAGCTACCAATGCTAATTGGTTATAATTGGTCGTCTGTTTGGCTGCTAAACTGATTTAGGACTGAGATAAAAAGCAGTCAGTTGTGATAGCTACAGGGCAGGATGGAGCAATTGGATAAAGAATCCAGAAAATCTGGTTGTAGGAAATTGTGACTCCAATAACTACCAATCAGTGGCGTACTAAGGGGGGGGCGGTCGGTCCGCCCCGGGTGCACCAGGGTGGGGGGTGCCATGACCAGCCCCCCCATGCTGCAGCCGCCCGAGCGCTCTGTAGAGAGCCTCAGGCGGCTGCAGCTTTGCCCGGGCGGTGCGTCCATGAGGGCGGACCGCACCGCCCGGGCGCAGCCTGAGGAGAGGGGCTGACAGGAGGGAAGCGCTCAGCGCTCCCTCCTGTCACTCCCTCTATGTAGCGTGGCCGAGCCCAGTATAGCCGGCGGGTACAGGGAGCAGCTGTCTCCTGTACCCGGCCGGACTAACAGGAAGTGCACACAATGTGTGCACTTCCTATTAGTCCGGCCGGGTACAGAGACAATAGCGTTCCCTGTACCACTGCCACTGGCCTCGCCACGCCACAGCAAAGGTAGGGGGTGAGAGAAGAGAAATGAGGGAGGGGGGTGAGAAAGAAGATGTTTGCGAGAAGAAGATAAATGAGGGGGGGGTGAGAAAGAAGATGTCGAGGGGGGTGAGAAAGAAGATAAAATGAGGGGGGTAAGGAGAAAGAAGATAAAATGAGGGGGGGGGTGAGAAAGAAGATAAATGAGGGGGGTGAGAAAGATAAATGAGGGGAGAAAGAAGATAAAATGAGGGGGTGAGAAAGAAGATAAACGAGGGGGGTGAGAAAGAAGATAAATGAGGGGGGGTGAGAAAGAAGATAAAATGAGGGGGGTGAGAGAAGATAAATGAGGGGGGTGAGAAAGAAGATAAAATGGGGGTGGGAGAAAGAAGATAAATGGGGGGTGGAGAAAGCAAGAGAAATGGGGGTGAGAAATAAGAGAAATGAGGGGTGGAGAAAGAAGAGAAATGAGGGGTGAGAAAGAAGAGAAATGAGGGGGGTGAGAAAGAGGAGAAAGGAGGGGGGTGAGAAAGAGGAGAAAGGAGGGGGGGTGAGAAAGAGGAGAAAGGAGGGGGTGAGAGAAAGGAGGGGATGGATATTAATTGCGGGGTGTATTAATTAAGGGGGATGGATTAATTATGGGGGGTGGATTAATTAGTGTGGATTAATTATGGGGGGTGGATTAATTAGTGCGGATTAATTAAGGGTGTGTGTATCAATTAAGGGGGGTGGATTAATTAAGGGTGTGTGGATGAATTAGTGTGGATTAATGGATGAATTAGTGTGGATTAATTAAGGGGTATGGATTAATTAAGGAGTGTGGATTAATTAAAGAAAACCTTTAACATTTTTTACAGGGTTTTTTTTTTTTTTGGGGGGGGCGTTTTAATAAATTGCATGTAGGAACCCACAAATTGTGATTGTCAAATGCTTTCGAAAATATGTGTAGTCACCCTGAAACCAAAGGAATCTTTTGTAAAGTGTCAACACTGACCAATCGAGTGTCCTATACTATAGAACAATATTTTGCTGGTCCTTACAGTGGCCGGATTTAAAGTATGAAAGTATCGATTACAGTCGACACGGGGAGCAAAGAGTAGGTAGCCAGGCTGATTTCAAGGAGTAGAGAAAACAATAATTAAAGCCAAGGTCAGGGATTCCAGAAGTCAGAAACACAGCCAAGTCTAAACCAGATAAAACACACAAAAAGTCAAAACAAAATGCACTCTCTGGAAACGAAGACTACAACAGGTTTACCACAAGTTAAAATGCACTCTCTGATAATGGATACCACTACAGGACACAGATGAATAGCTAGTGTGGCTTTAAATAACACCCAGTCCATTATGATTGGTCTGCGTAAAAAATAATGCACAAATTTGTAAGACCAATGTCGCTGTGACAGTGTATAGAAACATAGAATGTGACGGCAGATAAGAACCATTCGGCCCATCTAGTCTGCCCAATTTTCTAAACACTTTCATTAGCCCTGGCCTTATCTTATATATAGGATAGCCTTATTTTAAACCTTTGCCCCTTAATTTAAGACTATGTCCTCTTGTTGTGGTAGTTTTTCTTCTTTTAAATATAGTCTCCTCCTTTACTGTGTTGATTCCCTTTATGTATTTAAATGTTTCTATCATATCCCCCCGTCTCGTCTTTCCTCCAAGCTAGATCCTTTAACCTTTCCTTGTACTTTTTATCCTGTAATCCATGAACCAGTTAAGTAGCCCTTCTCTGAACTCTCTCTAAAGTATTAATATACTTCTGGAGATACGGTCTACTGTGTACAAGATAGGTCTTACCGGTGTCTTTCCAATGGCATGAGCACTTCCCTCTTTCTAGTGCTAATACCTCTCCCTATACAACCAAGCATTCTGCTAGCATTTCCTGCTGCTCTGTTACATTGCCTGCCTACCTTTAAGTCATCAGAAATAATCACCCCTACATCTGTTTCCTCAGTTGAGGTTAGGACTCTATCAAATATTCTGTACTCTGCCCTTGGGTTTTTATATTCAAGATGCATTATCTTGTACTTATCCAACTCTGAACATTTTTCTAGTTTACCTAAATCATTTGCCATTTGGCTTATCCCTCCTGGAACATCGTGAAAATCGCAGTGAGAAGCACGGAAGCGCCTCTAGCGGCTGTCAATGAGACAGCCACTAGAGGCTGGATTAACCCATATGCAAACACAGCAGTTTCTCTGAAACTGCAATGTTTACAGCAGGCAGGGTTAACCCTAGATGGACCTGGCACCCAGACCACCTTATTAAGCTGAAGTGGTCTGGGTGCCTATAGTGGCCCTTTAAGTAATTGTCATGTGAAGCCGCAGGGATGTTATCCTGACACCATAACCACATTAATAAGCTGAAATGGTTAGGATGCTTAAAGGAGCACTATAGTGCCAGGAAGACAGGTCCCCCCCACCCTCAGGGCCCCCCTCCTGTTGGGATGAAGGAGTTAAAACTTTCTCCAGTGCCGGGCTCCCCCTATGCTGGGGAACTCTCCACTCCCTGCCGACGTCAGATCCAAATGCGCATGCGCGGCAAGAGCTACGCGCGCATTCAAACAGCCCATATGAAAGCATTATGGACATCCAGCATCTTCTCACTGTGATTTTCACAGTGAGAATCAGGGAAGCGCCTCTAGCGGCTGTCAGTGAGACAGCCCCTAGAGCTTGGATTAACCCTCAGTGAAACATAGCAGTTTCTCTGAAACTGCTATGTTTTCAGCTGCAGGGTTAAAACTGGAGGGACCTGGCACCAAGACCATTTCATTGAGCTGAAGTGGCCTGGGTGCCTAAAGTGGTCCTTTAAGGTGTTCCTACATACTGTACAATCAAAGAGGAGAGGTTTATTTTGCCCATAAAATAGAATTCATTGGGTAATATTACAACAGTATGGAATTATTGGATGTAGTTTGAGATTTTGCTTGGGATTAGTGTACAAACTGTGCTATATACTCACATTGTGCCTGTGACAGAAGTTTACTGCTTGTAGAGTTTGCCAAATAATGCTTTTTACAAGATGTTCCGGAACCCTGCAAGGAAAGCACAGATAGTTGAAGACTTACACCACTCGGAAAAAAACAAAAAACACCTAAACTACATGGTGGTCATTAGCCCCTAAAAAAACACCTAAACTACATGGTGGTCATTAGCACATAGCAATTTAAGAATACATGCATTAAGAACTTTAAGTAAGTGCTACTGCCAAAGAACACCCCATCTCCTGAGTTCAGTGATACCCCCCATGAATTTTCACATATGGTCATCATGCACCCATGTCTCATTTGGGACATTGAAGCCGGGCCAATGTAATTTACCCCCATCAAACCATATCTTTTTGAAAAGTAGACACCCTAGGGTATTTCAAATGGTGGAATTTTAACACATTCCATGCACTAATTATACCACGAGTCTTTGTCAAACTTTTGAGTAGACATTTTCTTGTGTTTTTTTTCTCTCACATTGTACTTTGGATTCTCAGCTCCTGTTATGTGTTACTGACAAAGAACACCCCGATATGTGTTCAGCCACATCTCCGGTGTACAGTGATACCACCCATGTAATGGTGTGTCAGGTTCTCTGAGGGCTAAAATACCTTATTTGGAGGGTACGCATTCCAGTTTTCCAACTTGGGATTTTCACAGCTGGCTATCATGCACCCATGTCCTATTTGGGAAATTTTTGAAGCCTGCCAATGTAATTTACTCCCACCTTAGCAACCTCTCCTGAGTACAACAGTGCCCCCAATGTACAGGTTTTATGGGTTTTTGCAAACTTACAGGGGTCAAATGTAGGGCTTTCCCCTTTTCCATGTTTGTACAATGAAATTTGCCAGATTGGTTTGCTGGGCCTATGTTGCCTTTGAGACCATATGGCAGCCCAGGAATGAAAATAACCACATCATGGCATACCATTTGTAAAAGTAGATGATATTATCAGTGCAATACATTTTACTGCTCTAAAACACAAATATTTGTGTAGAGTAATGTCTCACAAGTACAACAGTACCCCTCAAGTACAGGTTTTATGGTGATTTGGAAAGTTACAGGGTCAAACATAAGATTTGCCAAATTCTGTTTTAGTAAATTGCTATTTGCTATGTTGCCTTTGAGACGGTATGGCAGCCAAGAAATGAAAATTAACCCCACCAAGTCATACCATTTGAAAAAGTAGACAACCCAGGCTATTCCAAATGGGGTATTTCCAGTCTTTTGTAGTTTAAAAAAAAAAAATTTAAACCAAAACTACACTTTTACTGGTGATATCGTCGTGATAAGTTTTACTCATATTTGTGGTCAGCGAAGTCTCCCAAGTATAACAATACCGCCCATGTAAAGGTTTTATGGTGTTTTGGAAAGTTACAGGGTTAAATATAGGGCTTGCCAATTAAATTCTCTGGACAGTCTGCCTGGGTTGTCAGGCAGGTCCCTCAAATTATAATTAATAAAATCAAATAATTAAGTAGTTAATACTTAAATACATATGTAGAATGTGTGTGTATATATATATATATATATATATATATGTGTGTATATAATACATGTGTGTGTGTGTGTTTATATATATATATATATATATATATATATATATATCCCCTGCAGGCACTGCACAAGCCGAATATTATGTGAGGGCCGGATCGGGCAGTGGGGGTCTGCCTGAGCTCCCAGGCAGACCCCAGGATTGCGATTGCAGGCGGGTGATCACCAGCGATCATGTAAGTGGCGATTTAGTAAATGACGTACCAGGTATGTCTGCGGTCATTAACGACCGTTTTTTGGCGGAAGAGGTTAAAACGTACCTTATTTCCAGTGCCATGCAGGTCCGCCGACGCTGGCCCCACCCCCAGTCTGCCTCCTTGGTGACATCAGAATGTACGATTTTTAGCCAATTCCTATGGGAAAGCATTAGGTTGGCTGAAATCAGAATGGGGGCAGGGCCAAACACCAGTTTGGCCAATCAGCACCTCCTCATAGAGACGCATTGAATCAATGCATCTCTATGAGGAAAATTCAGCATCTCCATGCAGAGTGTGGAGATGCTGAACAGCAGTCCGGCACACTGTGCAGCACTGCCCCAGGAAGCACCTCCAGTGGCCCTCTGAGGAGTTGCCACTGGAGGTGTCCCTAGGGGGCAATGTAAACACTGACCTTTCTCTGAAATGGATGAAAATGCATGCAGTGAATGATTATACTCACCAGAACAAATACATTTAGCTGTAGTTGTTCTGGTGACTATAGAGTCCCTTTAAAATAAAATAACAGAAAACAGGAAAAATCTTAAGGCACTCGTTTCGACCTACTAAGAGGTCTTTATGAAGCTTGATAAAGACCTCTTAGTAGGTCGAAACATTGCTTTGCCTTCTTTTTTTTTTTAATTTCTTTATTTTTGAGTCGACACTGAATGCGGCATAGCAAAATACAGCGGCTCACGCAGGGGCCGATTACAAGGCAGTTTTACTTGGCATACAACAGTGGTTAAATGTTTTATAGGTTAGGAGACATTGTTTTTTTGCCGCTCTGTGTCGGTTTCAATATTGGGGGGCAGTTCTTGCCCGTACATGAAATACAAAAAACACAACAGTGCAACACAATAAAGTAATATACAATAACCTCTGAGTGTTTAATACAGATTTCACAGCGCTTTCCAACCGACTCACATTGGGTACATAGAGTCTATTTTCGCTGTTCTGCGTGGAGCAGTACTGATTTGTGTGATGTCGGTTATGTGCTCTGGGCAATGTCGTGAATCCGTCGGCGTCGTGTCATGGTGGGTTTGCTATCGTTTTAGGGTTGTGTCCGTCGGTTACTGCCATGGTCGCCCCGTCCTATGGGCCATCCCAAGTCGGGGTCTGGTTTGGTCGCGGATAACGGTGCCCTGTCATATTTTCTTGTGGCCGTGGGGAGCTTCGTAGAGAAGCCATAGTGACGGGTCGTGCGTTGTCAGTGGTCACTGTGCTGTACTTTTAAGCCGTTATACCACTTTGTAGATGTAGTGTAACTTGTTGGTTTGGTGTTTGTGTGGGTTCTACCTGGTGTCTGATTGGTAGTATTTTAGGGCTTTATATGTAGCGTTTACTGTCATCCCCCAATCTCCCTGTCTACAGGTGGAGGGGGGAGCTGAGAAAAATAAAAGGGGGGGAGGGGAGGGATGGGGAACGCTGTTCGATGGGGCGTGCGGTGGATCCAGGCCCTTCCAAGGCCTCTGTCTTTGTCCTGCTTATGTAAGTTTAGTCGTCGAGATAGTCTTCCCAAGGTTGCAATATTTTATGAAATGATTTCTCTGTGTTCCTAATTTGGGCTGTGAGTTTGTCCATCAAATGTGTATCTTTAACTTTAACTGTGGGTAACGTGGGCTTAAGCCACGCCTGGGCTAGAGCCCTTCTGGCCGCTAGTGTGATTTTATTGTAGAGCTGTTGTTCTTTTCTGGGGAGGCCGTCTATGGGCTTGGACAGTAGGACCGACCATGGGTCTAGATCTATACGTTTCTTCAGCACGTCAGTTAGTAGTGTCTGTATGCGCTTCCAGTATTTGTTTAGTTCTGGGCATTCCCACCACATGTGCACAAAGGTGCCTTTACCTCCACAGCCCTTCCAACATGTGTCTGTCGTGATTTTCCCCATTCTGTGTAGCTGCACAGGTGTAGTGTACCACCTCATGAGCATTTTATATGACTGTTCTTGGTGTAGTACACAGATTGAGGTTTTAGCTGTCGCCTCCCAAATGTCCACCCAGTCCTCTCCTTCCAATGTCACCCCCAGGTCCGCCTCCCATTGGCCAATGTATCGTGGGTCTTTAGCGTCTTTAGCTGGGGCGCTGAGTTGTGCGTATATACAGGGAGTGCAGAATTATTAGGCAAGTTGTATTTTTGAGGATTAATTTTATTATTGAACAACAACCATGTTCTCAATGAACCCAAAAAACTCATTAATATCAAAGCTGAATATTTTTGGAAGTAGTTTTTAGTTTGTTTTTAGTTATAGCTATGTTAGGGGGATATCTGTGTGTGCAGGTGACTATTACTGTGCATAATTATTAGGCAACTTAACAAAAAACAAATATATACCCATTTCAATTATTTATTATTACCAGTGAAACCAATATAACATCTCAACATTCACAAATATACATTTCTGACATTCAAAAACAAAACAAAAACAAATCAGTGACCAATATAGCCACCTTTCTTTGCAAGGACACTCAAAAGCCTGCCATCCATGGATTCTGTCAGTGTTTTGATCTGTTCACCATCAACATTGCGTGCAGCAGCAACCACAGCCTCCCAGACACTGTTCAGAGAGGTGTACTGTTTTCCCTCCTTGTAAATCTCACATTTGATGATGGACCACAGGTTCTCAATGGGGTTCAGATCAGGTGAACAAGGAGGCCATGTCATTAGATTTTCTTCTTTTATACCCTTTCTTGCCAGCCACGCTGTGGAGTACTTGGACGCGTGTGATGGAGCATTGTCCTGCATGAAAATCATGTTTTTCTTGAAGGATGCAGACTTCTTCCTGTACCACTGCTTGAAGAAGGTGTCTTCCAGGAACTGGCAGTAGGACTGGGAGTTGAGCTTGACTCCATCCTCAACCCGAAAAGGCCCCACAAGCTCATCTTTGATGATACCAGCCCAAACCAGTACTCCACCTCCACCTTGCTGGCGTCTGAGTCGGACTGGAGCTCTCTGCCCTTTACCAATCCAGCCACGGGCCCATCCATCTGGCCCATCAAGACTCACTCTCATTTCATCAGTCCATAAAACCTTAGAAAAATCAGTCTTGAGATATTTCTTGGCTCAGTCTTGACGTTTCAGCTTGTGTGTCTTGTTCAGTGGTGGTCGTCTTTCAGCCTTTCTTACCTTGGCCATGTCTCTGAGTATTGCACACCTTGTGCTTTTGGGCACTCCAGTGATGTTGCAGCTCTGAAATATGGCCAAACTGGTGGCAAGTGGCATCGTGGCAGCTGCACGCTTGACTTTTCTCAGTTCATGGGCAGTTATTTTGCGCCTTGGTTTTTCCACACGCTTCTTGCGACCCTGTTGACTATTTTGAATGAAACGCTTGATTGTTCGATGATCACGCTTCAGAAGCTTTGCAATTTTAAGAGTGCTGCATCCCTCTGCAAGATATCTCACTATTTTTGACTTTTCTGAGCCTGTCAAGTCCTTCTTTTGACCCATTTTGCCAAAGGAAAGGAAGTTGCCTAATAATTATGCACACCTGATATAGGGTGTTGATGTCATTAGACCACACCCCTTCTCATTACAGAGATGCACATCACCTAATATGCTTAATTGGTAGTAGGCTTTCGAGCCTATACAGCTTGGAGTAAGACAACATGCATAAAGAGGATGATGTGGTCAAAATACTCATTTGCCTAATAATTCTGCACTCCCTGTAGTGGTTATTAAGCCCTTTTGTACGGTTTCGGCGTTACATAATTGTTCATAGAACGTCATTGGGGTGTGGGCAGCTTTTTTGACCTCCGGGGTTTTGGCGAAGTCTCGTAGTTGGATATGGCGAAATACATCTTTTGTGGTCAGGGGCGCTAAGGTTTTCAGGCTATCGAACGTTCTGAAGGAGTCCCCCTCATACATATGGCCATACCTCTGCATCCCCGTACTCTCTATGCCTCTAAAGTCTTGTGCGCTCAGCCCGATTGCTTTGCCTTCTTGATCCAATAAATCTGCCCGTGGCTTTAATTCCGTGAGTGCCTGAAGTTTTTCCCTGTTTTCTGTTATACGTGTTTTTGGATTTGCTGGTCCTGCTTGCGTGCACATGGTTTTAAGTGGATTTGAGTGCAGTTCCTTTTTTCTCTTTCATATTAAAATAAATTAAAATAAATACATTTTAAAAAGCTGTTCAATTGTGTATAATAATAATTTAGTATAATAATTGAGGTGTGAGCTAATTGGCCAAATTTCTGAAAATTTCCTTGTTCTTTGACATCGATTTTTTTTTTTCCAGTAACTATCTTTAGGACTTTAAATGGGAACTGTTGCTTCTCTGGAAATTACATTATTGAATAAAACATTGAAAATAATTTATAACTTGTGTTAACTTTTTTTTTCTCATGAGGTTTAGCAATATTTAGCATTTTGATTTGATTTCAAATCAAACAAAGCCAGAGCAAACATTGGCAATAAAGAGGAAAAATCTAAATATTGTTTAATTTCTCCTCTCCTCTGTATTCTTTCTCTACGCGGTGCAAAAGAGAGAAATTATAACAATGAATGGCAGGACGCTAAGATGGAGGCACTCATAATGATATATTTGTTAAATATAGGTATAAGAAGAAATAACATTAAAAAACACTGGGAAGGGACAGTTCCTCTTTAGAGCCTTTCAGAGTTCAGCTAAAAAAACATTACTAGAGGTCAACTCCGTGAATATCCACAGTGGTCAACTGAAAGTATGCCTTAAACTCAGCCTTTTTTTCCCAGAAGACTCCAACAGTTTAACAAAGTGCCTGGTCGGTAGCAGAGTGAGCAACGTAACAGAGTAGACATATTAGACATACTTAGCGAAGCTCCATTACATGCGCTCAGTTTTATGCCCTCTTCCACCTATGGGACCTGAGATATTGGGAATCTACTCTAAATCTAAATGGCATGGAGGACTAATTAGGAAACACCTACTCATGTCATTTAATACGGAAATGAAGGATATCAAAGAAGAACACACAGTGTTGGGTCCTGGGTAGAGTCAAGATGGTACGCGAGGATGTTAAGGGAACACACACACACACACACACACACACACACACACACACTATCCTATAGCATGAGCCTTTTGTCCTGTGAGTTTTTGAGAGTAGAATGCACAATCATGTATATTTTTCAGTTTTATTGATGTTTGCCAACTGCTGTTTTGCTTGTTTACTTGTATGTACCGTTTTCTGATCACCCAATTAAAAGGAGAATTGAAAAAAGTCCCTAAAATTTCTTTGGATGTGGCAAAAAGGACAGGTAAATGAGCAGAGTGACTTAACAGGACATCGAAAATACCCCAGTTTGTAATCCCTAATCCTAGACTATGAGGAGTTTTGATTTATTTAAGTATGTCGCTACAGTTTGGATTTTTTGGTTTGTGCATTGCTTGTCCTAATCAAATATGAATACTATTTAATAATCACTCATCAGTAGTGATTTAGTCGACTAAAATACGACTAAAACTAAAATGGCTTTTAGTCAAAAGATTATGACTAAAACGAAAAACGCTGCCAAAATTAACACTGATTGCAAGGTATTCAAAGTATTCACAATCTATCACTAACCATTTTCCTGCCGGGAACGACAAAGTCAGAAAATTGTATCTTGAAACCTGGCTTAAACCATTAATTTGTTAATAATCTCACAATATAAAGCTCGGCAGGCTGATATCACAATGTTCGCAGCAATGAAAAAACATTGGCACCTTGAAGGCGGTCTCTATTACACCAAAGACTAAAGGTTACAAACAGCCAAGTGCATTAATGAAGCTAATAGGTTGCAGGTGTTTAAATGAACCTATCATGTTCCATGTAGCATTGCAGTGGCTGTAATTCTTTAATGTACCTCTAAATCAGGGGGTAGGCAATGGTGGACTACAGCTCCCATAATGCTTAGAAGGCATCAAGGTAGACATAGTCCATAACATTTGAAATGCCGGAGGTTGCTAATCCCTACTCTAAATGGACCGTTCAGTAATGGTACACATGTATTTGTTAGGTTATCTTATCATATATGCAGTGCTGATTTGTCCTTTAATTGTTATAATTGATTAACGAGTAATCATTAGTTAACATTGCATGTACAAATCAAGTCAGTGGAGGTATTTGTGATGTTTGATTTGCTCATGGCCAAATTCTTGGGGAATTGGTTAATTGCTAGTAATAAAAAAGGTTTTCTAGCCCTTTGAGTTGCTGAAATCAATAAATCTAACAAAAGTTTTGTTAAAGTGTCCTTTCGATTGGTTTGCAATGGCCAAAATGTGACAGTTTATAGTGACATACAGGGCACATTTCTCTGATCCAATAAAAGTAGAAGTAGTATTGGAAATTAACAATGAGATTCTGATCAGTTTGACAATTAAAGGAACACTATAGCGTTGGGAAAACAAATGCGTATTCCTTATGCTATAGTCCTAGTCACCACTTAGGTGACCAGGTGCCCACTGCCAGGGTTAAAAATGCTAATTTGCTTACCTTTTCTCCTTATAAGAGCTGGCCTCCAGCATTTCGTTCCGCTTTCTTGGCTGAGAATATCTGATTACAATAATGTAGCTGAACTACACTATTTTGGCAAAAGTGGCTCTAGTGGATGTCAGTATGACAGTAGAACAGTAATGTTTTTAACTGCAGAGTTAAAATGGGTTTGGGTGGGGCATGGTACCCAGACCACTTCAGTGAGATTAAGTGGTCTGGGTTCCTATGGAGTCCCTTTAACAGCTCTCCAACCCTTTTTTAAATTTAACAGAATAATTCCCTATTGGCATTACTCTGTAGGTGCCCCCCAAACAAAATACTCATAGAGAGTTTTCAAATAAGTTTCTACTTACCTTTAGTCAGCACCGAGTTAAAGGACCACTATAGAGCCAGGGAAACAAACTCGTTTTCCTGGCACTATAGTGCCCTGAGGGTGCCTCACCCTCAGGGTCCCACTCCCGCCGGGCTGAAGGGAAAGGAAGGGTGTTTAAACACTCTCCTCCTCCTTCCGACGTCATATGCTGAATGCGCATGCGCGGCAAGAGCCGCACGCATTCAGCCAGTCCATAGGAAAGCATTCTGAATGCTTTCCTATGGACGCTGGCATCTTCTCACTGTGAAAATCACAATGAGAAGTGCGGAAGCGCCTCTAGCGGCTGTCAGTGAGACAGCCACTAGAGGCTGGATTAACCGATATGTAAACATAGCAGTTTCTCTGAAACTGCTATGTTTACAGCAGGCAGGGTTAATCCTAGATGGGCCTGGCACCCAGACCACTTCATTGGGTGCCTTTAGTGGTCCTTTAAGCTCCCAGCGCTGGTCAGCGCACCCCTGTCTGACATCACTGGAGACTGCACCTAGATCAAATCAAAGGCTTCTCATAAAGAACCTTTGATTGAAAGATTTAACGGGCTCTGAGCGCACGTGCACGTTCAAAGCATACAATGGGAGGGGGAAGGAAGGGCAGGACCAAAAAACTTTTTTTATTTGCAAAGTGGATAGGGAGGCAGAGAGGGCTACAATCAGTGCGTGAGGGAGGGGAGACAATAGCTTCACCTTGCAGGTTCGGCAGCATGTAGTGCACGCAGACGACAGATTTTTTTTTTATGCACAGAATTGACATTAGACAGCCCGGAAGAGCATTCTGGGGTGCCAATGACACGTGTGTTAGTGATGCATCTTGCCCCTGCACACAATTAACAATATAAATATTAAACTGAAACATTGCATATCCAGGTTCCAACCACCATGACCACTTCAAAAAGCAGAAGTGATCATAGTGGTTGGAGTAACTCTTTAAATACTGACTATGTGATTGTGTTTAATAAAGTTTTTTTGCAGTAAAATAGCAGAAGAGATGCACAACAGAGTGCAATGGGCATAGGAAAACGAACGCAGTTATAGTTTGCGTATATATCTTGAAAACACTGCAGCATTAACCCAATAGGCACTCATGGGAGAAACATATGAAAGGCATAAAATATAGAATGTCAGGATATATTCCCTGTCACAACAGAGTATCACAAAAGGCAAAACATGTATAGTTTTAGCCTATTTTCCCCATCACAATAGATTAGTGCAGAAGGTAATACATAGCGCTATGAAAGCATTAAATTCAGTAAAGGAAAAAAAAATAGTTAATGCATCTTGAAAAAGACTGAATATGTGATTGTAGTGTCCCTACCAATTGGGAGGATTTTCAAATAAAATAAAAATAGATTTACTTTTTTCCTCCAAGTAAATGTGCCACAGCTCTTACTTACATAGATCAATCCCTTTCGTATCCACTATGCATTTTACCACAACATAAACAAACAAAAGCAAGGCCTGAAATGAATTCCTTTCTAGCTATAAACCCTGAAAACTACACACAGGAAGGCAGTAAATAGCCCTGAATTGATTCCAGTCTCATAAAGGCCAAGGCATTTATACCCCAAATACCACAGCCATCAATTAACTGTATACATTCTAAAGAGTCTTTCACTATAGCATTTTCTTAAAAACACATTGTTTCCACTAGCAAGAAACATATTTACTCCAGTGTCCTCGATCAGCATCATAAAATAGATATTTGTCCTGAGAATGGATAAAATTGGCACAGCAGGAGAAATCGCCCTTCCATGTGCGAGATTTCCGATTTCATAAACAGCTATACAGACAGTAAAATGCATTTATGATAACGATGTCTGTTTAAAAGGCTCCAAAGACAGTGAAATTACACACACAAATTGTTACACAACTATATACAGTTGCAAGAAAAAGTATGTGAACCCTTTGGAATGATATGGATTTCTGCACAAATTGGTCATAAAATGTGATCTGATCATCATCTAAGTCACAACAATAGACAATCACAGTCTGCTTAAACTAATAACACACAAGAATGAAACTAATAACACACAAAGAATAAATGTTTTTATTGAACACACCATGTAAACATTCACAGTGCAGGTGGAAAAAGTATGTGAACCCCTAGACTAATAACATCTCCAAGAGCTAATTGGAGTGAGATGTCAGCCAACTGGAGTCCAATCAATGAGATGAGATTGGAGGTGTTGGTTACAGCTGCCCTGCCCAATAAAAAACACACACCAGTTCTGGGTTTGCTTTTCACAAGAAGCATTGCCTGATGTGAATGATGCCTCGCACAAAAGAGCTCTCAGAAGACCTACGATTAAGAATTGTTGACGTGCATAAAGCTGGAGAGTTATAAAAGTATCTCCAAAAGCCTTGCTGTTCATCAGTCCACGGTAAGACAAATTGTCTATAAATGGAGAAAGTTCAGCACTGCTGCTACTCTCCCTAGGAGTGGCCGTCCTGTAAAGATGACTGCAAGAGCACAGCGCAGACTGCTCAATGAGGTGAAGAAGAATCCTAGAGTGTCAGCTAAAGACTTACAAATGTCACTGGCAAATGCCAATATCCCTGTTAGCGAATCTACAATACGTAAAACACTAAACAAGAATGGATTTCGTGGGAGGATACCACAGAGGAAGCCACTGCTGTGCAAACAAAACATTGCTACACGTTTACAGTTTGCACAAGAGCACCTGGATGTTCCACAGCAGTACTGGAAAAATATTCTGTGGACAGATAAAACCAAAGTTGAGTTGTTTGGAAGAATAAAAGGCACAGCACACCAACATCAAAACCTCATCCCAACTGTGAAGTATGATGGTGGGGCATCAGGGTTTGGGTTTGCTTTGCTGCGTCAGGGCCTGGACGGATTGCTATCATCGAAGGAAAAATGAATTCCCAAGTTTATCAAGACATTTTGCAGGAGAACTTAAGGCCATCTGTCTACCAGCTGAAGCTCAACAGAAGATGGGTGTTGCAACAGGACAATGACCCAAAGCATATAAGTAAATCAACAACAGAATGGCTTAAACAGAAGAAAATACGCCTTCTGAAGTGGCCTAGTCAGAGTCCTGACCTCAACCCGATTGAGATGCTGTGGCATGACCTCAAGCATTTACAATGCTTTCCTATGGACGCTTGCGTGTTCTCATTGATTTTCACAGTGAGAATCAAGCAAACGCTTCTAGCGGCTGTCAATGAGACAGCCGCTAGAGGCTTTGGAGGCTGGATTAACCCTAATATAAACATAGCAGTTTCTCTGAAACTGCTATGTTTATTAAAAAAAAGGGTTAATCCTAGAGGGACCTGGCACCCAGACCACTTCATTAAGCTGAAGTGGTCTGGGTGCCTAGAGTGGTCCTTTAAAGCAAATTAAACATCAATCATATAGTTTAAGGTTCTAACCTGCTTCACAAGGGTTAATTCTGCCCTAGACTTTATTTGCTGTAATAGCTACCATGTAACATATAAAGGCTGCTGCATCTCTTACGGACAATTTCAGTACAAAGACATTGCAACAGCTACACAAGAATTTGTGCAGCCAAGACAGAAAATATAAATCTTATTCATACAAGGAAGGCGGAGGAGGTATTCCGCATCTAATGTTGCAATTGTTCAATTAGTCCAGGGCAAAGCACTATACTTCATGAGAATTACCCGCTGAATAGACTCTCCTTATAATACCTCTGTTTGTTTTGGCGACGATGCCTTCATATTTTCTCCTTAAGATAACATAATCTCGGCTAAGCACCCTAACAGCCACTTACATTGCACTTAATGCACTGAAGATGATCATGCAATATTCAGATGACATGCTATTCGTGTCCTTCTAGTTTTTAGTAGAGTGAAAGGATTTAACGTCACTCAGTCATGTAATCTCATAAGAATAGAGTTGTTTTTTGGTCTGTTGTGATCAGAAGCAAATTCTAACCTAATTACCATAATGACGTTAAAACCAGATCAGCGTCTAAGAGGCTTATTTACTATGCAATGTGCGGTGTGGTGAGTTGACAACAGATCAGGAGGTCTTTACAACTAAACCAATTTGGTTTACATTCTGCATTTTTATTTCCTAGGAACTCAGCACTTGGTGTATAGGTCACTGGGAATTAGATTTCAGTCCCTGCACCTCTTGTATATATACACAGAATTGTGTAATCCACCGCAAATAGGTTTCATCAGATACAACTAACATAATAATCAGCCATTCATGACAAACTGAAGAGGTATTACCTATTCATTAACCTGAAAAACTGCATTTTTTTAAAAATCTCAGTTTGAAATTGGCCATGCAATCAAAGATGGGGCCACAGTAGCGGCTCACATTATTCACTAATTAGATGTGTAAAGAGTGACAGGATTTTTTTAAAGAAAAAGAAAGGAAAAAAAAAGCTTAAAACGAAAGTTATCTTGATACATTTTTATTTTTATGTGAAATTAATAAAAATTGCATTTGTGCCACCAGCAACGAAAGAGTTAATAAGCATCTTTCTGGGATTAGGTGGCGGCAGAAAGTGATGGCAAAACACTGCTTACATTTTACTCACAGATACATAATGCACTTTAACCACAAAAAGACCGGGAAAAAGTTAAATTATGTGAAAACTCGGAATGCGTCCATTGAATAACTTGAATTGGTGCCAAAGGGAGACTATGTGCATCTCTCTCTCTCTCTCTCTCACACAAAACCCTTATCAAGAGATCATCTTAAACTGATAGTGTGTCAGCAACCCTGACATTCCAATGTTTGCACCAGGCCCTAATCAATCAGCCCCGCGCCAGCTTTTCAGCCAATACTCCACCTGCTCGCTAAATTATCAAAGATTTCCATAGCACCAAGTCACTTAGAAAATAAATTACACTCAAGTCATTTACACAATGCTCAAAGCAAACAGTGGAAAGAGCAGAGAACATTCAACATTGAGCTTCCACACAGCCTCACAAATGCCTTTTAGTTCACAAAAGCTGACAACATGTGGCTGTGATTATATTATGGGATGATGAGGCTGTAGAAAATATATCATGGGGATATGTGGCTGTAAATATATCATGGATGGATAACATCGCAAATATATCATGGGGCCATTTGAGTGGGAAATATATTATTATTATATTATTCAATAACTTGTTACTTACAGTCTGTGGAAGGCAGGGGGCTTGTGGGCTGCTTGTTCATATCACAGTATTAAATATATTAAAATGGCACTTTCACCCCCCTGAAAAAAATAGTATTTCATAAAGATAGAACTACTCATTTTAACTGTGTTGGAAGTCTACTAAAATTAAAACCCATTCAGGAAAAATACTGAGACAAAGTAAGGACTATTTTGTCTCTGTATATTTCCTACACCTGACACTTCTTGACCAAGGGCGGAGCTACCACCGTAAAGAAGTGTCAATCCCCCCAGATGTCACCAGTGACAGATGCAGGGAATTGGCCTTGTCTATGGAGGATCCTATGGTCTTGTATGCGCGAGAGTACAGCAGTGGTGCTGAATCGCTACTAGCGGAAGAGGCGACACTGAAGTAACATTTTAATGTATAATTCTCCAGATTATTCCATTTGTGTTTGATACAACACTTTGCCCTGCAGAGCTTGCAATCAATTTGCGAGCAATCTTTCCACCCTAAAGAGCTTGCAAACTTTTATATCACTAGCCACTCTAGGTTTTCCTACACATCCCATTTAATGGACTGTATTTTAGTGTGTGGTCACTTACCCTCTCGGGTGCCTGTCCAGTTCATTCAGAACTGTGTGGTCACAATATTCAAACACTAAATGCAGTTTTCGCTTCCTTCGGAAAACCTCCAGGAGATTTACCAAGTTTGGGTGCTTCAGTTGCTGGGGAAGAAATGAATCCATATTAATGCAGATTTCTATTGCTAATTGTAGAAATTAGTGTTTTTCTTATATATATATGTTTTAAATTTATATACACATATATAAAAATATACCATATTTATGTCATATACACAATTACATATACATACCCTTGAATTTATACTATATAGTGATGGTGCTTTAATATAACAATACGTGATTTTAGACACAATTCCTTAAAACACATTCACATCACATATCAGAAACAAAAAAAACAAAAAAAAAGCTTTGTAAATACAGCTTTGTGGGTCACGTGTAAGATTGTAAACTCTATGGGTGCTTCCCATACTTCCCAACAGACTCGGATTTAGCAGGGCAGTCCCAACTCGGTATTCTGTGCTGTCATTCCAGGTTTATTACCCAGCAAAAAAAAAAATATATATATATTTATTTATTTTTTAATGAAAATGTATATATTGCCCGATAATATTACAATTAAACTAAAACAAGTTTGAGATTTGAGTGGGGATTAGCAAAAGGAAGACCTAACTGAATTCTTGTCCATTCTCATGAATTCAATTCTGGCTTGTTTACTGTACTTTTCATACATAGCAGAGTATTCGTTGGTACGCACTGAGATCATCATTTATAAATAAAAACATACACACTTATCATGTTAGCATTTGGGTCTCTACTATTGCTGTGACATGGAGACTGTATTCAAGTTCATATCTGATACCAATCCTTTAAAAGGTCAGCCAATCCTTACTGTGTAATGTACACACAAATGAGATGTTTCTACCGTTCTGCAAACGCCACACTCCCAGCTATTGTTGGTTACAAACCAGCGTTCAATAAATATTTGCTTTTTTAGCTGGACTGTAAAGGTAGAATTTATTTTTAAAGAAACAGCGGCTTAACTACACAAACAGATTTGTCAGCTAGGCTCTGGCATTCCTACCGTCTATAAACACAGTGTGTTACTATTTACTAAGAATCTCCAGCAAGTCTCCACATGTAAAACCAACACTGATAAAACCATGAAACATCCGGGGGCTGACTTAACATGGCGATAGAGGAAGAAAGAAAAAAATATATATAAAAAATTTACAAGCGGTAAGACAGTAAGAGGAAGAAAGAAGAAATATCTATAAATTCCTGCAGCGATGGAACTGGATTAGAACTGCGCAATAAATCACGCCATTATTTTACAACCTTTCCATAAATTAGTCCCAAAGCATATGCGATAAAGGAGGATTAACAGTAGACATATTTGAGCTGTGTTTATGGTTTGTGTGAGACGTTATTAAACTTAAACTCTAAGCACCACAACCATTTCAGAGAGTACCGAAAGGAAAATCTAGAGCAGGGGTCCCCAAAAGGTAGATCCCGAGATATTGTAAAACTACAACTCCCATGATACTTTGCATGCCTTTACAATGACAAGATGAAAGATGTTGTTTTAAAACATCTGAGGGTCTACCTTTTGGGCACCCCTAGGCTAGAAATCATACTTGTGCACACTAGAAAAGAACAGATCAGATGAAAATGTACAATACCTAGGGGGTTTGATACAAGCATCTTTCTGTTAACCTGTTTATTAACAGAACTGTACAATGAAACATTATTAATATGCCTATCACAATCTATCATATAACGCACAAGTTTATAATATTAAGATCAAGTAATAAAAGGGATACTCCAAGCACCATAACCACTACAGATTTTTATAGTTACTATGCTCCAAGAAGTTACTGGGTGCAGCAGCTATGGTTTTTTCCCTCAAACGGTGTTCAGGACATTTGACACAAACAGTGACATTCCCAGCACCCAAAGCTCAGCCTTTCTGTTACTGCTCATAACACAGATGTTTTATTTCCGCATTAGCTGTACAGAATTATCCGAATCCAGATGTCAATAATTGGAAGTGCTGAGCTAAGATACATCCAGGCCTTACCAGCGATCATTGCCGCCAGATTTGTACGGCTAAACAATACCCGTGCAAACATGCCAGAGTTTATTCACTAAACTGGGTATTTAATTGCCATATTTAAGTAACAAGAGTGTTTGTACAACTGCACAATTATATTTTGTGCAACTTACAGGCTTATCCACTAAACTGAGAATTCAACGTGAATTTCAAATTTAAGGCCAAAGGTGCCGTAGCTGACTTGGAGAATGTTTCCAATTCGGCAACTTTTACCTTGAAATTGCAATTCACTGTGAATTCTTTAGTAAATAGCCCTGTTAGCAATATATGTATTCGGTTCAGCAATCACCAAAATGGAGTTTGAAGAGTGGCGCAACAAACACTGAAAGGGTTACTGAGCCAGCCGCCAGGATCACGGAGCTTGCGCTTGCCTTGTCAGTCTGATTAATGAAATATTCACTGCTAACCTTAAGGCTCTGAAGATTAAATTTCTCCTCAGATGATGCTTGGGTTTTGTTATTGTGCAAAAAGCATGAACTGATTTCCTCAAGGAAAGGTAAGTTCAGCTACACAGAGGCTTGTTTACAGCACTCACCCTATACAGGCATTCCCATGGAATGTAATACCTTGTCTACGATCTGCAACCCACCCTTTTACCGGAGATATATTTAGAACACAGAGATTACCCCTAGAATCTTAATGTATCTGTGCGTGTCTTACTCCACCCTAGGCGTTCCTTTATGGTACCCGCTGAGCATCATGGGAAAAATGGTTTAGTAATACATGGGATACCAGAGAGAACTAACACTGGTCTAGAGGGGTCAGGAGTATTTAATATGTTAATAGACTTTCATTTATATTGCACAGTCAGCTTTGACATAACCAATCTTGGGTGGGGACATAGGGAATTTGATGATGGAAATAAAATTGACAAGAGTTCATGGTATTCGAGTAACATAGTATCATAGATGAAAAAACTTGCACAATTCATACTTCCAAACATTTTAAATGGACAAAGAAGGTCACTTTAATTTTAGGGGGGTAAATAAGGGTGTGACTAGTGGCAGGGCTGTTCTGAGATATTGTAGGTTCCCTTGCAGTGTTAAGGGGGCAGGGGAACTTCACCCAGTCCACTTCAATGAGATGAAGTGGTTTGGGTGCCTATAGTGTCCCTTTAAAGACACATTACTTTGACTATAATTGCTGTGGAGCTCTATTATACACTCAGACACACCAAAAACATGGAGCTCCTAGAAAAGAGGGATTTGGGCTCTTAAATAGGGACACTTGGGAGAAATGTGTACAAGGGAAATATTCCTGATTAATCTGTCCATTTTCTGCTGTCTAGTTTCACTAGCCCTTGAAAATTAACAATATCAAATGATAAAGGTCATGTTTTGTGTTTTCACTTCAGTGGAGGCACTCAGGGGTATGTAGGGGAAAAAGCTTTCAATCTTTAACTTTATGGCCTAGATTTTTTCACAAAAACATAATTGTTAAATAAAGGGGATTGGAGTTAAAGATAACATTAAAAATCATGTGGAGTAATGTTTTTAATGAGCGTTTCCTCCTCAGATATCCAAGCATATAAATCTGATTTTAATAATTAAACCTTACTTATACCTTTGTCACAATAACCTTTTAGAGTCTTTCACTTGGAGACCAGTTAAATCTTTAATTAACCCCGTAAGGACCAAACTTCTGGAATAAAAGGGAATCATGACATGTCACACATGTCATGTGTCCTTGAGGGGTTAAACTTGTGTTTTGTAGGTAACGTAACAGGTGCTTAAAAAACAGCCACTAATAAATGATCCTATAAAAACCCTTTCTCTTCCACACCATACTTTTAAACTGCAAAGAGGAAGCGTCTTTGGAGTAAAAAAACAAAACTTTTTTTTTGTTTGTTTTTTTACACGGTGAAGTATTTAAATAGTGGAGAATGACACATCTGCTCCACAACTACATTAGCTAGTTAGAGATAACAATATAAATATATTGCAAAATTTACTAATTACTTTGAATTAATTGTTACATAAGTGACTTAATTTATTTACTAAAGGAAGAATTCAATGTGACTTTCAAATTTAAGGCCAGAGTAGTTGAATGCCCAGCATAACAGATTTAAATATTTTTTCTAGTTCGGCTATTTTGACTTTAAATTTAAAATTCACTTTGAATTCTCACGTTAGTGAATAGTCCTGATAAAGTTATAGCTACAGTCATCTTTCCTGTACATGAAGTTATATCCACTTCGGTTGCCCTTTTAATCTTGTAATTTCCCCTGATTTTTCATGTCACATTTACGGATTCCCCTATACTGAACAAATATAAAAATCCACACTGTATTTACTCCCTATCCAGGAACTGAATGCCTTTACATTGGCTCCCATCCAGTCTTTGTTGTATAAAATATGCCCTTTGCATTGGGCATTCAGTATACAGAGTATAGAGAAGTCGTTTCTTCTTCTCCAATGCAATGTGTGCCTGGCTGTGCCAGGTTGGATTGGATTGTGATAGCAATTGCTTATTCTTTAATGAACATTTACAAGAGAACGAAGTATAATATGAAAACAAAATGTTAATGCAATCAATAGGGGATTTTCAGTATTTTATTCAATAGTGACAGTCCCCTTTATTTTTTTAATTATGAGTTGCCACCGACTGGTTTGCTAACTGGCCAGAACCTAAATATATTCCAATCATAGTCACTTGTTTCAAGCAGCAATTTTAGTGATACTATTTAAATGGGGGGGGGGGGACGACGACACACCAGCTGTGAGGTGCAAGTATTAATAAAACAGTGCAGGTGGTACGATCAGCTCCAAACTGTGTCAAACCCTAGTATCTGCCTATTTCCCAGGTGGCCCATAGATCAGAATAAAATCACAGAGCTCCAGAGGGAAGGAATAGTCAGCCTGGTGATTATTTGTGATACAAGGGAAAGACGAATGTGGAAAGAACTCATTTAAGAAAGTTAGAGTAAGCAAAAGTACCAGATCTATACAAAGCCAGATGAGGTGTTATTTCATACAAAAAGGACACAAGAGAAAATTTACCCAGAATGTACATGGGTTATTATCCCAGAACAAATGCAGAGTATAGAGAGAAGGACGGGGGGTGAGGGAGGTGACTAAATTAATGCAGATATTGGAGAAGGATGGTATCAGTATAAATGAATTGAATGGAATGGGGAAACCCAGAATGAATGTACAGAATGCCCTTAAGTCCCTTCCCATCCAGCACACAGATACACTGGATACATAAAGATATATGGATGGGTAGGGACTTATTATATGTATTCCAGAATGAACGTATTGTATGGAAAGGGGGCGGATCCCAAAATGAATGTATTAAATAGAAAGGGGGGATCCCAGAATGAACGTATTGTATGGAAAGGGGTAATCCCAGATGAATATATTGCATGAGAAAGGGGGATCCCAAAATAAATTTATTGTATGGAAAGGGGGATCCCAGAAAGAATGTATGATAAAAATAGGGGGTTTCCTAGAGTCAATGCAGAGATAGTGGTTAATCCCAGAATAAATGCAGAAAGTATAGAAAGGGGATATTCCATAATGAATGCAGATTATAGATTGGGGCTATCCCAGAATGAATGTATAATATAGATAGTATCTATACAGGAATCAATGCATCGATAGGGGTTATCCCAGATTCACTGCATTTATAGGGGTTTTCCCAGAATAAATGCAGAGTATAGAAAGGAGGTATATACCAGAATGAATGCACAGTATAGAAATACCAGAATGAATGCGGAGTATAGAAAAAGGGGTATATACCAGAATGAATGCAGAATGTAGTGGGGAGGTTTACTCCATAAAGAGTGCAGAACATAGAGATGGTCTAGAATAAATGGTGTGTGTTAAGGGGTAATCCCAGAACAAAAGCAGAGCATGGGGCAATATCTCCGAATGAATGCCGTGGGTATCCCAGAAGGAATGCAGAGTGTAGAGAGGAGGTATCTGTGAATGAATGCAGAGTGTGGGTGGGAGGGGAGAGGAAGGAATTGTGAATGAATGCAGAGTGTAGAGATACAGGGTTTATCTGAAAGAATGGAGAGCTCAGAAAGAGGGTATCCTTGAAGGAATTGAGAGTATAGAGATGGGGTATATCTCAAAATTAGATTAATACATTTGCATAGTTAGAAAAGCTTGCACTGTGCCAAGAAATGTTTGCCAAATACCTTTAGCATGCGGATTTCACGCATCGCAATCTTTTTAATTATGGGATCATCTTCAGATTCCAGAAATTTCTTGATTGCCACGACCTGCCCTGTGTCCCTATTCCTACATTTAAAGACCACGCCGTAGGATCCTTCCCCTATCTTCCCAATTTTTTCATACTTCTCCATCATGCCACAGTCTCTCGAACGTCTGCCTTAACGTTTCACAGTGGTTGACTTTTACGAGAAAAAAGTCCACGCTGGGTCCAGATCAGGAGAGGCAGATGTAGAGGTCAGTCTTTTCACTGAAGACAATATGGTCCTGACGAAGACCCTAAAGCAGAACAAAGAGCCCAGTTAGTGTATAAAGTGCATTCAACAACCAACTCACAGAAGGAAAGAGAGAGATAGAAAAGGATAATTTATGTAGCTTGCCATTCAGTAAAAAGGGTAGTTATGTATTGGAAGGGAAAGGAAAACCGAATCACTGGGAAGATGGGCAAGGGAAAATGAGAGTTTAGCCCTGAATATCCCTGTATCAAGATATAAAAATACAGAGAAATTATTGGGAACATTTAATTGGTTTACATAGCGATTCCTCTATCTTTAGAACCTGGAATAACTCTTTATTTCAAATACCAAATATGTCATAATATTACCAGAATCTTATAGGGTTTATTAACTAAAGAATTTATGGTGGCATATAACCAAGGGGAGATATTTTGATGTACCAGCTTTTGCAGCTGCACATGCCGTGCATTAGTTGGCTGAGTACGTCAACTGACTGCTCTCTGTAAATGAATCTGTTCGTGTGATTTGGGATTATATTGTTCGGGAACCGAACAACCGCATGAACCAGAAACCACCTGTGTGCTTGTTAAGCCCAATTGACACCTTGTAACGAGTTCCACCGCAGTGTTCTAATTGTTCGTCTGGGTGGCCGCAATTTATATAAACGACCCCGAGGTGGCGGCCATCTTGTTCGCATTAACGCAGGCAGCGGTGTTTGGTCGTTGAGTTCATGGAACTGAAATCAGACACTGAAACTCCAGAACCCCGCTGGACTTCCATAATCGCCTGTGTTCCGTTCTATACAACTTCGAAGGGCACTGTTCGGTGGAATCGTTTCCACGAACAAGGTGAACAAGCTACACATGTTAACTATGGATTTCATTCGGTATTTTATGCACTTTTATACTCCAGAAAGAGACCGATCGTCAGCACTGATTTCATGGAACTGTTTTGGGCATAGGACCATGTGTGCGGTCGGTCAAATAATTGACTTCCAATGAAAAACCGAACCCCTGAACCGATCTGGGTGATTTTTGGATACGTTGGTCACCCAGATTGCGGCTATCCGAGAATGTAACTTTTGTGGGGTTTCTATGGATTTTGGGGGTACTTTTGTGATAATTTAATTATATGATGGCTTCTAAGATAATTATCTCTCAGGCACAAAGCATCATGGGAGAGATTTCCCTGTATTCTTGTATTGGAAACTCCTTGCATGGGCTTTTGCATAAAAGGCTGTGCGTGATCTCCAATAAACCAGATGACTCCCAGCATTAAACCTTGGCTCATGTGTGGAGGGGAATAGCTATACTGCTATATCACTTGCTCTTTCACTGGCTATACAGCGATACTCTCTTGGAGGAGAGGTCTTCCCACTGGCAGCTGGATCCAGGTGTTTGGTCCAGGGTGGGAAGGGACGGCAAAACCCCTGCCAAGCTGCGGCTAAGGGGGCTACAGTGGTTATGGTGTCATGTGCAGTGCTTATAGTACTCACTGATACTAGGAGCGCAATTGGCGGAGGTACCCAGTCTGGGTGCCAGGTAGTCCGCCACAGTTGTCATGGTGCTTGGAGTAATTCTTTAAATAGTGGTGTTATATCTTATCATATTACTAGGTCATAAACATAAAATGTGATGGCAGATAAGAACCATTGACCCCGTCTAGTATTATTCCATAATAAATTTATTATATTCGATTAGATTATAGTTATTTTGCTTTATAGCGCTTTTTAGTAGATTATGTTTAGACTTAGTAATGTTATTAAAGTTAGATTTTATTCTAATATTGTTATATTTGATTTTAGTTCAGCGACATTATATTGTATTTTTTTATTTTTCATTATTGTGTTATTATATGACAGGTAGATTGTATTCTGGTATTCTTATTTTGTATTATCGTTGAGTTATTATATTATGCTACAGAAAGATTGTCATACCGTATAATGTTCTACTAGAGCATCATTTAAGAGGACTCCCAGGTCGCTTCAGGCCTTAGTAGTTGTCTGCTGATGCTTTCACTGGGAGAAGAAGCATATTCAGTGATATCCCTTTCTCTGGGCCTCTGGCTCCTTTTCAAAGTGTGAAGTTGAGGTGTAATTTAATGCTTCAGAACAAGCAGAGGCCGAGGGACTCCTGCAAGATGCAGACCGCAAGGCTCCAGCAATGCCATAGGAAAACGCCAGCCTGGGTGAACCGATACGACCGCTGTTTTTACTCTCTGGGTCTAGTTTCCTCTCTCACTTTCTTTCTTTTTAATGCATGTTGGCAACACAGGGTAACCATTAGTCACTTTAGCATAGTCAAGTTTCTCCTTTTACATATATACAGCAGTCATTGTACAGATTACATAGACTGGGTTATTTAACAAAACAAGAACTGGTAGAAGAATTGCTAATTTTAAGATACAATAGTTGAAATTTCTCCAAGAACTTATTTTGGCCTAAAATTCACAGTTCTGTGACAAAACTTTCAGCAAACATGAAGTGACTTTTTTTTCATCCATTCTTGCTTCTTATACGAATACTCTCAATATTCACATTTCCTATCGAACTCCGACATTTAGACAGGTACTGAACCCATCAGACTCCTAAACTAGTAAACATTTACCCTGACGCTTTAAAGAAAGCGAAAAACGACTTGCATTTATATTAACCAGTATGTAATGGAGTATTTACATGAATGTAATAGGGGCCCTTGCCCTGAGGAACGTTAAGTGGGCATCTTGGCCGAACTCATTCTATACAGTATGTTCCCAGGAATCAAATGTAAAATTCTAAACGGTGCTGTTCTCTACTAGTCAATTGAACTTTGCTTCTCAGTACCTTAAAGTATTACTTTACTGAGAGGGTAGTGGATGCATGGAATAGTCTTTCAGCTGATGTGGTAGAAGTTAAAGGGACTCTCCAGTGCCAGGAAAACAAACCTGTTTTCCTGGCACTGCAGAATACTGCAGTATCCCTCTCCCTCCCCCAGTGGCTTACCTGAATCCAGCACCGATGTCCCTGACATGCGCGGCAATGACAGTGCGCGCATTAGGACCTCCACATAGGAAAGCATCCAGACTAATCCAATGGCACCCAGACTACTCCAATGGGCAGAAGTGGTCTGGGTGCCTGGAGTATCCCTTTAACATAGTGAGGAAGTTTAAGCATACATGGGATAAGCATAAGGCTATCCTAGATTTAAGATAGGCAGACTAGATCGGTCACATTCTATATTTCTCTATTAACACCATCACAGAGGTCTGTGAGAACCTGTATCTCTCTTTTTACTATAATCTGTACCCAGGCACCCAACCCATTTCCTCCTTGTTGACCTTGGGCTACTTGGGGATTTCCATTTCAAACAAATACTTCTTGGCTTTTTTTTGCCGGTTTCATATTGTACATCAATCTGATTTTTTTTTTTTTTAGATATACATTTATTATTTTATTTTTTGTTAGTTTTGTTTTTCTTATTTCTACAGTTGTAATTTCCATTCCCCCCACCCCAAAGGTGTATTTTAATTGCTTGTTTTAGCATACACCAGTATGACAACTTTTAGAAGATTCCATTAACACATCTATTTTGCATTTAGTTTTCTTTTGTGATCATTTTTCGTTTTTGTGTCGTCCCACTGGGCACCTTCTGCAGAGTAACTTGCATATATAAAATTTAAAAAAAAGCATGTGTCTGCATATATAATTTCACCTTGATAATACAATTTTATTATTTTCCTATTTTATCACCAATATATATGTTCATATAAATAAACAGGAATTTTAATTGCAGAATGCAAACAAATAACTTTTAGTACAATCTAAACAGACAAACAGGTTTAAATTATGTTATATATTATACTGTGTATGTTTTTTTATTGTCGTAATGCAATATAAAAATATACGTTATGAATTCTTTAGTTATGTTTACACAATTATGATTAGGAATTAGTTAAAGACTTGTCGTTGCACGACATACAAACTTTAAAATTTAGGTCAAAATACAAGAAAAATGTGCATAAAATATAATGTACACCTACTTATTTATATGAGCCTTAATTCTAAAATTTTTTATCAAGTTTCCACATTCATACGTTATTAATTAACACATTAGTATGTGCATGTGCGCAGAATACTCGATTACAATTTAAAACTACATTTAAAGGAAAAACAAGCCACCACGAAGTATATGCTTTACTGGATTTTTATTGACTAAACTGAAATATAAATTTCAAAATTCATGCTTAGGCCCCAGATTTAATATTGTTGGATACGCTTTTCAAATGATTTAATATTTGTTTTAAAAATAAACTTTTCAAATTATTTAACTTAAAATATTTTAAAGTATTGATTTTTTTTTTTATATTTTAACTTTTTTTTAAAAATCCTTTTAAAAGTTTATCCAAAAATATGAAATCATTTAAAAAGCTTATCCGACAATATTAAATTTAAGTCTAAACTAGCCAAACCATGACTATAGCGGAGTTGAAGAATTCTTCCGAGCTGGCTATATTTCACTAGATTTATCATTTGGTTTCAATTCAATCCAAGTTGGTGTTTAGTGAATTTGCAGTTTTTTTGAGTTCATTAACTGACATTCTGATAATTTCACAACAAATAGTCTGTCTAACCACAACACTATAAATGAAGATTTATCAAGGCAAAGTGGGGGAACTGTATAAAGTCTATACAGGTGCTAATTTGGATGCAAATGTCAAAATGTTTAGAGACATCCTGTTGGTTTCCATGGTGACTGCTTCTTATTTAGAACTTTATCTCAAAATAACACCTGTTTTTTTTTTTTGCCATGATAAAGCTCCCCAACAGGTTCTCTTTTGGGTGCATAGTACTATATGTTACAAAACATTTGAATGGTTTTCAATAAAAAAATTCTCCAACTTTTCAGCAAATCTAAAATTAGCATTACACTGGTCAATTCTTTACATCTCACGATAAGATGCTTACAACAAAATATGTCTCAGCTTTTTATACATCACCTGCAACAAATATCTTAAGTAACCCTCTGAGTTTGTTTAGATATAGTTGGTAACAAAAATAAATATATATGTATGTGTGTATACACATATATATATATAATCAAATTATATCCTTTTTTTTTTTTTTTAAATAGTACCTTAAACCACAGGATCAACATTTCAGTGATCATGGGTACAATTTTATTAATATTCATTTGTCGTCTTGAAATCGATTTTGAAATCTTCATATTTTTCACCCAGATTTTTATTCACTAAACACCAAATTGTAATAAATTCTAAGTCAGGTTAGTTGATTTGCGGAAAAAAATCTCCAACGCACTAAGCTAAATTTTTCAAGCCAGATTTGACTTCACTGTTTAGTGAATAAATCTCACATTTACATCCAATATCTATCCAAGATTGGCCATTGGGCCAAGATTAAATAGCATCTCCCCGAATATTTGGCCGGGCTTTCCTCTTACATTTAAAAAAAATAAATACAAAAATAAGAGAGAGAAAAATATAGGAAGCTTTTTGAAACCTGATGCAAACAAGAGACATTTGTTTTCTTAAGTGATCTTACCCCAAAACAATACCCTTTACAGTAAAAACAAAGAAAGTGGTATTAATATTTTTGTTAGCTATCTGCTACCGTGTATACAGTCATGGCTTGGATTCTTGGCTACCCACAGCAAGGGATCTAATTAATGTGCCAACAGATAAATAACCCTGCTCCGTCTGCCAAGGAAAAAAGATTTTTCAATCAACTGCTGCGTGAAGCCTCACCCAAGATTGTATTTACACCATTTGTAGCGGATACAGAGCGAGCTGCTGCAAGGATTATCATTGCGAGACACCAATGTTCAGTGTTTATTTGTCAAAAACTGGAACGGTGGAAAATTAAGCAGGAAATTACAAATCTATCCTCAAAATCAGTGATGGTTTTCACAAACCCCCCAAATTACGACATTTACAGGGTAATTACTAAAGTGACAATTGTCATGATTTCAACTTGAATGCAAATGAAATCTAAAATTTAAGGCCAAAATAGGTGAATTTGAAGCATAACTGACTTGAATATTGTCCTTAAATTAGAAATTCACATTGAATTACCCTTGAATTTTTGACAATTCTTACTTTAGTGACTAACCCTGTTGGACTAAATCAGTCAATCACTGAATATAGTCATTTGGAAACCTTTTTAAATCAGGACCTTTAGCCTAGATCTTAAAATTTGCTACAATTCAGTATTTAATGACTAATCCCTGATTTGGAAAATAAATAAATAAAATATTGTCCTCGGCTGTATTTTACGGTTTAACGATTTTAGCCAAGATTCTGATATTCCCTCGCTCCGTTCTTTAGGTTTAAAGGTGTAGAGGAAAAACCCTATCAGTTTCAAAAACGATTGTGCAGAGATCCAAAAAATACAATTATAGTCTTCCAACAGCTATCGCTGTACGGCAATCATTATGCAAAGCCACCTCCAACGCATTATACCGGTTTAATTACATGCCACAGATTAATGATTCCCAAACTGATCAGTTAAACTCACCCGGGGAATAACAGCAATAGGTAAAATATTAAAAGGGGGAAAAAAAAAAAACACCCACAACTTTCTAACATTTGGTGAAAACAGCTACAGTGAGTTTTTTTTTATTTTTCCAAAACAAATTATCCCCTCAATACTTTGAACAAAAAAAGAAGTACAGTCTACATAAATATACCAAATAGTGAGACATTGGGTGTTATTGAGGACATTTGGAACGGTGGAGAGTTCATAAACAGGGTTATTTACTAAGGTGAGAATTCAAGTGAATTTTAAACTTAATGCCAAAGTGGGCAAACTGGAAGCATAGCTGGTTTAGAGTTTAATGTTTCCAGTTGAGCCATTTTAAAGTTAGATTGAAATTCACTTTGAATTATCACTTTGCTAAATAATTATGAAGGAAAATGTATTTTAAGGCCAACATTTGGAGAGAGAGAAGAAAAAAAAACCACTAAGACTAAGCATTTTACCAGCTTGGCTATTTTTATTTTCTGAAAATGTTGTCCCCTGGTCATTTCTCCTCAATTCCTTACTGAATATCTTCCATTTTATTTACGGTTAGCATAAGTGATATATACCAAAATAATAGAAACCACTATAAATAAAACACATTTAGATAGATTTTACAAGAAAGGATTGCTGGTTTTAAGTATAAAAAGGAAAATATTTATGTTTATGGCCTGAGTGCAGGTACAGGTAGTAAAGGATTTAAATTTATAATACTGGTTTGGAAAGTTTATAATGTATATATTGACAAGGTCACAACTCACACACACACACAGTGTCTCTTTTAGTCATCTCTGAATGGTCAATGAAATGTACCGGAGGACAGGGCTACTTTGTTTAATTTTATTTTCAAAAAATAGCAAATTGGCACTGACATGTCCTAAAAGAGACCACAGCTCTTTAAATATTACTATCTCTGGGTCTACAAAACCATATTTCGAAGCATGTAATATCCAATATACCTTCCCTTGCAACAGCTCTCTATAATAGCTTGGGCAAACAAACATATTGTATTAATAATAAAATGAAAAAAATATATAGTATTAATTATTAAATATATTATAATTTATATATATATATATATATATATATATATATATATCACCCCTTAAGGACTCCTATTGACATGTCATAATATAAATAAACAAGGTTGACAGCTTAAACAGATCACATAATGAATATTCTGTAAAAATAAAATGGGCATAGATACATCCTTAATATCATTAAAAATAGAATGGGAAAACAAATATATATATAAAAAAAATCTATCTGTTTTGGTTTGTTGTTTTTTTTTTAAATTAATCACATCACATAAAATTGCAAAATAGTGTAAATGCATTTTATTTTGAACTATGGTTGTGGAAATGAATGTCCCAGTCTAGGGGAGGTATTCCACCTGCAGTGCTGTATAAATCACAATAAGAAGACATGCTGGGTACACAGGGAGGATGATGGGGTGGCACTCCATGTGCTAAATTAAACACCTGGCAGCATGCAGTGTGAAGGGCAGTGAGCAAGGGATAGGGGTACATGGCTGGGCTGGCTGGTACTCACCTGGGAGGGAGGCAGGGAGGGAGAGAGGGAGCCTGTAGTTCTCCAGTATTAGCCTCCTGGCTGGCTGCTCTGCACACTGAGCTCCCTGCAGCCAGTCACTGCTTTACTGAGCGCTCACAGCTCTGCACCATAAAAGGCAGCCAGCCTGGGCTGTGTTACCATAGAGACCTGGAGACACACCTCCGGCCCACACTGCCGGCCAATCACGGGAGCTGCTTTATTCTACAGCTTTTATTCTAAGGATGCAGAGCCTTCATTAATGCCATCCACCCAGCCTGGGCATAGTGTGATCTGTGCCATCCACCCAGTCTGGGCATAGTATGATCTGTGCCATCCACCCAGCCTGGGCATAGTATGATCTGTGCCATGCACCCAGTCTGGGCATAGTGTGATCTGTGCCATCCACCCAGTCTGGGCATAGTATGATCTGTGCCATGCACCCAGCCTGGGCATAGTATGATCTGTGCCATGCACCCAGCCTGGGCATAGTATGATCTGTGCCATGCACCCAGCCTGGGCATAGTATGATCTGTGCCATCCACCCAGCCTGGGCATAGTGTGATCTGTGCCATCCACCCAGCCTGGGCATAGTATGATCTGTGCCATGCACCCAGCCTGGGCATAGTATGATCTGTGCCATGCACCCAGTCTGGGCATAGTATGATCTGTGCCATGCCTGGGCATAGTATGATCTGTGCCATGCACCCAGCCTGGGCATAGTATGATCTGTGCCATGCACCCAGCCTGGGCATAGTATGATCTGTGCCATGCACCCAGCCTGGGCATAGTGTGATCTGTGCCATCCACCCAGCCTGGGCATAGTATGATCTGTGCCATGCACCCAGCCTGGGCATAGTATGATCTGTGCCATGCACCCAGCCTGGGCATAGTATGATCTGTGCCATGCACCCAGCCTGGGCATAGTATGATCTGTGCCATCCACCCAGCCTGGGCATAGTGTGATCTGTGCCATCCACCCAGCCTGGGCATAGTATGATCTGTGCCATGCACCCAGCCTGGGCATAGTATGATCTGTGCCATCCACCCAGTCTGGGCATAGTATGATCTGTGCCATCCACCCAGTATGGGCATAGTATGATCTGTGCCATGCACACAGTCTGGGCATAGTATGATCTGTGCCATCCACCCAGTCTGGGCATAGTATGATCTGTGCCTTTCACACAGTCTGGGCATAGTATGATCTGTGCCATCCACCCAGTCTGGGCATAGTATGATCTGTGCCATGCACCCAGTCTGGGCATAGTATGATCTGTGCCATCCACCCAGTCTGGGCATAGTATGATCTGTGCCATGCACCCAGTCTGGGCATAGTATGATCTGTGCCATCCACCCAGTCTGGGCATAGTATGATCTGTGCCATGCACACAGTCTGGGCATAGTATGATCTGTGCCATCCACCCAGTCTGGGCATAGTATGATCTGTGCCATCCACCCAGTATGGGCATAGTATGATCTGTGCCATGCACACAGTCTGGGCATAGTATGATCTGTGCCATCCACCCAGTCTGGGCATAGTATGATCTGTGCCTTTCACACAGTCTGGGCATAGTATGATCTGTGCCATGCACACAGCCTGGGCATAGTATGATCTGTGCCATGCACACAGCCTGGGCATAGTATGATCTGTGCCATGCACACAGCCTGGGCATAGTATGATCTGTGCCATCCACGCAGCCTGGGCATAGTATGATCTGTGCCATGCACCCAGCCTGGGCATAGTATGATCTGTGCCATGCACCCAGCCTGGGCATAGTATGATCTGTACCATCCACCCAGTCTGGGCATAGTATGATCTGTGCCATGCACCCAGTCTGGGCATAGTATGATCTGTGCCATCCACCCAGTCTGGGCATAGTATGATCTGTGCCATGCACACAGTCTGGGCATAGTATGATCTGTGCCATCCACCCAGTATGGGCATAGTATGATCTGTGCCATGCACACAGTCTGGGCATAGTATGATCTGTGCCATGCACACAGTCTGGGCATAGTATGATCTGTGCCTTTCACACAGTCTGGGCATAGTATGATCTGTGCCATGCACACAGCCTGGGCATAGTATGATCTGTGCCATGCACACAGCCTGGGCATAGTATGATCTGTGCCATTAACACAGCCTGGGCATAGTATGATCTGTGCCATGCACACAGCCTGGGCATAGTATGATCTGTGCCATCCACGCAGTATGGACATAGTATGATCTGTGCCATGCACGCAGTCTGGGCATAGTATGATCTGTGCCATGCACCCAGCCTGGGCATAGTATGATCTGTGCCATGCACCCAGTCTGGGCATAGTATGATCTGTGCCATGCACACAGCCTGGGCATAGTATGATCTGTGCCATAAACAGAGCCTGGGCATAGTATGATCTGTGCGATGCACAGAGCCTGGGCATAGTATGATCTGTGCCATGCACACAGCCTGGGCATAGTATGATCTGTGCCATGCACACAGCCTGGGCATAGTATGATCTGTGCCATCCACCCAGTCTGGGCATAGTACGATCTGTGCCATGCACCCAGTCTGGGCATAGTATGATCTGTGCCATGCACACAGCCTGGGCATAGTATGATCTGTGCCATAAACAGAGCCTGGGCATAGTATGATCTGTGCGATGCACAGAGCCTGGGCATAGTATGATCTGTGCCATGCACACAGCCTGGGCATAGTATGATCTGTGCCATAAACCCAGCCTGGGCATAGTATGATCTGTGCCATCCACAGCCTGGGCATAGCATGATCTGTGCCATAAACAGAGCCTGGGCATAGTATGATCTGTGCCATCCACAGCCTGGGCATAGTATGATCTGAGCCATAAACACAGCCTGGGTATAGCATTAACTGAGCCATCTACACATGCCTTGGCATAGTATAATCTGTGCCATTCACACTGGCATGACATGAGCAGAGCCATCCAAAGTCTGGGCATTGTATAACTTGTGCCATCCCCACAGCCTGAGTATAGTATGATCAGAGCCATCCCATAACTTGGACATAGTATGATCTGAGCCATCCACACACACAGTCTGGGCACAGTATGATCTGAGACATCCTCACAGTCTGGGCATAGTATGATCTGTGCCATCCACAAAGCCTAGCCATAGTATGATCTGTGCCATCCACAAAGTCTGGGTAAATTATGAACTGTGCCATATACACAGCCTATAGTATTATCTGTGCCATCATCACAGCCTGGGTACATTATGAACTGAGCCATCCACACACAGCCTGGGTATAGTATTGATCTCCTCCACATAACAGAGTGACATGTGCCAAAATCAGACAAGCAATGGGTCCACCTTGAATACACACCGCTGGTAATGAATACCGCTGATAACGTGGTTACGGAACCCCCTACAGACCAGGGAAATACGTGAACACCCGCTCATTGGAGCAACTCTGAGAGTCTGGTCCAGAATACGATACAAGCTGAAGCTATCGACCAATCCAGCTCCTTTGACACCAGTGGTTTATATTCCAGCGATAGCAGGTGAAATCTCACATCCTAACACACGATGGGACGATCTGCTCCAAAATACAGGAATTTAACTATAAACTCCTGACGTGCTGGTACAGGACTCCTGCATGGCTGTTCCGCATGGGCGTAACACCGACTGCCCAATGTTGGAGATGCGGTGCGGCTGAGGGTACGGATCTACACATTTGGTGGTCATGCCCACAAATAGCTGTCTTTTGGCAACAAATACATAGAATGCTGATAAACATTCTGGATTTGGACATACAGTTGCAACCCCTCCCAATGTTGCTCCATCACACCAAGATGCCGATTGTGGTGTACATGAAATCCCTCACGCGACACTTCCTAAAGCCGCCAAAACCCTGATCCCAGCCAGATGGAAGCCACAAAATGTCCCAACCATGACGAACTGGATTGAGAAAGTGGTAGAGATCTAGAGCATGGAGATCATCATGGCGGACCTGCGGGGTACTACAGAAAACTGGACACCATTATTGGCTCCTTGGATCGAATACATGGCTCGCAGACCCGCGGAGTAGGTGGCACATAGGGCTAAGTTTACCGGCGTTCAACCCCATTCGCACAGCGCATCCTGCGGACCTTGGGCGCAGTCGCACACTTCCACCTACATCTTCCCCCTCCCCTCCTCACTTTCACTTATAAGAACGGACAAAGTGCTCTCCACACATGACTCACCATTCCCTCAGCACTGACGCGGAAGCCATATGAGGGAGTGACACCCTGGTGAATACCAAATAGCCTATTGACCCAACTATGTGTGGCCGATAGTAGGCACTGGACTCATTAAGAGACGATTGAACCCCTCCCACAATATGCGCCTTTGAGTGCCCCACCATAACACCTGTGGACTCACACGAGGGGCTTCAAGCAGTCTGACACCTAAGGTCACGCTCACGGCTATTGAGTCTACACCGTTACATAGACGAGCCTAACGTGACGGTAATAACCCAGACACTGGTGCCTAAGCTTGACATTCGGCACTCGACACACGCTAACTTTAGACATGCTAGAGCTCAGCAGAGACGGGCCCTAGGCATAGCCAATTACAGCGTTACAGCCTGCATTGTACTTATGAAAGCCTTAGGGCGAGAAGCAACTGTTGTGTTTCTAACTCCTTACTTTACTGTACTCCTGACCCTGCGTCATAAGATTGTTATGCCGTTCTAACATGTCATTTTTGGTTTTGTAACTTGCAACCATTTACATTGTAACCTCATTCTTACCTATTCGCACAACTAAAAATAAAGATTGTGAAAAAAATAAAAATACAGATTTTGCATCGAGATCCTATTATGAGGGCAGAAAAAAAGCGTATGTATGCAAATTAAAAAGTTTAATCTTTACATATATGGATGACCTTTCAAAATACTTACGACCATAAACCCTTGTTGACAATTTATAGCCCACTGAAAAGTAGCTCGACCAACAGAGGCTGAGTGATCCCACTGCTAATACAGATTAGTTATTCAAAATTTAAGACCAAGTTAAACAAACTGAAAACTCCTAGAAAGATTTTCATCCAATTCAGCTATTTTGACCTTTAATTTGAGACTTTGAGTTCATTCTATGCCCTCAGATATACCTGTCGCAAAGTTTAGCTAGTAAAGACTCCAATATACATCACAGTGTCATAATATAAAATACCTTTGTATATGTTTCCACTACATAATGACATTCTTACTAGCAGCTTTGGACCAGCCTGTAGAACAAGCATGTCAAACTCGCAGCCCACAATGGACA